CAATATCGCTTGTCAATAATGATAATATAATATTAATAGAATTAGAAGTGAACACCTTTTCATCTTATTTACCAATAATATTCAATGACCCTAAACTGCTTCCAAGAAAAACTTTCACTTAGAGGCAAAACAAAAGTTTTAGTCTATGGGTAATCAAGCTAGATTTGTAGAAGATATGCATTGCATGATCTACATGTATTGCATATCACTACTTTAAAGTTATAGCTTTAAAGTATTAATTAGTAATAATACTCAATCGCTATTTTTTAATTTATTCGACTTAAGAAAGACTGCTATATCGAAATTCTACCATTTATTTATCATGATTATAAATTAAATAAATTATATATGATATAAACTATATCAATACTAAAATTATATCTTATTCTCGTGACAATATAAATTAAATCCGCTAGTTTTTGAACAATTGCATATTCTAAGCACGTATCCAGGCTGTTTTCTCCTCCTGCTTTACTCATATCCGATCTATAACACCATTCCTCTTTTTAAATTTGCTCTGGTATAAATTGAAGCAATCAATCGAAAACAGGAGCATATCCTAATTGTTTAACGCTGTTCACTTCAATAATTTCTTTGACATCGATAATTAAAGATTACTCAAAGTACCACAGACATTTGATTTATTAATTTTTAAAATATTCAATCTTCACAATAATCAATGAACGAGGAAGGAAGCAATAGCATCACTGTTAATAAATAAAGAATGATCAATCAAGAATAAAGTCAATTCGTTAATAATATCATTGATCTTTAATATCGTCAGGGTTTGGGAAGTTATGATTGGGTTTGATTTTAGACAAAACAATCACTTAGGAATTGTAAATATTCCTATCTACAATTAGGATTTTTTAGATTAGTCCTTTTTAATGATTCTTTCCTAGAACATTCCACTAAGTGTATAGAGCGAATAAAATGGGCTGCAATTAGCTGGATGATAATCACAGGAGCTGTCAATTGTGATTTTTTCTTCACTTAATATTGCTTTATACCAATAACAATAAGTTGCGATTGATGCAAATAATAAATTATTCTTTTCCATTCAAGCATCAATGAAAAAGCTATCTGTATCTATTTCGAAGAATAAAATTGGAATATTTAGATTGAACGCTTTGTTATGCTAGTACGGTATTGTTTTCTGAAAGAATTTCCGATAAATTAAGGTAGATTTTATACATAATGAGTAGCTTTTATCGATGCTAATAGCTTCTACTGGAGGATTCATGCATCTAACTTAGAGCTACTAGTATGTATTTTAAAGAATCAAAAATTAGTATACTTAAATTTAACGCTTTATTACGGTAGCGCTGTATTCTTTCTTGATAGGATTTACAGAAACTAAAGTAGACATTGTACATAATAAGCAATTTTAATCGATGCTTACAGCTTCCAAAAGGGACTCATGCCTATAACTTTGCATTTATATCAGATTTATAGTATCCACCGTTTGTCCATTTAATTCTTTATACCTATTTGATCATGTAATTACTTGTAATTTAGAATGTAAAGTAGATTATATTTTGAATATCCTGGAAATGTAGCCTTCAATATTTGTTTATAATATCATCAAGGATGTTGGATGTGCTAGTTTTTCAACCATTTTTGAAGAAGAAAAATTAGCATCTCCTATGCTGGCAACTACTTGCTTGAACTATTACATGTATGCAAGTAATCACTATATATCACTATACGTATAAATTACTATTTATGGTTACATTGAACATAAAATTGCTTACCATTTCAAGATGAGATTTCACAAATTTAGAAAAGTCATAAAATGCACATTTTAACTCGAAACAATACTCTAGTCATCTTTATTATACACGAATAACTTTTACATTTTGCTTGATTAGAAGAAAATATTATATAAAATTTTAAATAATAGTTCGACTGTAGTCCAATTTGCTCCTAATTCTTTGTAACATTTGAGCTTGCTAGCTGTGCCAATATATTTTCAAGAATTTTTCGGAACCATTATTAGAATACATATAGATTTAAAGTGAATTCATTGTCAGAATGAGTTTAGCTAACCTTTAACAATATTATTGATCATGCATGAATAAGAAATAACTTGTCCTTAAATTCTAACAGCCATCTCTTCTCAAACAGGCTGAGCAAAACAAAAGACAGGGATAATTGACTAGTTATGGTTTGTTGCCGTTAGCGTGTCTATTTCGCTAATAATTTCTTAGTAGAGAATCAAACTGAACGCTCAATTAGCTAAAATAATGCTAGTGGAGCAAATTATTTTTTAATGAAATTTACATTTACTACACATAATATCACACCCTCTCTTACTATAAATAAATCAGCACATTTATTTGCCAGTTATTATTATAAATATAGGATAAAAAAGTTATCATTTCTCCTGTAGTAAATATGCATTATGCATCACGATTTCTTAACAATGTTAGATCTATCTAATGCTAAAAGCAAATTAGATTAATTCTGTAAATCGTAGGTAATAGTGATTAAAGTAATTATCCCTGTAGTAGATTACATTGATGATCATGCAGCTTGTGATAAAGATCATACGTATTGGTCTTAGTTGTGTTGTATGTAAGTAAACTAGAATTTACTACACTTAGAAAATTATTTTGGAATATAAACTATAATTTTCAAGGATATTCAGACACTACTTAAAGTCAGAGCATCGTACAATTATATGGAAATTAAGCATAGCTTAGTGAATTATGATACTGTACAGTATATGCTACTCCATTTCATTTTATCATGACTGGGTAGATAAAAGCAATGCAAGCAGTTTGTGAAACATTTTACGATATTTGGATATCTTCTAATGGAATAAAGATTTCAGATACTCAGTTAGTAAACAATTTTTATCATAAGTAGTGATTGATTATAATATCTCCTAGCAACAGCCAAGATTATAATATCTGTATACTCGGCGGACTATAATCAAAATAGGCATTATCTACACTTGCTGACCTTATTATTGCGTGATATATGGAGACGGAGATTATCGAATTAGAAAATCGTTCAATTGATAATTTATTTTGATAATTTATTTTCCCTAGTTAATTCAAAAATTTTTATTGAGTAATACACGCTTTCAAGATATCAATAGCAGCCATAGGATTGAAGGATATGAATATAGAAACAAATTTTCTAGCGAACGCTTTTAACAGTACTATGCAACAGATGAAATTTCACCACCTCCATAAGCTTGGTCTCTACTGATATTCATATCAATTAGACTATGCTTTAGTCCTAAGTACTGCATGGAGTTCATTTCTTGAGAACTATATCTATTGATTAGCCCATAAATTCATTTATTTGGTTTTAATTCCTACGAAATAACTAAATAGAGTGGAATTTGTATTACTGTTGCTGAACACATGCTACTAAACACAGTGCTATCAGCACTACTATTGTTAAAAGTCATTTATGCTGTAGGGATACTATTATGAAATGGAAACATTTCAAATAATTATAACATAAACTCTACTATACAATATAGTGGGTATGCACGCACTGTGATTTTACTTGGATATGCTGTATTATGATTAATTCAATCAATTATAAATACAATTTATCCAATCATTTAAGTTATCTGGGTAGATATTCGTAATTTTTTATAAATTGTAAGAGTCACTTTATAAAATTACCGATACTACTGTATATGTTGAGATATTGTTTTATGTATACTGTTTAATTGATTTTATTAGCATATTCGCTCTTTACTTAGGTAAACAAGCATCAGCCGATTTACTCATATCCGTAGATGTAATGGGTTGCTAAAAGTCGTTCATAACAGGATAATCCTGTTGACATGCTTATGCTATATTCGATGTATACCGGTAAATTCAGGAACATTAGCTGCATAGTACCGCGGCATCATGACGTAATCGGTAATTAAAGGTTTAAATCATCATGACTATGCATATCTTATGCTTGGTTTCAATTTCATGTTAGGTAGACAAAATAAAATTGGAATATCGTCAATTTTCTGAATTAGCACCAACTAGTAAATATTTCTAAGCTTTTGCTATAATGTCTGTTGACTAGATTTACTACAACATGGTTTATCTTGATGATCAGCAAGCTTAACGATACATAAATGATTAACGCGTCATAGCCATATCTCTAGCCTAAATAATCTAAAGCTTACGCTCATGCACGTAATTGCAAAAATGGTATCAATTTGGCTCGATATATTTCTTTCTTTACCTATACCTCATGAACTCCTTAGCAATTGCTCCTTGATATAGTTTGACACTTGTAAGTGGCAACCCCCCCCCCATGCTACTGTACCAGTATTTACAACGCACAAAGTCTAAAAAATAAAATTGTTTATGTAGATATATTCCGGGTCTGAACTTTGAACCCTAGTAAGTCAAAAAACATGCTGGTATCGTCATCATCGATTAGCAATACATTAAATTTATTAGCTGCAAGTAGTAAATAGGGGTCAGTATCTTTATTAAACCAAAATGGAGGATAAAACTGAAAAAATTGAGTCGTAGCGCGCTCCAATCTGATCTTTAGAACTATAGAGACGGTCAAGCTATGTACGATACATATTATATATTAATTAATTATAGACTGCTATAAAATTCTGAATTTGTTGCTGAAATCTAAAATACGAGGTAGAACATTATGCAGATTGATAAATACCATTAAAATTATTAAAAAGCATTGATGTATCAGTTGTTACTTTATTACCCACCTATAACAGACATTCCGCTATTCTTGGTTAGGTTAAAATCTGATCGAAGATCATTTGATCAATTATACGGTCCATAGGTCAATTTTCATCTTCTATAGTATTACTATCCCATACCTCCTGTTTACAAACTCTATAACTGTAATTTGACCACAAGGTTTAGCTCAATGTTCATACCACCTGTTCAGGTATAAATTCTGCAGTATTGCCATCATATCACTGCATTTTCATCGATTTTTAGCCAAGGTGTTTAACATTGCCAAAGAGGTAATTAGAAGAATCGTCCTGTAAATCAATGGCTCTTCCTACTAAGAGATTAGGTATGAAACTAGCGTTTAAATCTTAGTAAGGTTGATGTAATCTTTATAAGAGTAATATACTTAACTTATAGCAGTAAAATTACGAACACTGTCACTAGAAATAATTTCATTAATTATGTCTCAAACTAATTTACTTGGGCTTTTAGCAAGGGAAAAAATAATCGTGTAGGTTAATTGAAATAACAGATTAATACTTTGGTATCAGCCTAGCCAGAATTGATAGAAAATCGATCACTACCTTCTCTACTCATATGCGCGTAATTCTGAATTTGTTATAAATTCAGTACTACATTTTGCAAAGCTTGATAAAATTACGTACAAACAGAGGTTTTATTAATTTGCGTCAATGCCGTATTATTTATTTAAACAGTTTAGAAGATCTTTTCAGATTAAACGACTTAGAAATATACAAGTTAGTAAATATCCACAAAAAGTATCTACTCCTGCTATTATCTAGTACCCTTTATTATGTAATTGGTATTTATATTTACTATACAGATTTAAATCGCTCTGCCATCCAAAACATGACTTTCCTAGAGTAGTATCACAGCTTCAAAAAATCCTTTTTACAATACTAATTTTTATTATTTGATATAATAGATTAATCTATAACTATTGCTACAAAATATATTATAACTTCCTTGTTAACTGACTATTATTAACACTCATTTCTTATGACGCTTCGTCAGTGAATTTTACATTATAAGTAGTAAATTATCTCATACCATATTAAGGTTTTAATTAAATTTACAGCATTTCAGCTTCCTAATCATATAAGACATGCGACAGCGGCAGCTGCTGAATGGTCCAAGCCGCTAAGAAAACTTGATGAAGAATGTGCGAAAGGTCTTCAAGAATATAAAGATATGGGCTGGTGGCATACCACTGTTCAAGTGAAGGATATGAAGGGAGCAGACTTGATACCAACAAAAGGAAAAAATATGATAAACATGTTGAGCAACTCTTACCTCATGTTGAATGTTAGTTGTTCATGAGCGAATTAGCAATATCGTAGAATGCTCTTTCTTCGATCCTGAAAATAGATTTCAAATAATATTTACTTGGCTGCTGTAATATCTAATATCAGGCAATTCTTGTAATAATAACGATTAAATTTAATTCATATGAAAATTTTAGGGACATCCAAGGATTTTTAGTGCAATCAGAAAGGCATTAGATACTCATAGTACTATCTCTACTGGTGGTTCTGGAAAATTGATTGGATTGGTATAATATAAAGTAACAGTATCTTCACTTTAATCATAATATGAGAATGAAATGATTTCAGCTGACTGCGGTGTTTATGTGTTTCTGATAAATATTAAATTCATGTTGAAAAATAATCATAGCAAATATAATCTGTGTAAATCTTAATAGATATAAGCTAAAGTTGACTTTTACCTTCTTTAAAATTGCTCACTTAGGATATACACCGCGAAACTGAAGCTGAAATTGCCAGATATCATGGTACTGAAGATGCTGTACTATATAATAGCTTATATCTTGGTAATACGTTTATAGTTGCGGTTGCAACAAAGGATGATCTAATCATTAGTGATGCCAATAACCATGCAAGTATTATTATGGGAGTAAGATTATCTCCGGCTAAAAAATTGGTCTATAAGACACTTGATATGAAAGGTATAATAATCAATGACTAGCTAATTGTTAAAGCTAGGAATAATTCAGGAACTGAAAGTTAAAAATATGAGTTTGTCACTTTAATATTGTAGCATAGCAAAAGTTGTTGTTCATATTAAGGTTTACTAACAATCGCTATTATGCAAGTTTATAAAGCTATTAATAGCAATATTTTGATATCTCAGATTTAGAAGCCAAGCTTATAGAAGGCCAAAAATTCAATCCTCGAAGAACGTTCATCTTTACAGATGGCATATTTTCCATGGAGGGCACCATAGTCGATATAATGTAAACTCAAGATGTTTAAATAACTATAAATTTATAGACTCTTTGATATAAATACTACAACGAGCTCAATTGATAGATTAGTATGTCACAATATGAACTTAAGTAATTTCCATACGTAATCTATCTCCAAGTATTATTAAATTTTAGTCCTTGCCTCAATTATTTGCTACAAAATAACGAAAAATTAATGCTAGATATATTTATAAGAATGCATAAAATATTAATACCGTTATCTTCTATTTTTCTTACAACAAACTTACTTTAGCAAAATGAGAGAATTAGCTGATAAATATAATGCTGTCATTGTTAATGATGACTGCCATGGTGCTGGCGTTATAGGGGCGACCGGCAGGTAAATGAATCATTTATCAGATTAAATATGAAGTATGACCTATATTAAATATTCCAAGCACAGTATTATTATTATTTGATTGTATTCTTTTACCTATTTATTATTAAAAACTACATAACTGTATATGATTCAGACTATGTTTGTATAGCCTGAATTATAGCCTACTGTAAGTACAAACAGTAAATCCAAAGTATATCATATCAGTAATACTGGAAGTTTAAGAAGATGTCAAAAGTTACAGCTTTTCCATTTATGACATGGTAGCGTTTATTAAGTCCTTTCAAACGACGATCATTTTTTACTAAAGTCAGTGTCAAAAAGATTACAACTAAATTTACTTTACTTCATACTACTGATAACGGTCGCTATTACTAATTGATTTAATCGCTTAATATTTTCGAGCTTGTAAATTGATCTTATGATTGCATTATGACTAAAATATTGAACTTTTACACCAGTTTCAAAGCCTGCAATACTTAGCAGTTGCTGCCACTACTGTTACTATTTTCACGTATGTAGACATAGTAGTTAATTTAGTTTTTTACGGTGCACCTATTACCTTAAAACTGGAAAATTTACATAACGTCTCTGTAAATAGTAGTACAATGATAATGCACATTTATGCACTGGTACCACAATCATTATAATATGAATAAATTTGTTTCTTTGTAGTAAATATACTTGAAACATATAGCTTTGCTTAATCATAATGCAGTATTTGTCCCGGGTCAATGCATTGGCCATAATTTTATATCTATGTGAGCATAAACGGACGCATGTAATGATCATAAATAAATAGTATATATGTGTATTTCTATCAAATACTTTCTAGCAACAGTTTTAAAGCTGTATGCCGAAACATAATCAGAGCTTATGATGTGACCTAGAAAAAAATACACCTAATGATATGTTAATTGTTAATGATATCTTTACTTCTTCATTCCAGAGGCACGGACGAATACTATGGCGTTAAAAATTACTCTGATATTATAACTGGCTCATGCGGAAAAGCAGGCTCTGGATGTAATGGTGGCTATGTATGCGGACCGGCAAATTTCACTACTTATCTTCGTCATACAAGCCGTCAGTGGTTTATGAGTACATTCAATAGTGTAGCCGATTGCGCAGCTATTAAAGAAGTTAGTTAAAATTTCATCTGCTATAAAGTTATGCTAATGTTAGTAGGATTCTGATGCCATTATTTTCAAAATGATGTTGGATAACTTTATTACTATTCAAGTTTAATTCTTGATCTCCTCATTCACTATAATTAGTCGTTCAAAATCATGAGTGATGAGCCAGAACATGTTAAAACGCTTCAGGAAAATATCATCTATTTCAAGAAAAATCTTTTATCTCAAGGATTCGATCTTCCTGTTAGTAATGTTTAATTACGCATGTATATGCTATATTTCTACATATAGTAAGTTATGATTTAGTAGAAAATTTAAAAATAATTATTATACCACATCCGTAAGTAGTACTATTTAGTCTCAACCATTAGTATAGTACTTGATTCTAAGTAGCTGGATTATATTGAACCTTTATGGGGTAATATCGTAAAAGGATATAAAGTTTATTAGTTTATTATCAATTTATCATTAATACTTTGGACGAGATTACATAAAAATGGTTGTAATATTCCGGTACCAATAGTTTTGTGAGGATTCTTTTGAAATTGCATAAATTGATAGGGTATTATGGAGGCAGGCGTTGTCCCAATTATTATTGGATCAGAAAGAACTGTTTACGAGGTTTACGATAGACTATTAGGTGAGATTTTGATACTTATGGCCTCGTTACAGTGTGTTATATCTCAATATATATAGGATAGGAAAAGCAATTTTGATTTTCACTCAAAAAATTATTGCTATTGTGGTAACCTAGAGATTTTACTTTTTAATATTAAAATAATGTAAATTTTGGAGCCAGTTTGTATTATTATAGCTTAGACACTAACAGAACTTGATGATTCGTGAATTTAGAAATTTGATGTATTGATTTCATTACATATACCATAAAAATATTTTCTACAAATCGGACGTAAATGTCTACAAAGTAATAACGTCACCGAACGGCATATGTGATAAGACTTTAATAATCATATGTGCCGTTACTTCACCGTATATTTATGATCCCGCTCTCCTGAGATGATACTATTCTAAGAAGTTAATGAGATATGAATACTCCTAGAGCTAACTGATTCATTCCATGTTTATCTTTATATTAAATTAGAACGTGGAATCATAGGTGTTGGTGTTCGCTTTCCAGCCGTACCAAAAGGTTCGTCTTGACTAATATTAATATTATATTAAAAAACTGAGATCATCCTACTCAGCTCTCATGATATAATTATCAGTAATGGAAGATAATCGCAATCAAAAATTTTATGAATTATTACTAGATAACATTAAGCCACACTTATTATTAATGGCCCTCATATCACAAGAAAATGTTACATTAATTTCGATTTATCGATGCAAATTTAAAGTATTCGTATTTAGAATATATTTTATTTATCATAAACATCTATTTAACTCAAGTAAAATACCCTGGTGATTGATAATTTACTTTAGAGACTTATTCGAGAAGAACAGACCAAATATTTATTTACTCGATAACGATTCTGTAACGAATTGAATATGAGAGATCGTAAGTCATTTTATCTTACACTTTCATATTTTAGGTCATGGCCGAATGCGCTTTACTGTAAATCGTGCCATAAGTAAATCGCAAATGGATTACGTAGTCAATGCAATGGTAGAAATAAGGAAAGAATTAGGCGGTCTGCCTGAAATTACTGGAGATGCTATAGAACTCACGCGAGGAGATCAATCTAAAAAGCTTGTTAGCAAAGTTATAACTTTAAGTAAATCAGATTATTGAATTGCCTAGCGATTGCTGTCGCTGTATACCGTAACATTTGTGTTGGAATCTTCTTACCAATATTACGAAATTTAAATTCTGATACTCATATCTAGTGGACAAACATGTATTGTTGATCTACTTAATAGCATAATCGAGAAATAATTTAAACCCTTATTATATCTCTGCTGACGGTTAGGTAATATTGCCAGCATCAATACAATAAAATAAAATTTCCGTAGATTTCGGTTGTTTTCCTGATTACTGTTGCCACCTTATCTGTTTTCTGTTCGTTGCATATTGCTTAATTATGGACTAATCTTTGTTATATTCACAAATATAATAATATACATGTAAGAGGAAATCTCCTGAAAGTGCAAGTAACGGCTAAATTTACCGTATAAGGTTTCAATAAGTATACTGCCTTGGAAGTGATTTACGTAGTACCGTAGTATGGAATTGATAACTTGGCATACTTTGTGAGCAAAAATAACTGAAGTATCTTTAAATATGCTACATATTACAGATCAAAATTTGTAATAATAAAATTAAAAATACTACAGAAAACTAAACACTACGAGCATACTATCAGATTTGGCCTCCCAATACAATAGGACATGAATACCGACGAACTCTTATCGTGTTTGATTGCTTGTATCAGTAGCTAATCTACTCTATTCTGAAATGCCTTTAGTTTTCGAAAAGGAAATATCTACTGGATAATGTAGGCACTACGACTGAGATTACATAGAAGACGGAGCTGTAGAATATAACAGGTTCCGGCAGAATAGCTAAAAAAGTTATTGTAAAATGCTGCGCCGTGATTAACTTCCTGAAATAACTATAAAGTCTTACATACTACAGCAACAGCGCACCTGGTCTTACTCTAAAATATCATTCTCATCGTTCATTTGTTCAAGAACGAAAACTGTACTTATTATTTATTACAAGAAAAAAGAATTCTAGTATTGTATTTGTTGAATCTGTATCATAGTGATTTCAGTATCTTTGAGATGTCAGATAGTCAACAATTTAGTACGTTAGTAAATAGAGATAAATCAAGAAAGCGACGGATAATACTGTGCATATACTGTACTGTACTTTATAAACTAGTTTTGCATAAAATTCCGTTAATACTGCCGACTATTTTTTAGACAGTTATCTAGGGCATCGATTTCCATTTTACAATACATCGGATTATTCTTGGGTGAGAATTAAATTAATGCGTAATTGTCGTGTAGCACAATTAGTAAGTAGACTGGAAAGAATTTTTCTGAACATACTTCATCTGCCCTAAAAATACTAAATTCCAATGGTGTAGACAATATATAAACTTCAAATATTAAATTATAAGCGTGATGTAATTAATTAGCTATCGAAAATGAAAAGCAAGGTTTACAAGATTTATATTGTAAGTATGTAGTTTATACTGTGTATAAGTATCATTTTTTTACAACTTATCTGATGAAGTAATTCTATCATAGATTGATTTCTACCACTTGCAGTATTATCGCAATATACGTGTAACAAAGCCGTGAGAAAGAATTATTTTCTTGATTTAATTACCATTATCAGTGGAGGATTCTTAAATCGACGATTAACATATCAATTGGGATGTGAACTACTGCCTATAGTCGCATCGATTTAAAGTGTCACTGAACATGATATTATATTGATGTTCAACATTGCCGAAAAAAATTTTACTCAATTTATAACGGAAATAGAAACTCACTCTAATTGTGTCACAACAAAATTATTCATGAAGGAACTTTATAATGCTCTAACTTAAAAAATTTAAAAGCATCAACTTTAAAAATGCTTACCGACAAGAAACTGATGTACTGTATGTATAGTTCAACTCACTTTTAAATTAAATAACATCTACAATCCAGAAAAGCGTATCATATTATCCATATATGTAAAATTACAGTTGACCTGGATCCAAAAGATCAAGTCCGCGTGAACGACATAAAAAAGTTTGTACTCGAGACAGTTAGCAAGGATATCTAATGATTTGAGCATTGCACATGCGATATTTTTAAATCCATAAAGGTTAGAAAGGAAATAATAATCCATATATCTCAGAACCAAGACTTGATAGTACTCCAATGACTAGAAATCAACCATTTTATCCAACTGAGACGCTAGCCTTTTCCTCATTTTGGCTAAAAGTTTAATTCGGGTATCGACGCATTCACTAAAACATTGTTCCATCTGTTTAGTTAATTTAGACATTTCTACGTCATTCATGTTGCTACTCATTTTGTCTTTAATTTTATCTTGGCAATCTAGCGCACATCTATTAAGTCGTTCCTGTTGCAAGCGATTAAATCAATAGTGTTATTATCCCATTATATCAAACCATTGAGAACAAATGACAAAGTTGTAATACTGTATGCAATAACACCGGTTGCTCAGCAAGATCCACCGAATATACGGTCCATAATTTAGTACTGTATGACTAAGGAGATTATTCAGAGCAATGATATTGATATCGACCGCGATTTACGATAGCTATTTATTGCAGGCGCAACATGCAGACTGGCTTGCACATCATCGTCACGTTCGATAACTTTCTCAAGATAGCTCACACTGCTGTATGATTATCCATTAAGTTGTACGAATGTTGATCGTAAGCTAATTCTACCTAGGTTAGTATACGTACTGTACACTAGCAATGCACTATGAAAAGGATCTGTCACTTGCTCTACCATTTGTTTTTCCTAGTCATCTGTATGCTAAAAGGTTGATCGCCGGCCGATTGAATCCATACTGTAAAATAGGATTGAAAGATTATCGTACGGTAATCCTCCACTTCTAAGATCGAGACATGCACCATCGTCGTTCGTGTATGTTTACACTATTTTTAATGGCAATTCTAAAGCCAAGACTATAACCCTAACAATTTGCCTAGCATTGTACGTGGCAAATGCGTTGAGCCATTCTGCTTGCGCTAAATGATTACTATCGACATGATGGAAAAGGACTGTTACTAGAGCAAAGTAAGATCTGATGATAAGAGTCATTTCAATACCAGTACTAGTGAAATAGTAGTGGTAACTCTATTGCGATCTAATGATGTAGGCATATTTACCTGAAAGTTACCAAATTCTTGATTGCAAATTTCTTGAGCCCTATTGACATCACTAACGCAATTGGTTACGCAGTCTTGTACAAGATGGCCAGTTAGAGATTTGTTTTCACAACAAGCTGCACAACATCTGTAAGCTTTGCCCTACAAAAGTAAGTCCCATTAACCTTAAGCACACACATCTCCAATATATGCTAAGTTCAATTGGGCTACGATCACATCAATGAAAATTGAGTGGCTATAGATTATCGCCAAGACTATCTCAATCAATCAATCAATCGGCTATCGCATGATCAAAGTTTTGACTATCCAGACCGATCGAAGGGAAAATAACCTCGACCACACAGGACACCATTCTACAATCTGCCTATGGAGAAAAGAGACATTCTTGGCCATCCAGTTAGTCTCGATCGTGCTTGATGATTGATCATGATGAATTGTCGTCATTCATCAGATGATGATCGCATCGTCTATCTCCACTGCTATGGCTAAACTGACCTGTAATTTTCGAATATAGCGATCTTCCACTTCTTTAACAACTTCTTCCAAAGCAGCGGATGCACGAGATGCAACACTCTCCATCATTAACCAACGATCAAAGATGGACACCAGGCCAATGGCTAAGATGATGCAATGTGCACTTACCGGTCTGTCTACCAGACTACGCTGACTCAGTAAGGCCACTTTGGCTGCAATCCAAGTCGATAATGTATACTGTACACTATAGTGGAAAGTGTACACAAGTGTAGAAGAGACACTCGACTCGGACGGTCGGACAGTTCGACTAGCGCCTTGTCACGACCAAACTAGCCTATTGGACACTTGACTCAAGACTACTCTGATTCAGTTCCATCATCACTTTTCGCCACTTGATCGTCTGCCATCATATTGCACAACGTTGCATCCCATTTTTTCGGATCGGATGGAATCACATGCAGTATACTCAGTAGTCCTACACCCCGTCACGTTGCAGATATATTGTGAGCTCAACAATATATACTGTACAGTATGGTGGATAGTGTACAGTATTGTCGATTGGATACTTGACTCAAGACTACTCCTGATTCAGTTCCATCACTTTCGCCACTTGATCGTCTGCCATCATATTGCACAACGTTGCATCCCATTTTTTCGGATCGGATGGAATCACATGCAGTATACTCAGTAGTCCTACACCCCCGTCACGTTGCTGATATATTGTGAGCTCAACAATATATACTGTACAGTATTGTCGATTGGATACTTGACTCTAGACTACTCCTGATTCAGTTCCATCACTTTCGCCACTTGATCGTCTGCCTTCATATTGCACAGCGTTGCACCCTATTTTTTCGGATCGGATGGAATCACATGCAGTATACTCAGTAGTCCTACACCCCGTCACGTTGCTGATATATTGTGAGCTCAACACTTTCTAATAAACTAATTGAAATTGATCAGCTTCACAAACAGTAAGTTACTCTTACTAACTTGATGAAGCCAGGGTAAACCCGGACGGATAGTGTGACCATGACATCATTTGCACACAGTGGAAGTGATTCAAGATGGCTGTTGATGTGGGAAATAGGGAAGGATGTAACACTAGAATGGATAAGAGCGCGCTGTACAGTACATTAGGAATCCATGATAGCTGCTTGGACCAGTACCAACAGTTGTACCACCGTGAGATCGTATCAAACAGTTTGAATCCTTTCGCTATCATGGATAGTACTTGTAGCAGTGCGTATCGTCTCGACAGTCTGCTGATCGTATCTTGATAGAATTAGTAATGTATCGTCTCGCTAGTCTCCTGATCGTATCTTGAATTCTTGATAGAATCAGTAATGCCAAGAGACACCTGCAAAGAGGGTGGCACGGTCCGACTCAAAGTGTACACTGTACAAGTGCAACATCGTACACCAATTCTAACGACGGATTGGTGTTATTGGATTCTTGCTGTATGGCTTGGCATGCAATTGATTCAAGTTCTGTCCATTTTGGGGGATTTTGCTTTGGTTGAAATCATTCACCATTTCTCGATCACTTTGTACTGTACCGTACGGTAAAATCACTCAAGTCACAGACTGATGTGCAGTGTACAGTGTACTGTACTGTACATACAGTACTGTACACTGTAGTAGCACGGTACTCAATACAGTATTGTTGATGATTTTTCAATTATAACTGTATAACATTACTCAGTATAGTAGCACGGTAATCAATACAGTATTGTTAATGATTTTTCAATTATAACGATGGATTGGGTTATTGAATTTTTACTGTATGGCTTGGCATGCAATTGGTTCAAGTTCTGTCCATTTTGGGGGATTTTGCTTTGGTTGAAATCAGTCACCATTTCTCGATCACTTTGTACTGTACCGTACGGTAAAATCACTCAAGTCACAGACTGGTGTACAGTACAGTGTACTGTACAACATTACTCAGTACTGTACAGTATAGCAGCACAGTACTCAATACAGTATTGTTAATGATTTTTCAATTATAACGATGGATTGGCGTTATTGGATTTCTGCTGTATGGCTTGGCATGCAATTGGTTCAAGTTCTGAACATTTGGGGGGATTTTGCTTTGGTTGAAATCAGTCACCATTTCTCGGCCACTTTGTACACGTCAACATTTCTATAGTACAGTACAGTACTGTACAGTATAGTAGCCGGTACTCAATACAGTATTATTGGCGATTTTTCACCTGCCAATGTCATAGTACAGTATAGTAACGTAGGCTGTAAATCATACAGCGGAGTACAGTACAGTACAGTACTGTACAGTACTGTACAGTACGTCTTGCACAATTTACCGTACTCTGTACTGTACTCCATGCGACATACTGTACACTGTACTGGTTGCTCGCACACTCACTCTCAAAGCGTTTGTTGCCGTACGCCATTTGTAGACAATCGTTTTCCTTTTGGAATACTTTCTTCAACGACGTAGAACTGCATTCCACTTGGACCAAAAGATGGCAATGAGAAGACTTGTTCAATTATTAATGATAACATGGCTTAGCTTAGTATGCTCTGTAGATTGCTTATATTTTCATATGAAGGAAAGCTCCAAGAAATGTTTTATTGAGGAAATACCGGAGGAAACGATGGTCATGGGTAAGTTTTGTCCTCCCAGTCGATTAGGCAAATAATAAACCAACTTCATTAGCGTACTGTTTATGACGTGGCATCAACTGGCCATCACCAATTCAAAAAATTCCCAATCAAAAATTGTAACTACAAGTAGTAATCGGTAGTTAAAGCTACTCTTTCTGTATTACTTTGCTATCGTACCAGAAAGTGACGGATTGCTATATTAAATGTACGCCTACAGTACGGTACAGTATATATCTAGAATTGTTTTTTCATACCCTAGTTCAAATGTCACTTTGTACATGCAAAGCCAACGTCATAACAAGGATCCAAATCTACCTGTTACGCAGATGATCGCATGTTTACTTTACTCTCAATTCTTAACGATACCTTGATCTTTATCTGTCTTAATCTTAATTTTACAGTAACTCATTACAATTGAATGAATAGCCAACAGTCAGTTGTAGAGTGGTCGATAATGCATAATGAGTTCAAAAAATTGAACACAATCTTATTCATACATATCATGTACCGTAACTTTATCAACCAATGTAAAAACTAGTCTACATTCTCATGGTTATGTTATGCTTGATACCAATACTGCAATATAGTCAACTACCGTGTTCAGAAATTCGATGAACAACAACAAAAATATCTAGAAGATAGTCCTGGCATTGGAATCCATGTTGATGTTAAAGACCCTAGCAAAAAGATGCTTCTCAATAAATTTTATGAAGCTAAAGGCAGGATAACTTTCACTTCACATACTTCTGGAGAGCATGTAATCTGCTTATATTCTAACAGTAGTCGCGGTTGGTTCAACAGCGGGAAATTGGTAAGTTATACGTATAACTAAAATGATTGGTAGAGAGCCTGCAAGCAGGCCACTACTAATTTTACTTCATCAAGGTCTGCTTAAGCCAGCTATGCCTTGTATTGATTCATCGTAATACATCTACGCAAATATACTGTATTAACCTACTAAACGATATCCAACTTCCATCTCTTGTTCTATTCGGTTCATACTACTTCAGAGATATCATATGCTACTAGAACTACGGTAGCTTATATTTGTGCCATACTTACGAGAAGGGTTTATCAAAACTCGAATCAAGTTGAAACAAAACCCTATACTTCTACAAATTGTATTTGCAAAGTGATGTTAAACAGTATGAATGATAAATCTTTTATTTCAACATAGCTGTGTTACCTTAGCTGAATTAATTTTTCCGCTGCTAATTAATCCATAAATAATAGAACAATTCTATACGCTCTCGAATTTAAAACTAGTTTCTATATTGTCCACCTTCCATAACCATATGCAATAGAGGAGTAACTTCATGAATTGTGTTGTAATCTGTAATTTCTACCTGAACTTAAGAATTTTTGATCTTAATATTTAATACTTGGTAAGCTAATGACTCCTTTCTCTTCTGTAGCGTGTCCATTTAGCAATGTCCATTGGCGAGCATGCCAACGATTATGGTAATATGGCCGAGAAACAAAAGCTATCAGATTTGCAGATACGCTTAAGGCAGTTAATAGATCAAACCGATCAAATTGCTAAAGAACAGGGATACCAAAGGGTGAGTCAATTGCTAGTGTCTATTTGCTGTAGGATTAATGAAGCATCTAGTAGTTGATTTTATACTCGTATTATGTGCTACAGTATTAATTATCAACCAGTAGTTCAGGATATTTTTTACAAAGTTGTCATATGTCAAATGAGTCACTTTTCCTTCCTTCACCAACAGTCTAGAGAAGAAAGATTTCGAACAACTAGTGATAGTACCAATACCCGTGTATTGTGGTGGTCAGTTGCACAAACGTTGGTTCTTATCGCCACTGGGATATGGCAGATGACAAATTTGAAAAGATTTTTTGAAGCTAAAAAACTCGTGTAAATGGAATACTGGACATTCGATTACGCCTATCACATAGTATGATCTATTCAACAATGTATTTCTTTATGGAACGCTCATTGAGTGATGATGATATTCTTATTTAATAATAAAGGCGTGACATTATGATTTATGCAGTTCGAGAGAGCTAGGCAGTTGCACGAAGTTATTATCTCTTACAATTGAGTTTATTTTACAACTACAAAATGCTACTTAAAAATAAAAAAATTGTAAGCTGGTACAAGTATCAGTTTCTACTGTAGATCATCAGACTCCATAACTGTCTTAAGAGGGTTGAGAAGAAGCCTAGATTACCATGTATTTGTATCGACCACATTTAGACATCATGAGTTTAACAATACAGCCGCAGTACGATTATGGCGTGTCAATTATAAATTCGTCATATTGTGTATCTGCCTAACGCAACGTAAACAAGCTGACAGTGCACGTACTTATGTAGAATATCTTGAATTGGTCTAATCTTGAGAACAGACAGATTCATTAATAACACGGCATACAATATTATATAGTATACTATACTGTACAGTAGATCATTAATTAATAGAGGGAATTAAAAAAAATGTAATATTTCAAAACTGTACAAGCTTTTTAACAATATTGTCAGCATTAGGTGCAAATGAGAAGGGATCATGGTAAAAGGTTATATAATCAACCTACTTGAACTAAATACGAGGTGAACGTATTATCAGCAGTATATTACAGTCGTTAGCAACATTTTTGGTATCATTAATAACTTAGTCACTTTGATATCATTTGAGGATATGCTAAATATTTCGCGCAATCCCTCCGATGCTCTTCCAAGTTTAAGTCATGAAGCCGTAATAATAAATCTACGCTAACTTGTCCAGGAATTAAAGGGATAAGATCGATCGCCTACAATAACGAAAAGGCACTTTAATACGCCTTTAACATTGCCTTATTGCATTAACAATTCAATCCGTTACATACCAGCTTGCGTAAACCAGGCTTTAAGAACAGATCCATGTTAGTTAAGCAATACCGCTGCAGAAAGTACATAGCAAATGTTACTGACGGTCCAATGTGGTTTTTTTCGAATATTTCTCGAAACTTTAGCAGTAACGTTTCTAATGATACCACAAAAGGAAAAAATAAACATTATAAATACAAATTGAATATATAAACAAGTGCCTTAATCAGAGATTTACCTAGTATTGCAATAAATACTTTCCCAAAGCAGGATTCTGCTCTATTGTCGTCGTAACCATTTTCGACTAACACAGATTCGGTATCCATCGCAGTTTCCATACAGTATATAGCTAAGCTTGCTTCACTACTTGAATCAAACGGTTCATCAACCCGTTGAATTTTCGGTGGCCTAATTTAAAATATATCATACACGACATATTTTAATATTTTTAATAGTACCACTACAGCCAAATTCAAGATAATTCCTAAAATTTTTATATCCTACTTTACCTCTCGCCGTTGGTGGCAGATGAATTCTTTATGATAAGAAATACAGGTAATAACAAGATAATCATAGTGTTATAATTAATCATCCCTCATTGATAAAATAAGACGATAGCTCACTCACAGTTTCCGACAAAGATTCACTTCTTCCTCTTTTATTTATATTGCCAAGCTTGAACATACTGTTAGGGTTGTAATCTAAAAAATAGTAAAATTGCTTGTAACAGCTTCAATGGTAAAATACAACAGTTGCAAAGATAGATGTTAAAAATAGAGTCTACCGTACCCCCGCTATAAGTGAGGCCAAATTGCATACATCTCACCAACACATGAGCCAAAGCTCGCGCCTAGATTGGATGGAAGCATACAATAAAAAGTAAACATTATCGGTAGATCAGAACTTTCTTTTCAGATAAAGAACTGAAACTGAAAGTACCTTCCATTGGTGAATTGTAGGCTTTAAATGATGTTGTATTACTTGTACAAAAACCGTTGGTATTAATTCAGTTGGATGAATCAGAGTTAAACAAGCTATTGCATCAGCTGACAAAAGTCATATAGATAACGTTCAATTAATACTTTTTACGATTATCGATTTAAAAACTTACGAAAATATATCTAAATAGATATTAGTACTAATCTTTTACATTTAAATAAATTGAAACAAATAGTAAGCATATAAGCTATCCAGAGATCTGACATTACCCAAAAACCTCAAATCGGTCACAATGACACTTAGAATTTACAACTCACCTATCATAATACAGTTATCCTTTCCGCGATCTTCATTCAGCATCTACAGTGTGTTAATTTATATAAGTCACGTAATACGATAATAAATGCTCTACAACGTAAAAATAGCCATACCTGAAGTAATGCCTCACAGAACCAATCAGAAGATGTGGCAGACCATAGCTTAAAAATATTACTTATTTGTGCACAGCCTAGCCAACGTTTCGTCATAAACTCCGAAAAAATGTCGGATACAATCTACGGCACATGGTAGAGCAAAGTATCTCAGTCAATTTACCGCAATGTAATTCACATTTTTACACAATTAAAAAAGAGATAATTTCTAACTTCATAAGGGGAATTTTTCGATTGCATAAATACATCAGACCCGCAGCTGTTAACTAACACAATTAAAAATAGAGGAGAGGAGCTAATTATATTAACACCCATAAATAGCAATTTTAAAATGTAAGCGTCGTAAACATAATAAGCTAAAAGTACATAATGTTAAAAGAATATTAAAATTTACCAAGAGTTGAATTGTTTCGCGTTTTCTCTTCAATGAGAGAATTCTCTGGACAAATTCTGGACAAGATTTCTCGTTGAAGTTGCAATCTTTGGCAAAAAAGCATATCTGGTCATTTTTTATGGCAACGATGATTTAAAATTTTACGAGGAATAACAATGATAATTTACTTATTCAATCTGCTTTTATCATTTGCATTTTCCGCTTCCTCCTTTTTCAAATTCTCCATAATATGATTAAGGCAACTATCAAGACAATTTGGAACTTATAAGATGAATTATCTGTAGGGCACTATAACCCATTCGAATGCAATTAATAATACCAATTTATCGGATAAAACGTTTTACCTAAAGCACTTTTTGCGCTCCGATGAAGAACTTCTCAGTGCAATTTTATACCACGCGGCATAAATTGCAATCGATAGACAAGAAGCTTTTCCCTTTAGACGGTCTAAATATTGCTAAATCATATCATGACCAAGTTAATATCAATGGAAACGTATCCATTCCAGCATGACAAGGTAAAAATTAGCAATTAATAGCAAGATTATATAATTTTCGATACCTTGACAGTTGATTCACTAATAAAATTTAAATGCCAAGGTTTAATAATTTCCTTAACAAAACCACTCGCCATCATGCACATTTGGTATAAATTTGAATAGTCAAACTCAGTATCGTATGACTTAGTGAAAACACTTAACATCGAATCTACTGTGTCGGTAGCCATAGTTAAAATTGATTGTGTTGGAGTACAGGGTACTGAAATGCTCGCACTTTTAGGAACTTGTTGAGCTTGAGACTCAAAAGGGTATTCTTCATGTAAGTATTGGTTAGCCCATTGATAAAAGAATGAATTCACCGTCGATTGATTATCATCCGTCAAAATCTAAAAGAAAAATGGACTATGAATTTATGATTTACTTTGTTACAAGAATTCAATATACATATTCTACGGGCTACTAGCCAAACCTGTTTTCCATATCGTTGTATAACAGAACAAAGCAAAATGAAGGTAACATCAAACAATTGCAAATGATCTCCTCTTGATGTTTGCCTTTTAATGGAGTCATTTAACCTGTTAAAAATGGATTAAATCATAATTTTTCAAACGTGACTTTGATGTTAAAATTTACAATTATACATAAATTGGATGGATTAAAATAATTACCTTATTAATGCCAAGGCTAAATTTTTCATACAGCCACTACAAGCGGCAGTAGCAAGCACAACGTCCATATGATCAATAAAGTAGTTTATTTGTGAACGAACTTCGACGATGTCTCCAGCGTTAATTAACTGAATTAAATAATAATATGTATAATCATTATTTACGAAACTTGTGTATGAATACATAAGTAGTGCCTATCTATAAATTACAATGCATATTCACCTGTAGTAACCGATCCAAATAGCTTTCTAATATCCGGTAGAAAGATATTGCAATATTTAATCGTATTAATTAAATGTAAAGCTATTATGAACAAATTATGGGCTCTTACTTGCATCGTCCATTTGTTTATAAAGGTTACATTCATTCATATCGTCACTTTTCTCAGGTCTAATTAAGATTTATTATTAATACAATACAATCATTAATCGGACAACAGAAGGAAGCTTCTAAGAATAGCACGAACAGTAATCTTGAGCATGAAATCAGTACACAAGAGAGGTTAAAATGATACTTTTCCAACCTAGATTTTATAAGCTCCTCAAAACCTTTTGCTGTGATAATATTTTCCAATCGAAGGGAGGTTGCAATAGCACTTACAGTATCGCATCTACAAAATCATAAAAGAATTTTTGGTGGCTAAAGTCAAATTTGGAATAGTTTTAGATCGCCAACTCGATGTCCGATTACGAATTGTACCTTAGTTTTTTATCGATGACGTCAAGAAGATTGGCGAGGCGGGTTAATTTCATAAAGGACAACCCGTGTTGTGATATCAGTTGCTAAAATGTGATTTGGGTAAAGAAAATTTTGTTTACATATCGAGTGAAAAAGATTTCCGTATATATGGATGGACACCGTATTAGCAATTATTCAGAATCGCATCAATAGTACCTGCATAAAGCTACGCCTAAGCAAGGCCTTGATAATCTTAGGAAGCTTCATTACATTGAACATTGGTTAGAAAATGAAATTTGTGAATAAACAACCGTAGTATATAAAAAATTACTATGTAACACAAATATATTTTACACTTCGCTAAGTCCCAACAATTTCTTACCTTAAAATGGGTAAAGCAGACTATTTTAACCTCATCCCATGAGCCACTTGCAGACTCGGATATGGCAGTGAGACAGGCTCGATATAATTCCACAAAGAAATCACATGGGTTAATTCTCTAAAATTTGAACACCAATGTGTTGTGAGGAATATGTCTATTATGTCACTCATCATTTCGGCTTAACAAGACATGATAATTTAGAGGAAGAACCTTAAACGAATCAACCGATTCCAACAAGCACGCAATGGTTTCCTCGGAATTTAATGGTCGTATCAAAGACTGAAGGAGATAAAACGTTTTACATTAACAGGTAGGTATAAACGACCGACCATGTCATCATACAGGAAAGCTGTAAGGGTAATCTGGCATATTTCTTAACAGAAACACATAAACCTTACACTACCTGAATGTAAATGATAAGTTGAATTGACGTCGATGGTCCACCATCCTTACTATTCTGTTGCATTGATGGATTCCCGTCGAATTGATGATTAGTTAGCCTACAGAATCAGATACAAATTTTAGTCAGATATTTATTCGTGCATGAAAACTATGTGAAAAGTAATCAATCAATGTTCCGAAATGCTTGTAATAAATGGAAGAGAGAATTTACTATTTGAAAATTCATATCATAAAATATCGAAAACTGTACAATAGTCCGGCTCACCGCGCAATTTTGCTTGCTATCCTTAATAATTTATTACGAGGTTTTTCCGCAAGCATCGACATATCTACTTCGCATAACTGTTCTCCAAGTTGATTCACGACGTTCCATAATTCTTGGGTCGATAGAAAGTATTGAATAACACCAAGACTTAATAAGTTATACAGCAGCAAAAAAATATTAATCTTGTATACCAAAATGGACCTGAAAATAATTTACCAGTGCTATTAAAGCTGCCAATACGAATAAGTCCGCAGAGATTCTGATTGTCCAAAATCAAGGTAAGTGCAGCATTACATAACTCTGTAACACCAGCCTAAGAAAGCGGCATAAATTGTATATGTAGATAATATTTTTATGATTTATTGTTGTGGGGTCACTTTCATAAGATTGATAATTCCACTACTACAGGATATGTACGTATTTCTATACATTCGATTCTGTTCCTCTTTTTACATTGTGAGTCAATTGCATATACCATACAAACAAAATTAAAAGATATTCATGTACCAGCGCCCAATGCCTCCTACCTGCGAAAATCTTATAGACATTATGCACACGGTTTGAAGCCATGATAACAAACTTAGAAGAGCTTTAGCCAAGTCTAAGCTATCTTCTCTAGTTTTACAACTGCAATAGATTATTGAAGTTCAATGTTAGTGTTTTTACAATCATAAAGGAGGTAGTTTTTATTGGAACAACATGCACAATTCTCAAGAAAGATACGTATGATGAAGGCATCTAGCAAGGTACCTAGTTGATGGCAAGATAAGAATGACCAACTCTAAGATTCGATTCATGCATCTTGGCTTGCTAAAGTCCACAAGCTGCAAGTTTAATATAGCAGACACATATTAGATTTGATTTGCTTGTATCACAACTCCGCGCTTCCAATGCGTATTGTAGACTTTACTGTTAGCATACAATTTCATGTAATACTTACCTGTGCAATTGTAGAGTAAAAGGTGGTGTGGGAGATTAACTAGTAGAAAAAACAAAAGCAATCAGTTTGTCATTTTTCGTCATCAATAAAGTGCTCTAGCCACTACAGCATTATTCAATCCCTGCATTGGGTGTATAAGTTACATTTCAATATACACGACAACTGCCAACATACAGTAGTACTGCATACATGTCACAAAACTCCGCATCAGTAAAGGTTGTCAAGAAGAGTACAGTTCTGAGCGGCAACGTCACGATAAAAGGGGCTTTCATTAAAAAAAGGGTTCAATATTGCTGGATAAATTGATGTATAGGCCTGTAAGTCATTGCCGTCATAAAATATGCGTTCACTGATGCATGAAAACCTTTAGCATAGCCATTCAATATAAAAGTAGGACTTTAAGAATGCAGTATTATTCTTACGTATACTCGCAACTGCCTCAACTAGCTGTTGTAGGCAGATTTTCATTTGGTACGGAACGCTCTACGATAAGCCTGCCTTGGGCATATTACTACATTCATTGATGGCAAAAGGATCACAAGATTACCTGCGTTGTTGTGGCATAATTCATATAGGATAGTAGCAACTCGTTGGGAATAGTCCCAATGAAAATCTGCTTCAGTAGCAATTCTAATAGTTTATCCAGGAAGAAAAAAATAGAAAATTAGAGCATCAATAGCAATGATAGTGATAAATTTCATTCCAATTTTCTTAGCCTTGCTCAATTCAATGGCATGCAAGCAATGATAACCGACTGATCAAGACTACAACATGATCGTATTGAATACTACTTGAACAGTAATTGAGTATATTGAATACGAGGTAAAAGTATTGCAGTGAAAAAGATAGAATACAGGTGACTTGAATGCATAGAAACGTTAATCATTCAAGCTATCCAGTGTGTTGTTATACCAGCAAGCATTTTGGAACTATTTTCTTTTGCAAGTAAGAATTTTCGCACTTTCATTGCCCACCGACTGGGCTTCCATCTTTCTTTCCAACAGCGTATTAAAAATGCTTGAAGTTCTTGCGTTTGCTCATCATTGCCCACCACTGGCATGGCGATTGGCGACACGAAATGAGTTGTAAGCAATGAATAGACGACTCGCTACAGCTGGCAGACAACACGTTTTCCAGCGTGATTGACTCTTGCAGTGACTTAACTCGGTTGACGCTAGAACCGACAACCGCATTCACTTCCAACTGGATTGAACAACAACAACGACAATGCGCTGGCTGATCTGCACTTGTGTTTCCCGTAAGTCGCAAGTCCACGTACAGGCTACAGGGTCCAGTACAGTTCACATCAGTGCCTACAGGTACAGTACCTTAAATTCCGAGTCTCCACGAGAATGAAACAACCACAAACAGTACAGTCCACAGTCTACAGTACGTACAGTCGTACTGTACTGTACTGCACTGTACCAGTAGTCAGAATGGCAGTCAGTCAGGTTGACGCTGAAACCGACAACCGCATTTCAACTGGATTGAACAGCAACAACAACAAAGCGCTGGCTGATCTGCACTTGTGTTTCCCATAACGCGCAAGTCCACGTACAGGCTGTAGGCTCCAGTACTGTTCACATCAGTGCCTACAGGTACAGTATAGTACCTAAAATGCCGAGCCTCCATGAAACTGAAACAACCACAAACAGTACTGTACTGTTCACTGTACAGTCTACAGTCTACAGTACGTACAGTCGTACTGTACTGTACTGCACTGTACCAGTAGTCAGAATGGTAGTCAGTCAGGTTGACGCTGAAACCGACAACCGCCGCCGCATTCAACTGGATTGACCAACAACAACGACAATGCGATGGCCAATCTGGACTTGTATTTCCCACAACGCGCAAGTCCACGTACAGGCTACAGGGTCCAGTACTGTTCATATCAGTGCCTACAGCTACAGTAGCCAAAATTCCGAGTCTCCATGAAAATGAAACAAACCACAGACAGTACAGTATTGTACGTACTGTACATTGTACAGTCTACCGTACGTACAGTCGTACGGTCCGTAACCAGTCATCAGAATGGTAGTCAGTCAGTATCACACTTTACTGTACTGTACCTTTACCGGACCTGTCAGAGGTTCGGTCCGGTTCTGAACCTTCCACTTTTTACTGCGAACCGAAACGGAACCGATTATGTCGACGTCAACCGCGCTTCGTCGGTTCCCTACCATGACTTTACGGTATCGTACCGGACTCGAAAGCGATACCGTCGGCCACGGCAACGCGGCAAGGCGATGGCCGCAGTTGCCAAAATTCAATAATTATATCACCTGCCCCCCCCCCCAAAAAAATACACAGCCTATTTCGTAGAAATTGATCAGTGATAGGATCCATGGGCGTCTTTTCGAAATTTTCTCTAGCCTTTTTTGCATGTACAAGTGCAAGTGCTTGAAAATTGAACTTTTTTTCTATAGTCTATGAATTCTTATGACAAGGAGTTGTATGAAATTTTGTCTTCATCCAATCTGAAATGATGCGTCCAAGTTTACCGTGAACGAGATCCATGATATTCTATGCGTATTGCACCCTAGGCAGTGATAGACTACTCCATTTCGATCATAGTCCATGGTAAAATAGAATGAATTTTAGGATAAGGGATTGTATGAAACTTTGCTTTAAATCTTAAAATGATGCACCACATCCAAGTTTATCGCTAACAGCATCCATTATATTATACTGGATGTGTATTGCATCCTAGGTAGTATTGACTAGTCAATTTCGATCTATCTACTCCGTTTTCATAACAGATAAATTTAACAGAACATCAACATGTCGAAGTTATTACAGCAGTGATTTCGCTCAATTTTCGATTGCTTATGAAATGAATACCACTTTGGCTCTCTCGATGTACTAGAAATGCGCAAGATTTCTTCAAGCAGATAGAAAATCAGAATGCAATAACGTCCAGTACCGTCCCATATAGTTGATCAGTTCTCCCGTATGTTCCTAGGTAACTATTACAATCATATTGATCGCAAAGTGTTTCGAAAACACCAATCTGATAGGAAAGTGAAGTAATTTAGATATTAGAATGAACTACATAAATATAAGAGCAATCTTGATGCTGGAGTTGTGGCAGAATTAAGAAACTTTACTGAATCAAAAATCATTTCGTTGATTTGGATCATTCCCAAAACGTCCACACCTACAGTATAAAGCGCTTGACTTCAATACCATCGGAGAAGTAATTTAAAACGCTAACACTGATAAATAAGTTACGCCATTTCAAATTTGATCGCTTCTCATTTGTCATTACTCATTCAAGGACTCGTATTGAAATAGTGCAGTGTCAACTCGCTCTTGATCCGCAGTACTGAAACAGAATATTCATCAGCATGGATAAAGAAATACTCACTACAATTGATAGAGCCGAAAATTCCATTATAACTATGACTGCATTAGAATATCTACAAAATTAAAAAATGAAATACTCGTGTACCTTTCCTATGAGGGATTGGAGAATTCATGAATTAATGGATCCATTTCCCCAAAAATAAATTTTCAGCCAAAGATATCTGGTAGCGTTAGATATTAGTATTGGATAAAAACAACTTGGCAAACTATCCTTTCTACATTCCATCTAATTCGTACAGCAACTGATTGGTGCACTGCCTTTAATCTAATTTAATTTATTCTTGGGATACCCACTGATCTGCCAAAGTTTATACGACGTAGTAGGTAAACATTGAGGCAAATAACCTTTATCAATTTCACTAATAGCTATTTCTATCAATGCTAAGTTCATACTTTCTATTACTAAGTCCGATGCAACATCGAATACCAGTATACCCTGCGAAAAAATAAATTGAATCAAGATACTAGATAAGTCTATCGCACGGGCATACAAAATAAAACTAATTCTTTCTTTATAAGATGATAATGAATGATCTTGAATTGAATGTGTACAGATTATTAGCACATAGGAAACGAAGGAAATGTCGTCTGTTCATTAAGCATACTCAAACATGGATGGTGCAGTCTCTCTCAACGTATTTTAATTGGCTTCTTTTTGTGGCTCCCATTGAAATATCTAACTAGTGCATAGTAGTTAGCGTTGCTACTGGTATTTTAACTTGATTGCCCTGCTAGTGGATAACTAGTATAGGGTACTGTGTGTAACTTACTTCATATCGTTATTAGCGTAAGCTGAAAACAGAGACGGCGATTAAAACACTATGTATACAATATAAATGAGCTTCCAGTGCGCAAAAAGTTCTTATAAAACTGCGAACAAGCAGCTCTAAGACGTATTCTTCCAACCTTTCGGCAAAGTAGATCTGGTCTTCAAGGCGTATTGTGAATCAGAAAAATGAATAAGCGATTTAATATCGCGGTGGTTATTCTAGCCCTATCTTCCTGCGTGGATATGGAGGTAAATACTGGACAAGAACTGGAAACAACTGAAATTCAATTAAATAGAAGTAAATGGCTTCAGAAGAGCTCCAACTCTATCAAACGACGAACTCGATCGGTCGAAAAAAGTAAACTGGACAATTTGACTAAAATCATTGAAAGTTTTGATATCGATCAATTAGTGACAATCACCAAACTGAATCAATCTGGGCCTTCGATTTCCATCTACTACACGGGAGAAAGGCATAATGTAAGAGAAATTGACAATAATCGACAACTTAAATAACTCATCTCTCCAACTGTAAGCATTATATTTAGCTAGCTGCTGAAAGAAAACGACATATAGTACTGTTATGGTAATAAATTACTAGCATATCGAATTAATTTGCCGTAACAGCCTTATTGCATACTGTTCGATGGATTAAAATTAGAGTTATGATTAGAAGTAATCGTCGATTAAAACGATTGGAAATAAGTCATAAATTATGCATTATCTGTCAAAAATAACCATTATAGCCATTCAAGTTTTCTGTAATAAATGTGTTGATTAAAAATGATATCCTTTGCTTTAATCGTATTTTTGATCACATCTTCAGATTATAGTGATTTTATCCAAGAAATACAACAGCAGATTGAGCCCATTCCGAAACAGAATATTCAGGTTAAGAAAATGTTATTAGCTTGATTAGTTTTAAATCGTATATATTTGCTGAAATGTTGATTCACTGTTTAGCGAATTACTTCAGTATCGATAGAAGAACAACTAATAAAGTAAAGTTTAAAGTTTCCTTCTTGACTACATCTATGATATAAGCTAGATATTTCAATATAATAAATTACCTAGAAATTGAATAAAGAAATGAGTTGCCAATATTTCTTTAAAAAATCAGATCTGAAGATCGGGGCCTCAGCTATGATGTCATAAAGCCACCGGAAAGATGTCGAAAATTACGAAAGTTATATCGAAACCCCCATAACGGTAGTAAGGTAACAATCCAATTTGAATTATATACTGTACGTATTGAGCTGTACTTATATATCAATCTCTATAATGGCAATGTGGTAAGAAACTTGCACTCATCCATTCTAAAGCGTATCTATATCCTAACTTACAATCCACCTACGAAATGATAAAATAAAATGAAATCTTAGTTACGTTCATGATAGATTAAACTTTAAGCAAACTGAATCATATTCATTCTTTTTTCAATCTTAGATTATCATTACTTGTAGCCATTGCAGAATCATTCTTCTTTCGCATAACTCAGCGAAAACGTTTACCGCAGTGATAAAAGTACCATTTAATCCTGTAAAACTCATCTTCCACCCTAGTCCTCAGTATTCAACGTGGCTGCTAGGCTGCGACAGTAGAAGAAAAAAGGTATCGTACATCTTTGAAGATTTTATTATAACATATCTTACTACTAATTAGACGCAATACTCAAACTATGTAATCATCCCAAGATCGAAATGTTCAATCTAAACATCATTTATTATCTTTAGTATGCTAAGCTACTCATTTTTATAGCAATGCAGTTTGGCACCTACGTACTTTAAAATATTGTAGAAGTAATAATTTGCTAAGAAACTACCACTAGTGACAAATTACTACCGAGTGTTTATTATACATATGCAGATGCACTTAATATAGTAAAGTAAATTTCAATATTTAAGTGCAGTATAATAATGTAAAAGTTTTGCAAAAACTCGATATCCTGCAATCATTTTCATTTATTATTGTAATCATAATTATACTGCATAGCTTTACATATCTAAGAACTTTGGTTTTTCATGGAATTTGATCGATACAGGCGTCAATCGATACTTTTGGTGAGAGTTTGTAACATAAATTATTTTTAGTTACCGGTTTGCAGTTTCTGTCGATCAAAGAGTAAAAAAGAAATAATTCAGTTTATAGCATATTTATATTACATTTGATTCTTCTCTTTATGTCCAAAATTTTAGGGGTGTACCCAAAGTAGATATTGACCCGGCAATTATTTATTACGAAAAAGCCAGTTCAAAATTGACATCTAATATCTACAAGTATATTATCCGTACATCGACAAGTATCCTATGGCAGACCAGTTTAACATCTATTTTAGCTGACAGCCTAATAGTAAAAGAGAAATACGTGATCGCCTTAGTAAGTTGAAATATTTAAATTTTTTTCGCAGCAAACGTAAGAATAAGTTAAATGAATGCTTTCAACCACTTGTTTGACAAATAAAACGGACTTTTGCATTTCGATACACTTATAGAAGAAACATGGAAACAATGTTAGACTATATGTTTCTTACGATCGTAAATTATTCAATTTAGCCACATTGCCTAGTGAAATGTTATTACAGGTAATACAGGTCGTCTTACAATTTGGAATTTATTTAGCGATTGCAATAAATTTATTAACTTGCTATTCTTTGGATCAAAATCTAGGGTATCACGGTTTTAGATACAAGTGAAGATGTAATTACATTAGCTGGCCATCATAGTCTATATAAGAGTACCCATCTGTATATATCTAATCGAGAAGGGACGCATTTTCACTTATCGTTATCCAATTTAAATGTTAAAATTAGATCTGTTAATAACCATCGTATCGCCTTCTACAAAGTTCATAGCCAGGGCGGAACCTACTTTGCTAACCAAAATGGAGAGAATGGTATTGTAACCAAAATTACTTTCAATAAAGGAGTAACTTGGCAATTGATTAATCCGCCACAAAATTCTTTTAATGGTCATTGCCAAGATTGCCAATTACCAAACTGTTCCTTACATATCCAACTAAAACGAACATCAAAGCTGTTGATCATTCGAGATATTATTACTAGTGCTACAGTACCAGGTTTAATCTTAGCAGCCGGAAACTGCGGGAAATCACTAAATTCACTCGAGCAAGTTCTAGTCATCTCCCAAGATGGTGGTCATACATGGAAGATTTCATCTGATTATCATTATTCCTACGCACTATTAGATTATGGCTCAGTCATTGCAACAAGCAAGTCATCGTTAGCTTACAATCGAAATGGAATTAGTATCCTCTACAGTTGTAATAATGGAAACCAATGGCATCGTCTAAACATTAAGAATGTTACTAGTGTAGCAACATTTGTAGTAGATAATCCAGACTATCAATCGCTTGTTTTGAACATGTTAAGTTGCAATTTTAGTCAACATTCTATCTGGTCCGCTATAACGTTGGATTTTTCTAAAATTATGCGACGATATTGTAATACCAACGATTATTATACCTGGAAATCGGGAAGTTATACGCGAAGTAATCAGCATCATTGCATCCTTGGTCAAGTAAAAAGCTATCGATTGCGTAAAAATACTTCTTGCTGTATCCATCGTGCAGGATATCAAGGATTATTATCGACAACAGCATGTTCTTGTACACAAGATGATTTCACGTGCAATTTTGGTTTTCGAAGAATAAATAGCAATAACAGTCAAAATAACTATACTTGTAGCGTATATCCGACATCATTCAATAACAATATTAAGTGTAACCAAACTTTGCCATCAATCCAGCTCTATCGAAAATTACCTGCTGATCAATGCAAGAAAGGTATCGAGAAGAAATTACTACAAGTTAAGTACTATCGATGTGAGCAACCTAACGATCAGATTAATATAAGCCATTTAAAAATAGCCACATCATCCGAATCAAGTACATCGACATCAATTAATATTAGCAGTACCTATAGAATAATATCGAATAAAAATCTAGCTTTAATATTGGTAACTATCCTGTTAATCACGTTCGCTATTGCTGTCTTTGTCTTATCTATTTTTTTTTGTAATGTGTCAACTAGACTGTATAATTTAAGATATCATTATTCAAATGGAGATTCTAACGATAATCAAAGATTAGTCAATTGGTAATGGCAGGAGAGCTACTACATCACATAGGCATGCTACGGTATCGTCAGCATCAACTATGACCATAACTCCTATCATATAGCAATTCTATCCTATCAATCTAATATTGTGTTTGCTTTCTATCGCTATTTATAACATCGTTTTGGATATAATCACAACTATATATAGAGAGAATTGGACAATGATAGCATGATATATCATTGTAGTCTACAAAGATTGCTATACGCAAATTACTGAACAGTTAACATTCAACTCTACTGTTTATCTCCAAATTATATTTTAAAAAGTGAAGATTGAACTGCTTTTATATAATATAATACAGTAGTTAAAATTAGTTCTGATATCAGAATGAAATGAATAAGAATAGTTAACTGAATTTAGATTATAAAGCACTATAACCTACTGATAATGTGGATATGGTTAACAAGCAAAGTATAAACGTATCTCCAAGAAATGATTACATAAGATTGAATAATACAGTGGAGATTGGGATATGAATTGAAGCACACTTTCCATCTAACCTAATAAAAATAATTGAACAAATCGTTGTCAGTGTTATACATGGTATTTGTTATTGAGAGATCCTCAACAATCTATTTCTACTTTTAACAGCGCTATACACTAGCTATATTAAGTTTAGATTTCTTGATAATTTATTTCGTTTTTAATGCACAACCAAATTTTTATATCACTACATCAAACCCTAAAAAAGATTGTTTTAATTATCTCGATACTGTAGTCGTTGATTTCGTAGGAAAAGCTCTCGATTCCGTTATTAGTAAGAAGAGCACAGTCTTCCATTATGTAGTATTAAGAATTTCAGTAATTTTCTACTCAATGAATGTTCTTGTACTACAATATCAAGAAAATTTATGCAAGGACTTCATACTTTCTATATTAAATTGAAACCTTTCATTATTTGGCCTGATAAAGACCAACGTACTCGAACTATGCCGATCCGATTTAAGCAATATTTTGGCTCCGATATCGTCGTTATTATCGATTGCTTTGAAATATTTATAGAATGCCCTTCCAATCTATTAGCTAGAGCTAAAAACGTGGCCGCCTTATAAAATGCATAATACTATTAAATATCTAATTGGTGTTACTCCTCAAGGAAATATTTCTTTTATTTCTCAAGGTTGAGGTGGTCGTGTCTGATAAATATATTACTGAAAATTGCGGTATATTAGATCGACTATCGCCTGGCGATATTATCTTAGCTGATAGAGGATTTAATATAGCAGAAAGCATAAGCTCAAAAGGAGCAGTACTAATAACTTCAAACTCAGCGAAAGGTAATAATCAATTACCCGCATTCGATATTGAACGAGCAAGGAAGATAGCCCATATTACAATTCAAGTCGAAAGAATCATTGGTCTCATCCGTAATAAATATAAGATACTGCAAGATGTTTTGCCATTAACTTATTTTCGAGTTCATAATGATATAGCAAGCATCGACAAAATAGTTACAGTATGTTGCGCTCTAGTTAACTTTTGTCCATCGATCATTCCTAGCAGTAGAGTTTAAATTGATTTCTTAACTAACCTATGCGTTGTAACGAGCGGAAATTAGAAAAATTAGAAGATTATTATGATTGATCTTTGTCTATTACCGTCCATTAATCATGGCTTTGTTACCTTACTTACGTATATACTTGTTACTAGTTTATGAAGGAATATGATGACTCTGTTAATTTACCTAGTTAAGATGGGGACATTAGTAAGGTTAGAAGTATTTCTCTAGTTCGTAATCTAGCATCATCAAATGCTAAAGCAACAATTCAATCATGTGTAATCCATCCTTTTTAGGAGTATTTAAAGGATTTATAAATAAATGTGCAATATAAATCTATTAATCTTCCTAAGTAAGATAATAGCAAGTAAAAATTACACAACAGTGTGTAAGCTATTACTCCAATTAGTCTTTTACTATTGCCTATTAAAATGAAAAATTTATTGCTTTATAACTCTGCTATGAATTCTGGTGCTTTCTAAGAATTTATTAAACGCCTACGATGACCCCATAGTAATTATTGATTGCATTTATAAAATAATATTCTACTTTAATCAATAAAAAATATGAAATTAGATGCTAACACTATAAGACAAACACTGTACTTAATAAATTGATATTAAATGACAGATCCATATCCTCGTGCATTTGTACGCAAAATGCTATGACTTGTATCTACTTCAATTATTCCGATCAGTATTTAAATCAAGCATTCTGGAGATAATATTAAACGACATCTCGATATCTTTATGCATTTATACGCATAATACTACGATCTGTATCTACCGAAATTCTTCTGAATTAATCTTAAAATCAAGCATTTTAGGGAGTAAACGAAAAACTAGAATTGAACTGAAGGCAATTTTACCTCTTGAAAAGAGCGAATAGTGAAAATCCTTCAAATGGTCTTTGAACGCATATTTCAAATCAGTTAAAGATTAAAAGTGCTCTTGCTATTCCACCTACCTATCGAAGTGATTGGTTAAAGATGATAGCATCGACGAAGGAGTAATTCCTCAAAATCATTTCAATTTCAGCCATTAGTATTGAATTGTTGTCTTTAAACGCGAGACAGATCAATTGCAACATAAAATAAGTTCTCAATCAGGTTGCTAACCACTACGTCCTAGCATTGATTACTTCAATTGCATACTACTCGCAATTCACAATTATCATGGACGATTGCAATAAGCAAGAGGTAGCAACGGAAAAAGAAGAATCGCAATGGGTATCTACAGAACTCGAGATGTTAACTAAATTTAAAGAAGAGACGCTACAACTCAGAGAAATGTTACAAGAAAAATCATATAACAATTTTCAATTTGATATTGATCCAGAAGCTGATTTAACAACCTTACCATTAAAGTTAGACTGTGAAGTCTATAACGAAGCAACAAAAGCCACGCAACTAATAATTGAAGAAAATCTAAAACTGAAAGAAACAGTACTTGCAGCTTACCTTAAAATAAAACCTATAATGTATCATGATAGTCAAGAAGAAGATGATGAAAATTATGAATCCCAATCAAGTGTTATCAAGGTCAATAAGCAAATTGAAGCCATTACTAATGCTTGCTATCAGTTATTTTATGAGATAGAACGATTACAAAAAGAAAATACAATGGCGAGCAACCAATTAAAGCGGCTACAAATTACACCAGAGACTTTTCAGGAAGAGAAAAAAGTTGAATATTATACCGGACTGCCAGGCTATAACATGATGATGATAATATATCGCTATACAATAGCTAATGTGACCTATCATGGCAACAATTCTTTAACTTCTTTTCAAAAGTTTATTCTAGTGCTTATGAAATTGCGCTTAAACTTAAGTGGAGAAGATTTAGCTTACCGATTTGGCGTTAAAGCGGCGACTTCAGCGAGAATAGTATCGGAAATGCTCAATACTTTCTATATTAAATTGAAACCTCTTATTATTTGGCCTAATAAAGACCAACGTACCCGAACTATGCCGATCCGATTTAAGCAATATTTTGGCTCCGATATCGTCGTTATTATCGATTGCTTTGAAATATTTATAGAACGCCCTTCCAATCTATTAGCTAGAGCTAAAACGTGGTCGCCTTATAAAATGCATAATACTATTAAATATCTAATTGGTGTTACTCCTCAAGGAACTATTTCTTTTATTTCTCAAGGTTGGGGTGGTCGTGTCTCTGATAAACATATTACTGAAAATTGCGGTATATTAGATCAACTATCGCCTGGCGATATTATCTTAGCTGATAGAAGATTTAATATAGCAGAAAGCGTAAGCTCAAAAGGAGCATTACTAATCACTCCAAACTCAGCGAAAGGTAATAATCAATTACCGGCTTTCGATATTGAACGAGCAAGGAAGATAGCCCATATTACAATTCAAGTCGAAAGAATCATTGACTTCATCCGGCTTAAATATAAAATATTACAAAGTACTTTAAAATTATCCACCTTTCAAGATCATAAAGAAATGCTTTCCATCGACAAAATAGTTACTGTATGTTGTGCCTTATTTAATTTATGCCCATGCATCGTGCCAATCAATTAATGAACCAACGCATTTTACAAGCCCATTGAAGGAATGAATTCGGTTCAAACTAGCCATAGCAAAAGTAATGAATAAATAAAAATTGGTGGCTGAAATCTTATACTTAATAAACTAGCAGCCGTGATTTTAACCGATTTTGAGATCAAGCATTGAATTATTTGCATAACTTTGATTTACTTACGAGTATACGTATAACAGAATTTTGGATACATGTCATAAATTGTATTAGCCTGTTCAGCTCTTTCTATTTAATCATAATAAAAGGTTGACGATCAACGGAATAATTTCGTAATGGTTTTGGGCAATAAATGATTAAGCTTTCCCATAAGTAACTTACCACCTGTTACTAACGTTTAAAAAGGTTTAGATCTAGTAATAGTGGAAGATATTTATGGTACTTTTAGATTTAGATATGAAGTGGAATAACAAATGATAAATAGTCATATTTGTAGATCACAGCGAAGAAAAACAGGAAAGCCGATTGCAGACTTTTATTGAATTGAATTAAAGTTATGTCTCATACAGGATCATAATTCATACCTTGAAAAATATTTGATAGAGGATCTGAAATGGCCTCTATACGTGCAGCTAGAATAGTTGGAGCATATACTGTACAGTGGTTGCTATTAAATTTACAGTACATCACACGAAAAGAAATAAACATTGAGCCTATCTCCTTAAGTAACATATTTTATTTCATTCGTCAGCAAAGCGGCGGGAGTTTGCACTAGTATTAATAAATTGCACCAAATTCGATCCTGAGTTACAGTTAATATTACATTCTATTTTTCTATAATCTAGATATTAATGTCAATACTACGATCTAGTTAATCATGTAATGAATATAAAAGTGAATGCTTATAGTATAATTGGATTGTACAGGATTATAACCAGAGATAGCAAAACCAAATCATTAGATTCGAGTTAACTAAGTAGCGCTTCTTCGCCTGTAAAGTCTTTGTTTTGATCATCTGTAATGGCTAACTTAGAATTTGATCTTGTATAGAATTTACTGGTTAATTCAGGTAATATAATATAGCGAAAGTAGTCGATCACCTTTTTAATAATGATTTCCCAAAACCTGGTATTGGATTGATTTCGTTCTACATGAGTAAATTGACTGGTTATAACAACAATATCTGCATAGGCCTTTCTGGAAATATTGACTTGTGCTTGGATCTGATAGTAAATAGGATGATCTTGACGCAGCAATATTTGTCCATTCTCTGTTTTAATAAAGCAATTGTCAACAGCAGATGGATCGATCAACTCATCAGGCTTGTTACAGCATAAACATTTTAATTGAAGTGTTCCTTCGCCACAACATCGACAACTAGTTAGGTAATCTGGAAGTGCAGTAAGAAATGGCCAAGATGGATTGATAATTAATCCACATTTATAGATGACGAAATCTTGATGTTGCGATTTCATAGTCTCTGTATAAAGTGCATGCGCTAATTTAAGATGGTTGCAATAGCAATTTGTTTGTTTAGGCTTTACTTTTTTCGGATAGCAAATGCTTTTGAGTAGGTAGATCGATGGTTGTCCAATATCGTCACTATAAACTGCTCTCAATTTCGAATCCGTAATTAATCCAGTCCTAAATATTAACCATTGCTTACTTGAGTCATGATCACGGGTTTCCTTTTCAATAGCGTCTGCTTGTTCTGCTGTAACCGCAAAGGATAGCATAATTTTTTTACAGTAATCAAATAATTCATATTTGGACATTTTAGTCCAATTTTCATCATAAAGATCACAAAGTAACTTAGGAAGAGGGCCATTCAAGTAGCAAGGGCCATAAAAATGACAATATTCAGGTATTAATGATAGAATAGCTGATTTTGCGTTACTTTCGTGCAGTTCTCTAAAAAATTTTGCCATCTCTTGCTCAGTAGGGGGTGCAACTTCTAGTACTTTAACTTTATTGGACGATTTTACAGTTGGAAAAGGTGAAATAGTTACATTTTGATTTTTTTTTCTTTTCAATGTTTCCGTTGATTCGAAATTAATATCTTGCACTTTGCTAAATTCAATCTTTTGAACATTATGTGACATTAACCAGTAAGCAGATTCATCAACAACTGAAGCCATTTGGCGTACTTTTACAACTGCTTCAACTGTGAATAGTATTGCACCTACATGACTGCAAGTTTCTCCTAAACCTGTAATGCAGTTGCAGTGTGCTGCTCGAATGACTCCATTCGATTCAGTTATTATCCACGGTAAAAATGGGGCAGCTTTAACATTTAGTGAGCGCTGGACCTATCGTTATATAATTATAATGCTAATTATTTGTCATATACACGAATGCTTAAATTGATGGTACTACTGTATAATAGTAAAAGTGATTTGAGCCAGAAATTTTGTTGATACGAAATTGTATCACAAAAGAGTTCTGCAAGGAGACTTGCAAAAGCAAAGCAATTAAATTATCCGCTGATGACTTGTTATAATCTTCGAGCATCTAAAATATTATTGATAGCATCGAATAATCTTACGCAAGTGTGAAATATTGAGTGTATCCTTACCTTGGCTATAATTATCGATCGGTCATTTATTGTACAATGCATTACATCGGATACCCATCCAGATACAAAGTAATTGTAGGATTGCAAAGATCTATAATCTTTTAAGTCTTCTAATGTATAAGAGCTTTCAGTTGTGACTAGATAATTTACAATATCCGGGTAAGTAATATCGGGAAGATCTTTATCATCTGTCGACCACTGGTCTTTCATAATACGATACGGATCCGCTCCATCAATTAATTTGGTTTTCTCAATGTATCTAGCAAGGCTTGATGGATTAAGGCTATCAACGTAATTCTCTAACATATTCCACATGATTCTCTGAACTTCGATTTAATGGCGCAGTTGATCAATTATAAAACAGAATATCACTAATTCTTGCAGATTAATTTTATTTTCTCGATTATGAAAGGTGCTAATGCCGTTTTACTACTGCCGCTTATTAATTATTATCACCAGGGCGAATATTAAAAAAATAGTCTATTGTTCTCGGGCTGGGCACGTCGATCATATATTAGACGCACACTTAATAATGCGTATAGCAAGTCTAAATTGAAATCAGTTATAATTATATGCCGCAGGCATGTGTGCAGTAGACATAATAAGCACTAGAGTCAATAAAATCTTACTTTTTTAATCCATTTTATTTACATACAAGAAGCAAAATGAATATTACATGGTCGTTAATGTGATATACATGCAAAATTTCCATTTGTAAATTATATATATCTATAATGGAAAGTTCATCAATAAAAGATCTGCACAAATGCACATCATGCAAATCAGAATTGTCAATTATTTAGTAATTAGTAGTTAATCAGCAGTTCAAATTAGAATTTGCAGATAGTAATCTAATCCCTATAATACTGTATATCGGCGTGGTTACATTAGCAACAGGCCAATAGCTGTAAGTTACCGGTAACCAGTAGAGATTGCACATACGAAATTTATAATTTATTACGCATGATAAATTAATGTTACACGGCCTGCAGTCTAATTTACAGTCATAATGATATACTTGGATATCTTTGTGATTGGTCATAGAAATCAATTAAACCGAATCATTTCCGAAGAGAATAATTCCAATTATGCATAAATTTATCATGAGCTTTCCTTTGCATTTCGTCTATTTGCGCTTTCTTCATTTTCTTTACGACTGAACTGTGGGTGGTATGAGTATCAGACAATATTATTCGTTAGAGCACAGAATTTGACGCAGTTGGTGAAATCAGCACGAACGAGCTACTTACGGCTTAAATATTTTATCCTCTAGACGATAGCGAGAAGTATTTTTTGCTTCCTTAAGATTAGTTAAATTAGATTTACTTTTCCTTTTGGTTCCTAATTTCGGAAATGACAGTGCTAATGAGTCACTCTTATTCAGAGTTACTACTAATGTACCATGATATCCATGCAATAAATGATATCTCAGCAATTTGATGACAACCTTTTCGCTTTTTCCCAGGTTTTGTAAAAGTTATTCCAGTGCCAGCTTCAATTTCTTCCTGAATATCTTTCCAAGAAGGTCCTGCTTGACTTTCTGCAAATGCGAATACATTGGATAAATTCATTCTATTAACAGTAGTTGCTATTTATCATATTTGCTACAGGCTATACTAAGAAATTAATTTAACATCTTCAACAGTGTAAAGCAGTACCTCGAGTTGCTGATGCTTCTGTTAAGGAGTCCTTTTTGACACTTCCATCAGGATTGACAGGTTGTCCTTTCGCATTGCGGGGAATTATAATGCCGTGAAAAGGACACTATATATATATATACAATTACATTTTTTACAAATCATCTATTAAGTTAAGTTAAAGAAGAGACTCATTTAGTTAGTACAAACTACAAATAAGGAAAAAATGATATCTTGCCTTAAATCTATCGCGCCTCTGGCATAATTTTCCATTCGGGAGTAAGGCTCGACACATCCATTTTATAGGTTCGTATTTGATAGGAAATGTGAACATGCGAGCTCGCACTGCAGCTGCTAATTCGTCCTAAAAACGACAGTTTATGATACGAATACAATTTTTAAAAATTAGTAATAAAAACATCTTCTCCATAAAAGAGATTACCTCTGGAATATCAACGTCATCCTCGTTGCTGTTAAACCAAAATTGGTGTTGAGAAGTATTTTTACTGCGATCATAAATGAGAGTATTAGTACTAATTAACTGAAATGTAATGCAGCTTGTATGCAACGCATCAGCTAAATCATATTTATACTTTTCTATTCGAGGAATTTCACTATCTTTGTCCTCCCAATGATAAAGATCTATACCAAATGGAATAACGGGAGCCACAGCAAGAAGTTCTCGCCGCTTTCGTAACTTTTGCTGCTCAAAAGTGTTTTCATTCTCGCTACAGTAATAAGTTAATGATATAAGCCTTAATGCATGACATAGTATTCTTATAGTCTAACTCAAGCGCAAGAGATCATTTTAACTTTACTTGGACGCCCTCATTTTGAAATTTTCCAAGTCAGCATTATCATCTAAGTATTTTTAAAAAGGAAGTCAGCTGTTCAATTGAAGATGCGTCTAATCGTGCGTCAATGTTATTAGACTAGTGTAACAGGCAGTATTTTCGTCACAAAAATTCTCACTATCTAAATCCAAAGATTCTCCAAAAATGTCCTCGTCATTGTCGCTATTTGCTTGCTCTTCCACTTCAATAAATTCATCTGATGAATCTTCGTCTATTTATTTGTTAGATTAAGAATCAGTTTGGTTTTTACTCTAAGGGTTAAGAAGTCTTTGCTTGTACTCTAAGGCAAATCTTACCTTCCTCAACTGCAACATTATTTTTTAGTAACTTTTTACTAATAGGAGACATAGGAATTATCGTTAATTTGCTAAACTTGTCCAGAGTTTGAGTGATTTCATCCCTGATATCGATAATTTTGTACAGTGAATCTTGATCTCCTTGAGCTTTGGTCATCATCTAATACCAAAGATGGATAGTATATACGAGTATTATTCCAAATGACCTTTAGCCTAGCTAACTAGCTACTCCATATTGCATGAATAAACTAATCAAAGTAAAGAACTTTACGTAGCATCATGACTTTTAATTTAAATGGACTTACATCTAACCATTTGTTAACCATAAGTAAGTATTTGTGTTTAAGCAACTTCTGTGAATCGTTTAATAAATCCAAAATATCACAGTTATCGGCATTTTCACGAATCTGCATTATATTATCTTGATCAATTACGACAACAACGTTATGACTATGGGACAGCATTCCGTGTTCTCTAAGGTTTTCATCAGCTATAAAAGGATACCATTACGTCAGAATGGAAGATATCGATTATCAAAATCAAGAGAACTGTTTGACATTAGCCACGTTTACCTTTGCTCAACGTTTGATTTGAAGTATGGTGAAGTGCGGAGTCCAATAACGGTTTTTCTTCTCCCTTTGCATCAGAAATTTCTTCATTATTTTGATTATTATTGGTAAGATGGTCATTCTTATTAGCAATGCTTGCCTGATCAGTTTTTTCAGTTACTTTGGACAAATCATCGTCAGTATGGTGACGGTAAGAAGGTATCAGTAACTCGAAACATGTCATCATTTCTGTTAATATCCTTTGAATATCAGGTACAAATTCTAGGTATTGTTGGATTGGAAAAGTTTAAAATCAATTACATCACATTTAGTGTAGGGAATTTCTAATTTACATCAATCTACTTTTACCTTCCATGCTCTTGCATACACATTCTCGCTTTCTTGTAGCTAATTCTTCTGCCTTTTTCTTTTTCCTTTCCTCTTCTTGGCGCTCAATTAAAGATCTAGCATAGATATCTTCGAAATCAATCTGCGATAGAAGGCGAGAAGTATTAATAGGCTTGCAAAACTGCAAGAGTGTGTGATTGTATTGTATTTCTGCATCTACTACAGTAGTTGAGTTAAAATAATGCAGTATACGCGTAAGATATTGTTGTTAAACCATCTTGGTTACGAAGCAATTGATTGATTCTGCTAGTGTAACGTATCATCGTAATACTTATTTTAAATCTACTAACATGTTTCTTCTCTTTTAAGAATACATATCCGAGTTGCAACTTTCGGTAACCTTTACCAAATTGTTGATGCCATCGTCGCATGGCTTCTAACGTTAGTCTTTTCAAATTTCTAGCTACTGTTTGTGGAGGTGGAAGGGGCATTTTAAGATTGGTTTCCACAGTAAGATCAAGAAACTGATTGAAATCGTTCAAAAGTGCTTCTCGAAATGTATGTGAGCGCATGAATAGTTCATCTATAACTTGCACGGCAGATAAGCGGATCTCAGCATGATCTTTAGCTAGTTGAGTCATCAGTCGATGATAGGCTTGCTTGATGTAGCCATCGGATATACTGCAATATTTTGAAAAATACATCATGTTTAATAAATAGTACGGCGAGAAATGGCCCTATTGACACATGACGTCGATAGATGGCCAGGTTCATGTCGTTGCTGACTTAAAAAGCAATATTTTATTGTATGTTGATTACAAATACAAACTGCAGAACAATATCCTATACTAATATACAGTTTATTCGCTGACTAGGCGAATCATGATCGTTGACCAAGCTCGTCTAGACTAGTGTCATTGCTATATAAGCGATGTTCATCTTTTATTGGCGCATCTTTCACGATCGGCAAGGACGCAAAGTATAAGATGAAGACATGTCCATTGTACCATGGACAGTATGATGCATCCTACAACTGGTCCAATTTTGATTAGAGGAGGAGACACCATAGATCATGACTATACTAGTAAAGTGAATTGGTTGTTGTCATGGATAGCGAGTGAGCAAAATGGATTTGCAATCATGGAATGATTGTCCTACGATAGACGGAATGGTTGATTGTACTGTAGCAAGACTGTATCAATGACAGGCATGTATGGACTAACCGACATAATTTCTTAATCTCTTTGCTTGCTTTCTCGTCTAGTTTAGCCTGGCCCGACTCTGTTACTTGAGTAATTAACTGGCTAAGTTGTTGACATAAAGTGATATCGACGAGTTGATCATCCATGCTTAACGCTACGCGTTGAACAAAATACGCTTCCAGTAGATACGAGTTGTAAGCTCATTCCTTCCTCAATGAGCCATCCTTGATCAGTAGTTGTGAAACTGATGGTACCCACTGAGCAAGGAAATCAACTGTGCAAGTCGTTTTATTGGGGCAAATTGTATTTTCGAGGAGTGAGCGGATTCAGAATTGGAACTGCCTCTTTGCTGAATTCCAATCGAGGCAAAACAGATTCGTTTAATCCGACTAAATCCGAAAATTCCAAATTAAGATAAAGTACTACAGTACAGCACATTACTGTAAACTATTTAACTTTGTACTGTAAACTAATATAACTTTGTACTGTAAACTATAATACTTTGTACTGTAAAATCGGATTTCGGATCGGATTCGGATTTTATGTAGCGCTTTCAATCGGATTAAATGTTTAGTCGTAGTGGGGTTACAATACACTAGTCGTGTGTCAAAGCTTTCCTTACAGTACAGTACAGTACAGTACAGTATGGAAAAGCTTTGAATACAAATTACAGGTTCTGTACTGTAATACTGTACACTGTACACTGTACAGCATAGTACAGTACTGTACGAATGGTATTCATTAGTAAATGGTCTTAATTAGTAGTAAATGGTAGTAAATGGTATTCATTCCTTAATTATTCTGAATAATTGGAGTACTGTATAATTTTCCATATAGTGTAATGGACTGTATAATACGAATGGCACGGTCGTGCGTAAAATGCTTTCAATTCTGTACAGTACAAATTACAGGTTGTCCACAGTACAGCATAGTACTGTACACTGTACTGTACAGTGTAGTACATACAGTACTGTACAGTACAGTACAGTACAGTACAGTACAGTACAGTACGTACTGTACAGTACTGGACTGTAAAGTGCAAATGGCACGGTCGTGTGTAAAAGCTTTCAATTCTCTACAGTACAGTACAGTACAAATGACAGGTTGTCTACAGTACAGCATAGTACTGTACACTAGTGTACAGTACAGTACAGTACAGTACAGTAAACTGTCTGTACTGAAGTCTGCAACTACTGTATCCTGCCAAACAGTTCTACAGTACGCTATTTTACATGGTACTGTACTGGTCAGTAGCGTACTCTACTCTACAGTACTGTACTGGACTGTAAAGTACTGTACAAATGGCACGGCCGTGTGTAAAAGCTTTCAATTCTCTACAGTACAGTACAGTATAAATGACAGGTTGTCTACAGTACAGCATAGTACTGTACACTGTACAATGTACATTACGTACTGTACAGTACTGTACAGTACAGTAAACTGTCTGTACTGAAGTCTACAGTACAACTATCCTGTCAGACAGTTGTACAGTACAGTACAGTACTGTACACTATTTTACGTGGTACTGGTCTATAGCGTACTCTACTGGACATCATCCATTCGCCTGAGACGGCAACACCTTGACTCTTTTGGTGGTCGTTTGTTCAAGTTGACGCTGACGAGTCACACGCTGCATTCATTGTCGTGTTCAGTTGAACATCAGACGCATTGACTTTTCATCTTGATCGGTTCTGACGACATCTTGACAGCTACCGCTCGCTGTACAAATCCAAGATGGAAATCTTACTCTATCTTACCTTTGCTTTATTCTGCTGGCCTATCGTCACATGCAACGATGAACAATCTTTGGAACCAGGAGCTGAAGGCTTCCTCAAAAGAGAGCACACCTTGGTTCGCCCTTTTCAAGGTACAGTACTAGTATACGGTCGACCACCTCTCATTGATTGATTGATCAAATTGAAAATGGAGCCTACATAGCCTTCATCACTCTTGCAGTAAGCCCTTTAAACTGAACCATTTCCATAGCATAGGGGCTTTTTCTATATTGATAGTATTGCTTAAGTAGGTCATAGGATAAAATCCAATATGGATAGTGGATGAAATTTCAGTCCAGCCTGTTTATTAATCGCCATAGTAGGTCTGTCGTAACATCATCGACTTCGACAACGAATCCAAATAAACCAACCCCAAAATAATTCAGTAGTGTACTGTAGAATACTTTGCGTGCACGTATTATACGAGTATAGACGTTCAATGGACAGTCAATTTCCACTACCTTTCTGAAAGCAATTGCCCACTGTACTCATTTGGCTGGATAGCCTACTCGTATTCTAGTTTCCAATGAAATAGGGCTAAGCCTGATTGGAAATACAGTATCAACTAGACGCTCTCTGGACAGGGTATTGCTCAATCGTTTCAAAATCCTTTCAGAAATATCGGCGTTTTCACTGGCCTAACATACTGAAAGCGCAATCCATCCAATTCAATTCATTCCAAACTCTTGCTCTACATACTAATGTATGCAGTACAGTAGACGGACTTGGACAGAAAATGACTACCAGACAAAAATCTCAACTGTTGGTAGACTTGACTGGAACACTGCAATAATTGTACAATGTACTACAGTATGCCGGTCGACGCCATGCTGTACTCGTGCCTATGCACGCACGAAAATACAGTCTTCAAAGAATGGCCATCCTGTGCCAATGGTGGCCAACAATGCAAAGTACAATGTCGAGTTGGCCGTCTTTCCTAAAGAATCTCCTCTTTATGTTATAACGTGGCTAATCTTTACTTTATGAACTGCGAAATATTGCAATTAAAAGTTGATCCAATATTGTAAACGTGAATAATTCACTGTTATGCAGGTACACAACAGTGTACCTGATAATTAATATCAACTCCATGACTGTCTGGAATGGCTGAATTAGATACCTTTCATTCATTCTGACGATGCATTTCCTTATTGATCCATTGATGTTGATTTAGGCAAATAAACGCAGTATTTGGATAACCTTACTGACTATGAAATTGGGATTAATTCATCCAAATAACACTCTGACAAATATAGCATAGGACGACTTGTATGTAAACCATGCTCAATACTGCTGATCGTACAAAACAAGGGATCTTCAAATCTCCGTAGTCCTGTATTTACTTCCACGTACGGCCACGGTACGAGTAGATGCGTACATCATTTCCTAGGCCTACTATGCATTAGCCCCTGAAATGACCCAATAGTGGATTCTATCGTCTACTTTATCCGTACTATTTCCTGCCAATACAGTACCTATGCCAGTACTGTACGTTAAAATTACTCCATACAATGCTAATCCTTTAACATTGTCAGTCAATGCGCCCATATTAAATCTTAATCTTTAAAAAAAAGGCTTTCTTTAAGGATTAAAATGGTTTGTAAGTTTGAAAACATTCAATTTCATTGTTGTGGTAGACTGGCTATCAACTAATTAATGAAGTAATACCAAGTAATGATTAATAAACTTCGATCAACTGTTGTGCGGGTAGCTTTGTTCACTTCATTGTGGACTTGAATTAATTAACAACGCACTCTGTATCTGCGCGGACTGGCCTAATATGGAAGACTAGGAATTGGTAACGGCTAGTAGAATGCTATGCCGAAACAGTAGTCGTTATCTTATTTGCTCATTGCAAAAAAAAGGGAAAATTGCTACAGTGTTTCCATTTTCATCAATAATTGGAGCGTAATACCTTCAGATATGATGATATAGCATCTTTTTTACCAAGCATAACGTGTCAATATGTTCAGTTGATCAATAACAAAGTAACAAAGCTATTAACGTTAACTTTTTATCTTCATACACAAGATATTGACAAACTACGTCATGTTGTATCCATTCGACATGAAACCGATCGAACGACTAAAATAATAAACTGTTAACTTTACCTTTATTCAACTTAGCGTATCTACTTTCTTTATAATACCCTGCTTCATTAATTAGGTGTTGGAGCTGAACTTTGGGACTTTACTGGAAGTACTATTGTTACTGGCACCCATATCCGATTAACACCTGATCATCAAAGTAAAGCTGGCGCAATTTGGAATAGAATAGTAAGTTTTCATTTACCTTTTGATCGTGACGTTTTATTATGGAAGCCTAATTTTAAATTTTGGTGACGACTCCATTTCTACGCGTATTATAACAAATTTATTATAACTGCTACTGCTTAAAAACTGATATCACTCTGATAATAGCACAGTAATCAATTACATTGTTATTCACTGCCCTATGCCAGTTTTGGAAAATTTTCCTTTTGCCAGATGGTAAATTTATCGTGCATGACTTTAGATGTTTATCAGTATACTAAATAAATCGTACGATGATCGACCATAAACTTTTTTACTCATATTAAAGCATACATAAGAATAAGTACGAGTTCGGGTATATACTAATTTAATCTATTGATAAAAAAATTCAAGTATTTCAATAATTAACTGAAATTCAGCAACTCATAATGCTAGATATTTCACATCCGGAGTGCAAGTATTACACTGTCTTGTCAAACTGTCCTCCTGACAAGAATATCGCAGTTATAAGGCAATTTTTGATAGCAGTAAGCAAAATATAGATAGAAGGCTGATCTCGTTTATTTATCGTTATTAGCCATGCATGCTCCGCAATTGGGAAGTTTTAATTCACTTTAAAGTTCATGGTAATGGTGTTGATTTGTATGGCGATGGATTTGCGTTTTGGCTCACAAAGGGTAGAAACGAAATGGGTATATATATATATATATATACTAATGACTGTTACTATGACGATTTCATATCATTGCTATTTGTGATATATTGATGATGATATACTTCATTGACGTTTGTCTTTTATCGCATGTAGGCAAAGTTTTCGGTAGTAAAGATCCCTTTAGTGGCCTAGCCATTTTCTTCGATACTTACAGCAACCAAAATGGTGAACATGCCGTAAGTACAAATATGATTAGTAAGAAACTTCCAGAAATTGATTCATTCTTAAAATGACATGATATTTAATGTGTTTAATACCCATATGACTTTGTAATGATGACATGATAATAGCCCAGTCCTAGCTACCATACAATAATTGTTATTCATTGCATTTTAGCACGTTCACCCCTATGTTTCGGCAGTTGTCAATAACGGCTCCATGAGCTACGATCACGACTATGATGGAACGCACATTCAGATCGCTGGATGTTCGGTAATACTTGGATATATACAATAATTTGATTTATCGTTTGACATGTACAACAAAATAATTGCACAAATATATCGTAGGCTCCATTCCGCGGTAGAGAACATGATACTTTTGCATCTATCCGCTTTGTTAACAATCGATTAACGGTAAGTTTTGGATGTTAACTATTTTAATTAAAATTAATGCAGCATTTTAATATTACATCAATGGCTTTAAGATCAATTTTTTATTCTAAGCGCACGTTAAAGTGATATTCAACTCTGTTATAGGCAAAACTTGATATCGATGGTAACGGAGAATGGCGTCAGTGTTTCGATGCTGATGAGGTTTTTTTGCCACTGGGTTACTTTTTTGGGATTTCCGCAGCTACCGGGGACTTAGCTGGTAAGATAAGTTGCTTGTTTTAGTGATGCAGTATTCATGCTCCTGTTCTGCTACCTTTAGGCTGATGATTATTTTCCTCTTTGGCTTAGACAACCATGATATTCTGACATTTAAAGTGTTTGAATTACCCGCTGATGAGACTTCCGATATTAGCGACACTGCTCTATTAAATTTAGTACCGCACGCCAAGACTGCAGAAGCTCCTCGAGGTGAGTAGTAGAGCAGTGATGCCTAACGATAATATACAGTACACTTTATGTAACAGATAACATCTAAGCTAAAGTGTGACTTAGGCCGCTGTAGCTAACCATTTTAGGATTGACTATCTTTGAAATCAATTGATTGTTATTGGTCTAAACAGTCTTTTTAATCTGAACAATTCTGATATGATGTCTCTGCTAGAACTAATTTACCGTTACTTTATCACTTGTAACAAATGCAGAGAGGACGCAAGATAAACCTGTTGGTGTATTTCAACGTAAATCAATGTCGACTATATTCATGTTCCTGATATTGCTTATCGTCTGTGGTGGTATCGTATTTTTCTTGGTTAAGAGGCAACAAACCAATGCGAAAAAGAGATTTTATTAGTCTCGCTAGCCTAATCAAATATAAAAGTCTTGAAATTTGATAGGAACATTTCCTATAATTTAACTAATTGATTGTAAGTTATATATTCAGGTTCGGTATTTCTTCAGCCCAAACTATACTTTGTGATGCAATACTAATCTATGTTGTAATAGCTACTATCACAGTTCTGTTTTACTATTTGGATTATGCCATTGCCAAAGCAGTAAATTCGGTAAATTTTGATTAATTCTATAACATGATAAGTTACGCGGTTCTGACGACAGTGATAGTATAGTTTTTATCAAGGATTATATTATTTGCCTACATCTTTTCGATATCAGGTCGCATTGTATGCGTATCTGTATCAAATTTTGTTCAGCAATCAAATCATAGATCGTATTGCCCAACAGAATTGTACGAATTTCAAAGCAAGATGTAGCGTTATCAGTTTATTATACATACATATAGATAATCCTTTGATGAAAATAAGTACATATCTTTTTACCAGTCATAGCCGAGTATTGACAGTAAATTGCATTTTTTATCTTCATAATTAATAATTATAATCTGCGTGTTATCGAAAACTTGTACAGTTGTCTAGAATACACTTCATAGTTATCTACATCTTTGCATCTATATGAGGATTTAGAGACACGAAGATGTATTCTATCAATAGCGAAATTTTAGCATGCAATATAGAATTCAACAATATTTGATTTAAATTTCTTTAATAAAATGAATTATAACAATCGCATGATTTATAGTTAATTTTCTATATTCTTTCCAAGATAATCGATATAGTGAGTAGTAAAATTCTATGTTGTCTCTTCCCTTTAGCGTTGTGTATACTAATCATATCTACGCCATTAGCGATTTGTCATTTACAGCAATGAGTGACTACGTCATCCAACTGTTCGTAATGTTGTAAAAGCTCTTTAGAGAGTTATATCACAATACAATAATATGTGTAAGGCTAAATAATAGAATCCGAATCTAAACTTGCCTAATCTTTTAAATTATATGAAAAAAATATAGCCATAACACAATATAATACAGTAGAATTTAGGTAATAATTCTGTAGATATGTACTGTACATTCACGTAATATCGCAAACTAGATAATAATAAAGCTATTGCTGAGCTGTCGCGCGAAAATGAAAGTGCCTTCATACCAAAAGTTTAAATTTAAAGTTCTTGTCTATATTAGGGCTCTGCTTACTGTATAAAAAATTCGCTTTTCATTGGCTTGTTTTAAATTCACGAGATAAGAACAGTCTTCCACTAGAATACTAAGTATTGACATTGCTGCTATGGCTGAATGCAGACGCATCGGTAATATTCTGACGGTTAGCAGCAGCTTGAACTTGTAAAAGTGTATCTTTTAGATCAGCATAGCATGAATTGCATACCAAAACGGTTTCAACGTATGCAGCAGGAGCTATTATAAATTACGGAAAGGAAAGAGAATTTTGTCAATTTTGAGTGATTTGCAATACGCGTAAAATATCTCGAGTGTCTCGCAGAAAAATCGCGACTTCGCGGTCAACTTTACAAAGTATCGCCAGTAAATACCCATTGCCTCTTACCTGTCGCTCCAAAAACCGCGCGTGGAACTTTCATTGAGCAACATCGAGAACAAAAACTGTCACCACATGCTCTACAGTATTGCTGAAGAAATAAGCGTAACGGTTTTCTTATGATAGCTACTTTTGTGTACTTTAATATTGCACTCCAATGGTATTTTCTTAATGCTAGTGTACTGCAGACAAATTTTTACTTACCCGGCGAATCAGCATCTTCGAGAAAGATGAATCACACGATGCACAGTGACCTGTAAACAGAGTAAATTAAATATTATGCCCTAGTTAAACGTAGATAACAAATTCAATATTATTGTCACTATACCACTCTTTATATGTCGTCGACGCCGTTTTAATTCATTAAATCTTGTCATCACTGATTTCCGATGAGCTTAAATTAATTCAAATTAATTCATTAATGCGTATTCGATAACATAAAATAAAACGGTTAACCAATAGAATGCCTGGCAATAGCTTACTTATAGATCTTAAATCGTTCTTAGACATAGGGATGGCCTATTTTAATATTAAGACAAATAAAAAAATTAGAGAAATTAATAAAAATTTTAATGAAGATTACAGGATCAACAATACTTCTTTAAAGCCTGAAATTTTACCTCTTCGTCGTCATCAGATTCAAAATCTACTTCATCGTCACTGTCGACTTGATTTTCAGAATTGATCGCTGCTGTATCACCGGCAGCTGCAAGGTTATCATCATTCTGCTTCGTAAAATGAAAGTTACTTACTGATTACGCGCCGTGCATGGGTCACTAGTACTACCATCATGAACTTACCTCCTCGTTACTTGCTTGCTGAGTTTCAGAATTTTCAGGAGACTTTGATGCTTTATTTTAAATTTTAAATTTATAACAAACTTAAAGGAAGGTATACAGCGCTACTCTAACTGAATACCGTAAAGCTTGTAGTTTAACCATAAGTTTTTAGAGCATGTTGTCATATAGCAATATTGCATTGCGAAATGGAGCATGATGATAGATTAGTAACTTAAAATGAACATACCATTGCTTATATAAGGTTGGAAAAGGAATGCTGTAGTTACAAAGCCAATCCAATAACCTCTAATAGGCATTACAGGATAAGCCAGAGTTGCTAAGAGGACAATTATTGTAATTCTGTGTGAAGAAGTATCAGATTTATTAGTGCAACATCATATGTCAATTATAGATAAGTATAATTGGCTGGTAGTAAGTACAAAGCGCCTGGAATCTCGAATGTTGGAGACTTACGTCATTGTAGCTTTTGGTCGATTCCATTTCACAATACTAATCAATTACAAAAGATAAACCGATCACATTAGTTTATTTTCACGACAAAACATGAAATATCGCGCTTCAAGTTGATTGAAAGAGATATGCATCCATATAGAATTCGTATTTTTTCTACAATTTATTGCCTGCTAAAACGAAAAATCATTAATACCTGATAAAATGATCTCGCGCAATACGAATTTTATTTAGTAAATCGTCCATTTCTGCAAGCCTGTACAAAAGACTCACAGTTAGTTTGCATATAATCAATACATTTAAAGAAATTTTTGTAGAATTCTTAAACCAACATTGTCGGGATAAGATTTAACGATAAAAAAATTACATAAAATGACATTCACTATTTCGAAGATCAGTAGTATGTTAATGTCCCTACATTTGCTTATATTCTTTTATAGCAGTTTTTGATAGCTTTTCGTTAGCGGCTTGCTCACTCTAGTTGTGAAAGATATTTATAAGACAATTAGAGTTGTCCTAATCGTGGTATCAACAAGTTGGACAACATTACATCAGATGAAATTTATCGTTGTCAATGAGAGCTTTCTAGTACAGTAGAAATGACAAAATTTTGAGATAAATTTATAGCGTAGCAATATTTGATTTTGTAAAATACCCATGGATAGATACTACTTTCGGTGTCACTATCTATTGTTAATATGGCAATATGAAAACCAGAAGTAAAGGAACATACATTTTTCGTAAAGTGGAAACTACAGTACTTCAGTAAACTTACAACTATTACAAAATCATGATCTTGCATTTCCGGTTCAGGAAGATTGCTTTTCAAGTCTTCAACTATAACATCTTTAGGCAAGTATATCCAACGAGAAACGACCAATAGGCATAGCAGCGACAGTAGCAACGTTAGTATAAATGCATCTAATATTTAGAATGATAATTCATAGGTTTCCATGAGCTTCAAATTTAAGATTTATATCCTTAAATGTAATTATATCGTATATACACACTATTATCGAGAGTGTAGTCCATCTTTGATAATTAATCATTGCACATAAAAGCAGCATACTCATATGTATGCGTAACATATACAATAAATATCAGTCATAGTTGAACTGAAATTTCATCTGCAAATATTGTAGTTAGCATGTAGTAACACATTGTACAACATCACCTCACAACTCAGCCATTTCACATTATTTGTCCTTACCTAATGTGATAGTCGTTAACAATAATAAAGCAATCAAAGAACGAAGCCCTGACTTCCAACTGTAACGAGAAGATAAATCATTCTTAACATATTATTCATATAGAGCAATAGTCTACAAGTTGAACATGCAAGTAAAGAGAAAATGTTAGCTACAGCCATATCTGCCGATAAGGTCTGTCGATTAGAAAGATAAATCCAGGCATCCATTGATACGTTGATTAATATAACTAGTATATAAAGAGATGATGACATTTTTAACCTATCCCATTCAATTTGTATTTCTACTACTACACCAGGGAACATACTAGACAATGTTACCAAATGTGGTAGATGATGAGTAATGGTACAAGAACTAAAGGTGGACGTCATCACGATTCGTAAGATGAAATGGAAAAGAAATGTGTTGGCTGATGTCATTGCCTAATGGCTTGGTTGCGGATGCATTGTGGAGCGGCCAGATGTACACCTATTCCTCTATTAAGATATCTTCAAGAAAAACTGACCTTCGTCATATTGTATACAAATTATTTGGTTTCCTGGGCTTAACAAGAACAAACCATGAAAAAAGTACAGTATTAGTCCTGTTTGACTAAGTTGATCGCAATCGATTACTGTCCATGGACTCCATCGTATACAAGCATGATCGAGTGTTGTTAACGTAGTGTCAATCTATTGTATTGCATATCTTGGTCTACTAAGACTGCATCCGCCATTGCATGATGATCGAGACAGACTCAACTCGATGTATGATGACTTGATAGTGAAAATTGTAGCAAATAGGGCAAGGTTGATGGAGTAATGAGGCGTTCATCGAATGGTAATTGAATAATGAATCAATTAACCTTCCATGCAATTGGGTTGTTCATTTGCAATGGAAAGGCAAGCGTGGAACATACGTTGTAAAATGATCGTCTCGATATTCATTTCAACTTACTTTAAAAGATCATCTAACCATTGATAGAAATAGCGTAGAGGTCGAAGAAATCGTTTGACTTTCTTATAATTGTCTACTAACACAGCTAATTCTATCTTTCGCTCAATTTGTTCTACTGGAGCCATTCAGACAGAATGCTGCAGCCAACTTTCTTGCATGATTGCTTGGGGTAACCAGCTTGACTTTCACTTGACTCTTGACTCCCTTCACTTACCGCTTGCTGTGTGGCTCAGTACAGTCCGTACAGTACAACGTCCAGACAATGACATCATGCCTTGCCTTTAGGCTACTGCGCCGATTCACAGTTGAAGCAGCTTGAAGTCAAGCTACCAGTGCGGTTGTTGTCTGACGGTCTGTCCGAAGCGCCGCTAAAAAGGGAGATACCAGGTCGAGGCGATGTTTCATTAATTCATATTATCAAGGTAGGAGCCGGAGGGATTAGCTGCCAAGATGCTCCGTAACCATCTCCAAACTGGTCGAATTTTTCAATTTGGCCTAAATCCACTGTAATTTCATGATGATTACTCAATTCTGCAACAGCAGTGTCGTGTAAATGTCCACTATCGTGATGTACTGTCTATTGAATATGAAAGTACAGTTACCAGATCTCCAGTATACTGTAATATTCTGTACAGAGTATATTCGTACAACACGGCCAGAGGTCTAGAGCTATTTCTTTGACCTCGATGGATTCAACAGTGCCTTGAAGAATTGATTTATTTAATTCTTATATCGATCTTCATCTCAAGCTTGGTGTTGGCTACGCACAATAGTATGCTTAATATTTCTACAGTGATGTGTTTTAGTTCGCGATTTTGATGACTAGTATTTCTGCTGGAATTCGTATACTGTACAATGCTATACTGTAGGTCATCTAGGAGCTCGTATTTGCAAGATAAACAATTCATCGATTGATTTGCCTCATATTCTTTCACATTGTGAAATAGATCCTTTTTCCTTGCATTGATAAACTATAATTGTGTAATGAATAGGAAAATCCATATACCTAAATATTTCAATTTCGAAGGACTGTTTATTACTAATAAGAAGAATCAATATTCAGCACATGCACAATACCAACAGTATATCAAAATAGAAATACTAGAAAATCTCGTCACTCGCTGACAGCAATCATGTACGTACAGTACAATGCAATTATATATATAATAGGAGGTATATCAGCTAGTATCCAGTTCCAGTGCGATAGTTTATTTTAGCTTCCAGTCAAAAGAAACAAAATCCTTTTGCTGTTGAATGGATTAAGTACAGCAGCAAAGGATTTCAATTTCACTAAATACTACGTCATCGCTTGCATTTATGCCAACATGTAGTATTAAACTGTCAATTGAAACATAGCGATACTATCGTTGGCTCTCAATACTGATGAGAAAATACTTCAAAAAACTGCCATTCACGCATTAGAAATTCCGTGGTATACAAACCAATCAACCTAGCCACTCTAGTAGGCCGTCATTGTATAGCTCATACTGATTACCGGTAGTACGAACTGCTTTAAAGTATATGGAATCCATACTGATGGGCAGTGGAGTAGAAATTGCCAGCAAAATAGTCTCTCAATATCAAGATAAAGACTCGGTTAAAAGTCCATCATAATTGATTTAATTTAGTCCATTGTCTTTGAGACATTTTAGTTCATAAATATCGGCGCTATAAAGGGTAGTATCGGTGTTCTCCCTAATTCTCCCACATTGGACCCATTGTTGATATTACCCGAATACTTTCGATACTGTTTCATTCTCCGAAATTAGCCAGATCAGAGATGTCCTTATTAACCTCTCATGGAGATTCTCCATGAGCTCCATTGGTGGCGCTGTCCTTTCGGTCTTCATTGGATGTCATACATTTTCAATCCTTTTCACGCATGCGGCCGATGACTGGCCAAGTGCATTGTAAAGTATGTCCACGTGATCACCCTCGAAACAATAGCTGCAAACTAAAAGAGATCGTTAATCAACTTTCAGAAATGATCAATTTTCCACAAACATCGTTAGGATAATTTAGTAAAGCCTGACAAAGAACTGACATCCATCCTATCCATAGGCATTGATGCATGTATAAAAATTGAGTTCCTTCTATCTTATTTTCATCCATTGAGAGAAGAAATAGCACCACATTGGCTGTGTAAACGAACGCAAGTAGATAAAGGAATGATCGGATAATGTCAAGACAAGATTGTCTATTGACGTTATCTCTCTTCCAAGTACTTATCTAGTAGATATCGAGCGGTGATCGATTAAAATGGATGTTTTTCGATCTATTTGTAATTATGTCCTACGTTGGGGCCATCATACACTATGGGTTAATCGTCTTGATGGTAAATTTACACTCAAAGAAGGTAAGATCAAGTCTATCATCGAGATCAAGTGAGTCAGCATCGTCTTAGCTGACCATGTTGATCATCATGATTGGAATGGTTAGAATAACAACTTGCATTTCTTAATTGCTCTTAATTTGATTTAACGAAATGAACTACGTCAGTCTGTAAGTGAACATTAAAAACGATGATGGATCACCATATTACAAGGGTTAGTGTTGTCAACTTTCTTCTAGTGGACTATAATGACAGCAAAATTGATCTACAAGTCGTAATTCAAGAACGCATTGCAAGAATCCTCGATATCATTCCAATCAATTCGACCATAGTGGGAATTATACAGTAGGATATAACCAATAGAAAATGCGTCCACTTTCGTTTCCTCACTATCGTACCCTCTCATCATTCATCTTACTGTCTAAACTAATCTTTCAACCTAACCGAATTCATGCTTCACCTTAATTAATAATAACTTGGAAAGTTTGACTTTATTATTCAATATGATCATCATGATATTGTTGATGATTACAGTACAGTATATTTGTTTCAAAAGTCTTATACATTTTACTTCTCTCTCTATTTTCCCCTATCCAATGAAACAAAATGTTAGACAAGTCTGCTTATACGTAAACTAACGTTCTTGCCATCTTAGAGTTTTATCGTTGATATACCATTTTTCTCTTTCAACAGATATTGATGTTCATGATGTCAGTGATTTAGAACATGTTGGCTCAATTGATGCTTATATCGGTCGTATTCGTTTTTTTCATGGTAAGTAAATTAGACTAATTTTTACTATTACGTTCTTGTTGAATAAACTTGATCCAATCGAAGTCGATCAGATTGATCAAGCATTGGCTCTATACCATTACAAAACTACGTTCATTTTACTGTCAGTACACGGAATAGTTGTCATAATTTTTTTTTTACTTTCATACAACATTCATCAGTTTCAGAGTTTTATTGCTGCGTGACATAATATCTTTATTTTAAACAATCAACTGGTAAACGATATTAAGTATCCGGCTAGAAAAATGATCGTCGATAAGATGGAAGGTTTCCATTTTTAGACTGCAACCACTACAATAAATCGATAATAGTAGCAATCAATTCTTTCCACCCCATCATCAATATAGAATTATTTATAGGTAAAATTTGAATGGCCGATAAGTTCGCTTTCATCATCGTATATATCATTCTTCGAGTCGATCACCATGTTGTCAAGTTTTAATCCCATCCAAACTGATTGTAGTGAAACATTGTAAGAGACGGATGAAAATACTTATGTAGGGTTTAACCTCAAGTTAATATCAGTCCTTACTGAATTTCAATACTGCCAATTACATTAATTAATTTGCCTAACGTAATATGATTATTTTTCAAAGAGAGAAAAAAATGGGATCGACATTTTGATTATTTCATTCATTTATGGAGAAGTGAATAAACAACACAATACATCGGCTGTTACCCTATCCTAATTATTCTAATAATTCAATGTCCTTGTCTAGCAAGCTATTGCTGCCTTATATTATGATGCCGTAATAATAAGATTCAATTTATAACTACATCATCTTTCATATTCATATCCAGTTAGAATACTATCAATAGGATAAAAGATCATTGATAGTTCAAAACTTTAAATCAACTTAGTCTAATCAATAGTCGTTGAATCTTGACGCAATGCAGCGCAAAGAATGGTTGAGTAGTACCAATCGCTACTCTGCCATCAAAGCGTAATAGGGTGGCAATAGCAAGAAGCAAAACATGGCTTCAAAGCTTGATCACCGTACTTGAATCAGGACTTAAACACTTTGATGGAAAAACGCTACCAATGCTATCATTAAATACTCTTCCTTCTTGAGAGCTTCTTTTATGAAATTAAAGTAGACTACTTACTGTGACGTTTTCGACCGCTTTCCTAAATACACCAAAGGTAGATCTGTACAGTACTTGAATCAAGACTCAAATACTTCGATGAGAAAAATTCCACCAGTATTCCATTTAAACATCTACATCTTCCCTTTTTAAGTGCTTCTTTACGAAATTCAAGTGGCGTACGGTGCCGTTTTCGATCACTTTCCTTCCTCTTTATGAACAATATGTTTCGACATTTTTTGGTAGAATAGTTGTTAAGTCAATATCTTCTCTCCCTCCCTATTGGTCACTTCGGCTTGATTTTTATGGAAATGGACTTTCGTTATTTCAGCAATATCAACTCTATGCATCATTATTTCTCCATCAACATTGCTATTTCTAACCTCTTGCTTTCGTCATATATTCATCGTTGCAAATGATACAATATATAGCCTATTTTAGAACATTTCAATGTCTGATGATTAGTTCGTCCTTTGATAACGTCAAAACAGAATCCTTGTTTTGATTTGATAGAATCCCTTTACTATTCGTACTTCCATTCATCATCTTATTCAATCCGTTTCTGGTACATTTTCTTCAACTCTAACAAAGTATTGACTAACTTCTCTAATCATTCCCTGAAACTTTTCCTATCAATTACCCCTGTTAAAACTATGATCATTCGCTTTCCTGCAACATTTCTAATGTATAGTAATATTTTTAATGCATGGATAATGAATGGTAGATTTTTCATCCTTGACCCTGCTTGTTAATGGTTATTAATTGTTTAATTATTAAAGGTAACATAGTTTTTCTTCTCCTTAGCTAATAAGCTTATGACCACTCATTCTATCTAATTATCTTCATCAATACAGTAATTTGCATCATTTCCTAGTTGAAAGGACGAACAATATGATTAGGGGATTCATGTCATGCCTGGCTCTCCGCCATGTTTTCACATCACGTACTGGCGTATGCATCTACACTACTTGCTCAGACCCGAGGGATACCCATCCATTTTAATCCTGAGCGATACCCATCAACTTTAATCAATCCCTAACCTACAATCATTTGCACTACCGGCTCAGACTTGACGGATACCTATCAACTTTAATCGATTCCTCATCTACACTCTTGATCTCAAATGATAGGCTACAATGATCGATTACTTTTCTAACACCCTTAATCTTTTCTATTTTTATTTTTACCATACGCCTATTCTTATAAATAGAATCATTCTCGTCAAATTTTGATTAGTATTACGTACTTGTAATGCAATGGAATAATAATTTAAAGAAAATCATTCCCTTGAAAATGGAAGTAAGGGATAGATTATGTTCTGTAGTTTACCCATTAATCAACTTGTATCAATCTTTCCCAACAAAATATTTGCTAATGGAATATGACGATCCAAACCCCCTTTTGATTTTATGAACAATTTAAATGAAAGTAAATGAGACTACCTATAGTAAGTTAATCGATTGAATCACGTAGTTTTCCAATTAATAAAGTTATATCAATCTTTGCCGTTCTGACTGACTGTAAACAACTTGCCAATTGAATATCCCTTGGAGTTATTTATTTACAATAAGAAGTAAATGAAATTAAGTTGTATGATGCTCTCGCTTCTCTTTCGTAGACTATTACCTAATTCGATATCGTATCCACTTTGACTCCACTCCAATTGAAAGCAATAAACATTAATAGATAATTGTATTAAAAGCAACGACAACTCTCCAATACTAGATCTAGTAATAAAGCTGGACTTTGCCGATGGATAGTTAGCCTTTGCATGCCTATATATCATACCGATGCTAATAGTAAAATAATCCATATCAAGTTAAAGTTCCCATTTAAAATTTCTTCCCCAAACAATCATTTTCTCCTGTTCGAATGTTATTGTTAACTTAAAAATAACGCAACAGAGTATGTTTCTATCTTAAGATAAATTGCGAAAGTCTTACGTAACATTTTCTATTGGATATTGCTTGACTACAGAAAGAATTTCTAGCCAGATGGTACAATGAATTGAAAACCAATGTGTAGAGATTCACATCACTACTATTATAGCGAAAGCGAAGAATAACAAATATCTGAGAGAAATTTATTTCCCCTCCCCCCAAAATAGAATAGATTCTGTTCTCATTATATGCTATCATAAACATCGACTTAACGCAATAAAAGTACCGCTACCGTAAAAATAAACGACAAGAGGCCGTGGTAAAATTTCCATTTGCAATTCTGTTCACCAAAAAGTTAAGTCTTTGAAGGGATACTGTCGATATTGTCTTAATGCAAATTGACTACGGCATAGAGTAATCGATTTTATTCATCACATAAAGGATGATTCTTGTTCTGACTAGTTGCTGGGATGAATTTAAAATCCTTGAAATCAGCTTTATCGACATTCTGTAAATAACAAAATTCGGATGTACATTGTACTACAGTAGTAGCAATATCAATTAGCAATTTACCCGTTAAGATCATTTTCTCAAAACTTGTAACTACTATTCGCCTGAGGCCAATACAATCGATTTTATCTCTGTTACTAGTAAAAGTAGGAAAAATACTCAATGCTTTCCGCCTAAAAAATTTATTCATTCTGGAAGTAGTTCTTCTCAGACTGGATGCTCCATAGAAAATTGAAACTAAGTGCAAGAATATATTCATCCTAGATACGGAAATAGGTAAGGTTTAATACCATTCCATCTGTACAACCTAAAAAAGATCTCTTCTGACAAGATACCGCTATTAATTTGAAGCCCATAACCCGTCCCTATCCCCCTTCCTAAAATAAGGAAAGATCTAAGCTAATCATTATAACAGACTGACCATTTTATAGAACAACCGGATGATTATTTTATTTTTCGACAATTACATATAAGGGTAATATTTATTCTGCTCAATACGTATAGATCCAACTTGCCACTGTAAGTAATAATTATACAAAGTTGACGAATCAACAAATTTCCTTTAATATCCATCACGATAGACTAGGATAGTGATACAACAACGAATACTGAGGACTTATTGTAAACTATCAGTGACTAAATTTGCTGATTACAGCTAAAGTAATACAATTAAGTGCCCTCTAATTATAGCAGTGAACTGAATGATCAGTTCATCAATTATCTAAATGGACATGGTAGTAAAAATATTTTAATTACTCTACGTCCAATTTTAAATGATTCTCGTCCAATGAATGAGAAACATTGTAATCTCTTCGTCTTGTAGAAATATTCAAATGATTGGAAATTAGTGACTGATCAATTCGATACTAGAAAGCTTGGAAGTAATCCTAGTTTTGCTGTGATATAAATCCAACCAGATAAACACGATAATATTCGTATCCTAGTTAGAGCTGAGTTTCTCGAAGAAACCATAAATCAATATCTTAATTTCTAGCTAAATGATTGGCAATTAGTCTCCGATTATTTCGACAATGGAAAGCCTAGAAGTAATCCTAGTTTTACTGTGATACAAGACCAATCAGTAAAATATGAATATCTTCCTACCCATGGAATAGTTGATTTTTCTTCTAGAAAAATTATTAATAAATGTCTTTTATTTCCTGTCGAATTAACTACTGAAAATTAATCGCTGACTGTTTCGATAATGAAAATTCTTGAAGTAATTCTAGTTTTGCTGTGATACCAATTCGATCCAATAAAAATAAGTATCTTCTCAACCTACATCTTAGTTGATTTTTCTAGAAGAAACGACTGATTTGTGCAACCAGATGTTAATTCTGTGGGAATTTAGACCTGAGGAAGGTTCGGCTCGGTTCAATACCTTTATGATCTGTATAGTGAGATCATTTTAATAGCTGTTCATTTTTCCCGAGAGCATCCTATGAAGTAGTATGCCTCCTGTTGAAGCTTACAACCAACAAAGTTGTTGCCATGTTGATAATCTCTAGTAGTGGATTAATAAAACCAGATAAATAACATTACAATACTTCAATAGATGTTCAAAGTCGTTCATTTCTCTACAGAAAATGAAGAAATAGTTCCTTTTACTTAAGTTTTGTAACCAGTGTTGCGCTGTCCGTAATAATATACTCTTATTTACAATGCCAAAGTATAGCTATATGTAGACGATTATTGCGTTTGTTGGCTCCCCTAATTTTCTTTTATTTTCTTCGTCTATAATAATTCCCAACTCGCAATTATTTTTGTTTGTAAAATGATCCATTCTGGAATTCAGTTCTTGTATGGAAGGGTTATGAAAAGAGATTATGCAATCCTTTCACCGGTTTTGAAGCTCAAACAAATAATATTTGGATCAAAATATTTAATCAATCCATTCCCTTTCCAATCATGACAAATAAGTCACGATATCCTGCTTTCCATGTATAGCTATGCAATTGCTGCTATACCATCATTAAGAATTTTTTCATTGATATATTAGTTATATATAATAGCATAAATATGCTGAAATTAATGATAAACTATAATTAAGAGCTCTGTAACCAATTTCCTTCTCAATTTAATACCAGCAGATTCAATTAAAACAAATTATCAAAATTTTAAAGTAATTACTGTATTGATAGCTCGTAAGAATTGTGAGCTACATAAAATATAGTGCAAACATACTTAAACCGATAATAACCTTTACAATTAAATGTTGTGACAGATTGATTCTAAAATATTTACTAATAGATTCAGCTAAATGCTGTATTTAGATCCATACTTTACCAGCTTTTTCATGATGTTTACTAGTTACATCTTAAAATGCTAATATAGTTTAATAGGTAATAATCTGAAGTCAAAGTTAAAATTACTTGCCAACGCATTCAATTAAATTGTTATATTTTTCACCCGTTTGTTAGATTGCTCGTGGTATCTACTGGTCATTTGTGGCAAGACGGTAGTTGGAAAGCTACCAGGAGGCCATTTAATTTATCGTATTGACAGAGTAGCAGCATTGCCGCTATCAAGAAATAATCCAGCCCAAGACTTACAAGTAAGACGACTGCTATAACTTCATTTTCAGCTGATATTCGTATCGTCAAGAGCTCATCTCGTGCTTCCAATAGGTCTAATTGGTATTAACAAGAGTAGTAGTTGAATTGATATAATTAGGTTGCTATATGCTCTATAATTAACAGTTTTCAAATACGTGCAAATGCTATAGCTAGCAATATCTTAGATAGTAAAACATAATGTTTACAAAACGTTAGATAGTCGAAATAATAAAATGTTTTTAACCTAAGGAATTAGACTAGATTTGGTACAAATAAATTTTATATCGTTAAGTATTGATAATAATCGCCAGGAATTCGGTAAATCTATCACGTCATGCGAAACATTTATAATAATAGCAATAGTCTTTTGCCCAATATCGGAAAAGAACTTATAATTTCTTCTATTATTAGGTTAAATACCGTCCATCAAATAATCGTACCAATCGACCATCTGATCCACATAAGAAGCAAATAGCTTTCAGTCAAGCTTGGAATTCATTGAAATATGGTTCGGCTTTGCCGGATAAAACGCAAAGAGTAAGCCAATATTATGGCAATTCTTGTATTAAAGCAAAGTGAAGTATATATGCAATATCCAGATTAATAGCATCATTTCATTCTACCTTGCCTTTCTATAGTTTTCATTTTGTCAACGTTACATTTAAAATATAAAAGCTAATTCTTTCTTTATTGGCTACTAGCTTTTATCTTGTGGCTATAAACAATTTTCAATATATTAACAGAATAATTCAATCTTAATATAACTATACGTGTAAACGCCTTCTACAAATAACATCTAAATTATTTTGCATGCTTATGGCATATCTCAGTAATGATTTCAAGAAAATTTCATACATTTCGATATATCTATCACATTGCATTATCGTCTATTCACCTCATAAAAAAAATGACTTTAACATATATCAATCTCTTCCTGTTATAACAGAAAAGCTTAAAAATCAAAGAAAAATTAGAGAGGCGATTATTGGAGGTAAGTATACAGACATATCGTTTACCAACATTACTTCACCAACGGTCAAATTTATCAATGCCTAGAAATTTACCAATCTCCTATACTTTATCTCCCTACCTTTTTGAGTAGCAAATTACTTCATCTAATAATCCGTTACTTTATAACTTTAGGAATTATGTAAAATGTTTAACGATTCCGGTGCATTTTATTATTCAACCACTGGCGATATTACAAACTCTATGCAAAATTTACATAGTCCAGATTACGATGCAACATTACCGTTATGGAAAAGGGTAAAACTGTTAATGTTATGTCGTGTATATGCATTAAAATCGCTATTACTCCACTGATATTCGATTTTAATATCTATTTAGGTAAATAGGCGATTTTTCTGGAATAAATTCATGTTAAAAGATCTAATTGACTCGAAAGTAAGACTCGACAGAAATTGATGAATAGATAAATGATCATACTTGATTTTTCGCCTTGTATTATTATAGAAATAGAACTACCTATCGAAAGCATATTTGTTTCCTACTTAGTATACAAGACTAAAAGTTATAACATCTTTTGCGTAGGATCCTGAAGCTGATATATGGATTACACCGATTATGCAAGGATTTATCCAAATAGAAAGATTTAACTTATCCCCGGATCATGATCACTCGACGACAACAACAGCAGCAATGCACGAGAAGGTATCTATTGATCAACGCAATACGGATGAATTTGGTCTATTATTAATCGCTAGAAGAAGTCGCTTTAGAGCAGGTAAAAATAATCCAAGATTGAACGTAACTTCCTAATTCCTATAGTCATGACTAAACTTGTCAATTTACGTATAACAGACTGAAAGATTAATTAAAATTGGATAGTAAAATTTTAGAATGCTAGATGAGAAATTTTATTATCAGTTATAGCATTAAGATTTTATTTTGTCCTCTTTGTAGGAACTAGATATAAACGTAGAGGGATAGATAAAAGCGGCTCATGTGCTAATTTCGTGGAAACTGAACAGGCAATGATCCATATAACATAAAAATCACTTTCTTCAAATTGCGTTTACTGTAATAAATAGCCATACCTATTAATATCAAATAGCCTTAATTAACCCTAAATATTTCTAAATTTTTTAATTTTCAGATAACAACGTACAACCAGAATGTTTTATCTTTTGTTATTACACGTGGATCGGTGCCATTATTTTGGAGCCAACCTGGCATACAATATCGCCCGCCGCCTGTGATTGATAAAGGTTAAGGAATATGGCAAACTACTATACTCTTATAACAGCTGTTATTTCCAAATTTCATGCCTGACATTATCTTTATCTGTTTGTAGGTCAAGAAGATACTCAAGCTGCATTAACAAAACATTTTTCTGAGCTTGTCTCAATATATGGCGATCTAGTTAGTGATCATAATGATTATTTAGATTTCTTTCTAAGTAATTGTTATCTGATAGCTATTCAATATTAATTACTCCTCTATATAGATAATCATCAGTCTAATTGATCATATTGGAAGAGAGAAGGTAATAAAGTACTACACTTAATTGAAAGATTGATAATTATAGATGAATGCAATTAATTAAAAGTGCTACAAACTTTTTAATAGATTATCCATGATGCCTTTATGAAAAATATAATCTCCTACGACAGTTCTAATTTAACTTTTGTATCCTTCGACTTTCATGAACACTGGTATAAGTTATTATTTATAAGATCTGAAATGTTATATATTCGTTTAATTATATAACTTAACAATAAAACTAATCACCATTTCTCCTTATTTACAACTGCAGTAAAGGATTGCAATTTCAAAATATTTCGATATTATTGCAGAGAATGAAGAATTTAATTCACGAAATGAAATTTTGCTGGTTTGTAGCTTTTTTAAAGCTATCAGAACATGAAAAATTGTTAACATTCACTAAATAAAACTATTAAATCGCATAAATTATATAATTTTTTATAGGATTACATCAGATCGGTCACCAATCTGTCAACAAACTTGTGTCATGCGGGTTAATTGCATGGATTGCTTGGATAGAACTAATGTTGTACAGGCTGCCATTTCTCGTGTTATCTTGGAAGCTCAAGTAAATCCTATTAAACTACATAATTTCTATTGCAGACAACGTAGACACAATACTGATACGAAGTGATAGCTGGTAATTTCGGTCCTTGTATTCTTGATTACAATTCATAGCTGAGAAAGTTAGGCTGTTTACTACCTGAACAATCCTTACCTGGAGGCTGTCGTTTGCAATGGCAAGGCATGTGGGCAAATTGTGGCGACGCTATTAGTCGGCAATATGCTGGTACTGATGCATTAAAGGTGAAAATTTATAAATAAAATTGCGATTTCATTGATGTAAAAGGATTACTGTTCAATATCGATATTAATACTTTAAGATATTCTAACTTGATAATACAATGAATGATATCAGGAGCTGACGTATAACATATTTATTTAGGGAGATTATACAAGAACAGGCGAAAGAAACGTCAAAGGTGTCATGAAAGATGGATACAACTCAGCAAATCGGTATACTTTAAAGATAAATGTTATACTTACTTTACTACTATTAATGAAGTAGTTACCGATTGAATTTATTCATTAATAACAAAATTTTTTGTTAGGTACTATTTGAACCGATTCAGAGATACGTATAGGCAGACTGTCATTGGTATTTAATGATATTAGGATAACTACAATGTTAAAATCTTACTACTCTTAATGCACAATGACAAAGATAAATAGCCGATATACTCATATTCCCTTCATCTTCAAAACTATTCAGATATCATGTTAGGTAATCCTGTTACAGAAGAGTTGCAGTTACTGAACTTAAAGCGAAAGATTAGGCAACAGTTGAAAAATGAAGATGAATGGTCGGCTCAACGGGAAGAATCAGAGGCGAATGTAATATCTCATTGCCAACGTTTAATTGTTCCTGAAGACGAGGAACATGTTGCTGGTTGGATGTTAGTTAACCCGCATTTTTGGTTAGTCAATGGTGTTCCTTTATTATTACATAATTTTTTATGAAGTAGGTGTTATTACTATGGAATAATAACGTGTCATATGAATTTATGGGTAATAAAATTTAGCTCAAACACCGGCCATGACGAAGATGTAGCGCTGTTATTAACAACCAAAGCAATATATCTTGCCAGGTATCATTTGCTCCATAGAAAATTCTGTGCCAGCTGAGTAATTAATGCTTAGTAAAGTATACTGTACTTTTATATTTATATTTATCCCATAAACATATAATACATTTCTTGAAAGAAGTTATTTCCATATATTTTGGTAAACCAAATTTAATACCACTACCGTATCTTATTATTTCAAAGTTATGATGATGAAAATGAGCGTATAACAACGTTTAGAAGCACTTTATTGGATGATGTTGAAAGAATAGAAATTGGTAAGTTGATTCTATTTCACTTTAAAATTTATAATTGATATACGTATAGTAGTACCGTATATCTTAATTTATCATAAAGTTACATCAGCGGTTTTCATATTTCTACAGCAGTCGAATAATTAATTGCTGTCCAGCAACGTTGTGTCATAATTTGATCAAATATGTACTGTGCAACTCCAGCTATTAAAAGAAGATCATAGCGATCACTATAATTGATGACAATTATAACTAATATAATATTTCTAAACTATAGGCATGATTGCATCGTTGTTTAAATCGAAATTTATATTCTTACGCCTTCATTATATCCATGCTAATTGTACTGGATATTTTTATACCTTGAGAAATCTTCACTCAAAGACCATTGAAGATTCTACAGGTTATCTTACGTGATTATACCAACTTAAGGTTAATATATTTAGTTTCATTACTGATAAATGTCTATATGGGGCTGAATCATTTACAGATCGTATGATAGCTATTGCTGATGCTATTGTGTGCACTTGTGGTCTAGTCAAGAAAAACCCAGTGGCAGTCATTAAAAAACGCTTAGAAAGGTGATATTCCCTAATAGAAGTATATTGTAATATAATACATTCAATATTACACTATTTTGATAATTGCGGTATTTTTAATCTTTTTTGATGATTCAGAATTAAAAGCAAAGATCCTAACGATGCAGTTGATTTATCATTCATGTCTCGTGCAAATGCTTGGTTTTCGAAAGTCATCAAACCCATCAAACCCAACGCTACAGTTAGCAATACTACAACTACGACAGCGACAACTAATTCAAGCAATAGCGGACCTTTATCAGGTCGATTTATCAGTCAATGGCGAAAAAGATTTCAGCTAAAAAAAGTATCAAACCCTAACCATATTGCAACAGTAGAAACAACAGCAGCAAATAGCATTCCAGATATTAAATTATCCGTTAGCTCACCTACTGTAATCGCCACAGAGCCTAATTCAACGTTGGACGCCTACGAATTTACTAATAACAACAGTAGCGATAACGAATGTAGCGAAGGTAGCACTGGCTCTGATAGGGATACATTAAAATCTCGTAATCAAATATGGCAATCTCATAGTAAATTAAGGCGACTTACCTCATCAACCCGATCTCTATCCATTGATTCCAAAAATGAGGTATACTTCCTTTGCGATTCATCTAGTCGCATGGATAGCCTACGTGATAAATACATCGATTTAAGAAAAATACCATCATGCCCAGATCTTACGATGCCTATTGATTCCGATGATAGCGAAGATGAAGATAGTGAAGGATCGGCCAATCATGATAGAAAATCGCATAAAATTATTAACAAAAATCGTTACTCATGGACTGCAAGTATCAACCAAGACTACAGTTGTGTACGCTTGAGTAAAATTCGACCTGGCAGTAATCAATTAGTAGCTAATTATCATCAACCAGCAATTAAGATTAACGATAGTGATAACAATTTGAGCGATTTTGAAGTTATTGATAACAATGCAATGGAACCAGAAAGCTTATCCGATCTCAATGATGAGCTCGATGTTAATAGTACATGTACAATCTGCGGTAAATACAAAAAATTAACGGATATTATTCGTGATGATTTTATTGCGGTTGGGTTTAAGTGCGCTAGCTGTTCAGAATCATCTCGAAATACATCGGATAATGATGATATTAGTCACGAAAAGGATCAAGATAATAATGGAAAGAAGAAAAATGTACCAGCTGATAATGAGAATCAAAAAGTGTCTTCCAATAGTGACGACGATAGCAACAATAATACTTACAGTGGCGGAGTTATTACTGCTAAGAATCAAGGTATCATGACATCGTTTTCATCGGAATCATTAAGCCAATTTCGAGATTCGTTCCGCAACCGCTTCTCCAATGCTTTTGTATCGAAAAAAGTCCGTCGTAAGCGATTGCAAGAAATTGAGTTATCACAAATGCAAGAGAAATTAAAAGAAATTAATTGTAAAACTAAGTTTATTTTAATTTAATTACCTATAAGATAAAAATGCAAAAACACTAACTAATTTGTTGAACAGCATTAATTTATTTTGACATGGATTATTATTATTATTTACTTAATTTAATTTACGATAAAATTTCTTTATACTAATGATTTTAAATTATTGAATTTGGTAGTTATCAAAACGACAAGAAAGGATATAACATTAATAAGCTTGCAATAACTTAGTATAGAATGGAAGTATGTTTAGAGTAGGCAAATTACATATCAATTCTATTTAAATGGTATAAAACGCTACTTTCTTGCAGTTCTCTCGATTGCTGACTTAAATTAACTTTTAACTCAATCATGAAACCAGTGATAATTAATTATTGTAGAATCTAATTCGATGCTATTGCAAGATTGGCGCATTTCCTGATTGGATCCGATATTTATTTTTTGTATACGTTAATATTTATATGCAGATAGTTTGATCAGTATGCTGCTATGCTATACATACAGTATATACTATTCTAGTAGTCAATTAAAGAATTTATTTATACTTCTCATCATTCAGATCATGCTAATTCAAAATTTGATTTTAATTGCTTTAAATGGGTACTCTCGTGTATGAACAATAATATGCTTAGTCGTTAATGCATTAATGTCTTCATTTTTCAATGCCTAAATAAGTCTTAACAACTTCAATCGCTTTATTACGGCCTTTTAGTTGAGATTTCTATTCTGATCTTCCTGCTCATAATACTGTTTGAATTAATCACTAATTATTTAATTTAATCACTATGATGTATTGGAGACTTATAAGAAAACGCCTTAGTATCTTTAACTAAATGAAATTGCAATAATTCCGATGTTTTATCTGAAATGAAGAATCTTAAAATATATTGCCCTAAAAAAATTATTTGACGACCTAAATGAGCATACCAAAGCTAATCCAGCAAGTATTATAAAATCTTCAATAGCAAGATTGCATAGTATACTGTATAATCGTAAGCATCAATATCAGTGCTTATAAAGCTTACCTACAGTGGATTAACTAAATAGGTGATCCAAAGATGAATGTTACTTTTATATCTAATAACTTTATAAATTATACTTAAATAGCCATCATCCATCCATATTTATCACTTATATCTTGAACAGCCTCAATGTAATAAACTTAATCGCACAACGAAATTTGGAAATTAAAAATATTTATGAAATAGTATTTCATGAAATTGATCAGCAAAGATCTGATAGTGATTCGTAATGATCCAAAAGTGTTTTAGCTACGAGCTGAGTACAAATTTTCCTATTGCTATTAGCCAACTATATTATAATAGAAACTTAACCTTGTAGCCAAGATTGACGATGATCCAAAGTGCTTTCTTTCCAACTATAAGTTTTATACAAATTGGCTATTATTTTTGGCTTAAGAATGGGAATTTTATTTGGGAGTTACAGCAATTCCCTATATGATCAAAAGTGCTTTAGTCATCAATTTATATAAATATCCCACGAATCTAAGCTAACAATAAGAACCTTATCTCACAGCTTATTATGATTGATGATGATCAGACGTGATTTAGTCGTAATTGTAAGTTGTGCGTTCAATCGGACATTTTAATAAAATAGCTTCTAGAATAAAGTTTTGATCCTTAACGTGAGTAATCTATCGTCTAAGACTCGAATCTAAGTTTGGTTGATTAAAGAGTGCTTAGAGTTAGTTGCTTAGATAGTTAAGTCTACTTTAGAGGAAAGAATCCCGTTTAATTCTTGTGTTACAATCTCGGTTGTGACAGAGCATTATGATGTAACTTGACTCTATATTTCCATTATAAATATTATCTGATCGAGAAATAGCATTATATAGCACTTACACAAACCAGATGGTCAAAAATAAATAGCCTTTCCTTGATTTTGTTATACTGGAATAAACAGCTTGCACCGTATGTTTTATCGCTGCTAGTATGCGCGATAGCCTTAGTAAAGTAATATCAAAACCTAACTGTTTGCTAAAGGCTTAAAATCTGTATGAATTATTTGCTTTACGAGTATTTTTATGGATAGTATTCTATTCAGGTACTGATTGGATATTCCAACGATATTATTGTTACCGATCTGCACTTTTATCCATCTTCTCTCTAAGACAAGAATTGATTATTACGACAGCGCTAGCTATAACATGGATCAGGTAGAAATAGATATCGAAGACGAAGAAGACTACTTTCAAGAGGATGATGTCTTAATTCATCATCCATCATCTAACCAAAATAGCCAAAGTAGAATGAGAATCAAGAGAAACAGCCCATCGGAAAGATTAAATCATCAACAGTACGATAGTTATGGTACCAATAGTTTATCCTCTCAGTCTTTGTATGCCAATTTCTTACCAACGATAAAACAACATGAAAGTGATGGAATTACATACTGTCGAATGTGCCTAGAAGGAAATCTTGAATTGGAATATCAACAAGAAAAGGATTTTAGTCACTGCTTATATCATGCTCAATGTGGCGATAGGGCATCACAACTTCAAGTAGCTCGTTATTTTTTAGATGGCCAACTAGTTGAACAAAATTTAAAATTAGCCATTACATGGCTAATGCAAGCATCCAAAGCTCAATATGATCCGGCCACTCAGTTACTAAAGCAATGTTATGAAAATCAAATTGGCATCGATGATAGTAATGTAAAAGAGGTCTTATGGTGTATTAACACTAGCAATCGCTTAAAAGATCTTGCTAAAAGGGAAGAAGTATTCCTAAAACGGATAACAGGTAGCAGTGATAATCAATCAAAATCTGCAGTGACTGAAAATAAAATTCAAGACGGAAGCGATCAATCTAATGGCAAAGAAAGACGTAGTGGATTATCTCTATTGCAAATTGCTCAACAATTTCGTAGTGAGCAACCCGTAAAGCATGATCAAATTCAGAATCACTTAACTAAACAACAGGAAAAATATCAATTAGATAATAAAACTATTATTGACAAATTGACGAAGGAAAATCATCACAAGCAACAACAGAAAGAATCGAATCACCGCCTAATTGATACAACTGAAATAATGAATACAGAAGAAGATATACTAGTAGAAACAATATCTCAACAGAATCACTCCAACAATAACCGTGCAGGTTTACGATTAAGATCGAAAGAAATTAATTTACTGGATCAATATGATCAAGATAATAATGGTCATCAAAGACAGGGAGATTTAATCAAGCAAAAATCTACCATTAAAAGTGAATAATTATTTATATTTTAATGCTAGAATTAATCGTGATTTGTACAGGCTGCCAATTGTTCGATTATATGCTGAAATAGATCGTTTTGTTTCACTATTTTTACCTTACGATGTAATGAAATAAGAAACAACACTTTAGAGGTAGCGAATAACGTTTAGAACACTTATTGCATTTTTTACTACCAATTCAAATCTTAAAATCTCTCTTCAAAATTGTGGCAAAGAAGGATAATTCTGCACTTTAAGCTTACTAAACTGTTCATTAACCAAGGATGGATTGTTGAGGTCAAGGATGGATCATTTCTTCGCTATTTATGGTTTACGGTACAACTGAATAAGAAATGCCATTTCCAGAATAACCAAATCACATGTAAAGTGTCTATTGCATCTATCTTAGAAATTTAAACTTAAAAGCTCTGTTCAAATCAAAGTAAAGGAGGATAAACCCACCCATTTAGGAACTGAATGGTCTGCTGATTTACTAAGGATGAATATATACCATCATGCTGATTCTTCCTTACCTACAGGTTAGCTGTTTGCAGATAGGGTGTAAATCTGCATGACCTCACAATATGCTCTGCTGTCTTCATGTTTGACGAAAACACGAAATTTCTTAGAAAGCAATTTGTGAAAATGTAACACTAAGAGTTTGCGAACATCAGCTGAGCTTTTTGTTCAGTACACTACACCATCAACGTTGCTGAATATCGAGAACTAGATACAAGTATACATTTTGATCAATGCAGATGATAAGCTGCTTCATATTGCTGCAAATGGTACATCGAAAGCAATTAATCTTTCATTCGAATTTCAGTTCGTAAAGTAGAATAAGTATTCTTCTCACACGAAATGTATTATTACTAGAAAAGATTCAAAGTATTTCTCATAAGTGATAAGCAGTAATAAAGCCGATGTATAGCAACATCTTTAATGTTTTTATAAGATCAAAACTGTAAAATAAAGAAAATTTGCTTACATATCTTATCTCTCAGTTAAGTATTCTTCTACAATGGCTGCATAAGAAGAATTGTTATCCCATGTTTTTACAACTCCAAGGATACATCTGTTGATAATAAAAGGGCAGCTAACCTCACTACTAAAAATCTGATGATGAGATTTCCATGATAAAATTACTTCACTGATTTATTTCTTATTGTATTCGCAATCTTTTACTCTTCTTACACGTAATATGAGAAAATACGTTACGATGTAAAATATCAGCTTTGGAGTCAACATTACATATCGATATCTAGAATGCTTCGAATATACGATGTTCATCAAGAATTTTATTGCCAATATCATCATCTAGTGTGTATGACTTTGGAGAATTTTAGAATAAATATTGCTTACCGATATCCACAAATGCAATGAATACGAGTATATGAAATCCATCATGATATCAATCAACGATCTTAATGATCAATATCTTTACCTGGTGAGCATGATTTTGAATAATTTCGGGATATTATATACCGATACCCAGAATGCAATGATTACCGTATATGATATCCATCAGTATCTTCATCAAGTGTGCAGGAACTTGGATATTATCTAGAATGCAGCGAATATTTGATATCCATCAAGGATCTTAATAGTTAATATCTTCATCTAATGAGCATGGCTTCGGATAATTTCCTTTTATTCATTATTTCAATTAATGCTTAATGTTAATAATGATAGAGACTAAAACTTTATAGCAGGATAACTCCAATAAAATGAGCAGAGTACCTATTTACAGTGCTACCAAACTTGGATATAAAATACCTGTAAAATTACAGAGAGATGGTATATCACAATGAGCATTATGCAAATACCATATAGCAAGCCACTATAATCACAGCTCTGGCTAGATTTTATCCATATTTAACGAATTCCAAGATAATTATCGTTGTTAAAATCACTCATCGCTAAATAGACTTTAGGAGTCTAGTTTTTGTGCCGTAAGATACTTAAGAAACTCGCATACTATCTTACTAGCAAATCGACAACAGCAAAGATTGCGACTGAATGCCGTTGTAAAAATCAAGATGAAAACATTTCAAAAATCCAAAATAGACGTACGGGTAAAATGCGAAATGATATCAATGATAACTTAGTACAATATATTAATCATGATATTTAAAAGGCTATAATGTTTTGCGTTGTAGATAGTTAAGTATAGGATAGTGTTTTACTAGATTTACTAATAATAATAACTGTTATTTCTTATTCTCATTACACGCGAAGACAACGGAACTGTAAATCTATAATTGTATAATATCAAATTTAATTTTAAGTAAAATGATAAGTATCATATATTATGCTATCTAGTGCTATTTATTCTTGATTTTTGAATGCATTATAGCGCATAATACAACAATAAATAAAATTGCATAATCCAATCGATGAATGTAAGATGTAGTCTTTCTGGCCGCAACGGCGTCCTGCTAACCTCTATTGAAGCCATTTTCTTACTTAAAATGCCAAGCTGCAGAGCTGTCTTATCTAATATGGAAAAAATGAATAAAATTGTACAATTGAATCGATTTTTATAAGATGTAGTCTTTCTGGCCACAACGGCTACTTCTAATCTCAATTGAAACTACTTTCCTACATAGAGTACTGAGCTTTAGAGCTTTTCATACTAATACAGACGTATTGCTATAGTTCTAGTTTAAGTCAGATAAGACTACCTAAGGTACTAATTGCAAATAGCGCCTAGTATCAATATCCCTATATAACCGGAAGAGTGGAATAAAGTTTATCGAATAGAGTGAGTGAACTTTGCTTCCTAAATTCCGTCCAATTTAAATATCTTTATACAGTTTACATCAAACCGTTTAGACTCCTGAGTTGAAAGTAAGAAGATCAATCAGGAAAACGGTGTAAGTTGCGCTGATTTAAGATTTCTTCTGGAAATTAATAACGCTAATGCTATATCATCATGGCTAGCATCATAGAATATATTCAAGCTCCCAAAGTTGAAATGAGAACATCCATCGAGAAAGCAAGGCAACCTGCTTTAGTGGATGATCTTTCTGAAACTTACAATTCGGATGACAACAATCGATCCCTAAACTCTCCGCTATTTATAGATCTAGCTGATTAAAATCAATTTAACATTTACTACATATCCAAATTATAAACTTCTTCGCTAGATTATGGTAAAATTAAAATGTAAATAATGATAGTCTTGCTTGTACTTGATTGGTTAATTGATCGCAACTTATTTTTATATCTTCTATTTATATTGATTGGTCCTATAGAAGCATTAACCTTTTATTGAAAAGTGTCCTATATTATCCTCCTACCTTGATTGGTTCAATAGCAATTCGACTTATGATTAACTACTTTAATATGCGCCATATTTCAGCCACTTCATTCAAATAGCTTGGGATATAGTCAGCATTGACAATAAAATTATGAAATCAAATAGATCGACCATATGGTCAGGTGCGTCGGGTAATTGATTGTCTATGACATTCTAAATCTATAATAAATATGACTCACAAACGCCCTATATCCAAATGTATATCATAGTAATATAATCATTTTGCCATAAATCGGTAAAAGTAGCGCTGCCCATGTTGTTTACTGGGCTAAATTGCCACATCATCGAATGGTAAAATTTTCAACTTTACGTTTCATCAAGTCGTCTCTATTACCCGATAAAGTAAGATCGGATGGTTACTCTTTTATATATTTACTAGTAAGGCCAGTCTAGCTTGAAATTCGTCCATCAGGTAATACAATGTTAAGGTCTTGTTATAATAACGGATAGATAAAAGGTATCGCTCTGTTTTGATCGTGATTCTAGTCTTAGCCGATTTAGTACTGTCAATATAGGTGTTAACCGATCATCTGTCAGATAGGATTTCGATGTATTTCTATGCAGAATTAATTATCTAGAAATTTGAATTTTTAGCTATTAGCATTGTTTAAGATTAAACTACTACAGTAATTTGAAGCTATTTTCTTTCCAAATTGAACACTCAATAACGTTCTCTACTGGCGAATTTTTCTCCATATTATTAAATGTAATACGCTATTCAATGATTGCTTTATTTGCTATCATTATAATTGATGACACTTTGACATTTTCTGATGATTCTTGCACCGTGCATCTGTGTAGCAAAATCTTATATTCGATAGAGTAGGCGATAGAAAAAAATGTATTAGGCTTTCTAATTATGCCACGTCAATGCGATAAACTATCTATAATCATATACTCACAACATGTTTAGTAAGAATTCTTGCCCGTACAATAATTAATGATCGCGCACAGTCGTAGGTAAAGCACACCGTTATTTATTTATATTAATTCATGTGTTCTGTAGACATCACCAAACCATTTGAATAGCAATAGTCTTAGGGGATGTAAACTCTCCATCACAATCTCATTTAGTAAGAACTAAGAAAGACAAATCAGTAAAAATAGAATCGACAACGATTCTTAGGAGCAAATGCTAAGAAAATTACGCTTTTATTACTACTGCAATTGTTTAGCACATTCTAGAACATGTTTGTGATAAAAATAGATATTAAATGAACAGATTACTATGAAGAAAATGTTGTAATATGTGTTTGTAGGTAAATTTCTTTAGTCAAACACATTAAAATCAATAAGCCACCGCCTTCAGCATCATGTTCGTTTTTAGATGGTCTTTTTATTACGTGAAATTGACACGATGATTGTGTGAAAATAATCTTAAAATGAATAGCAACAAGTTAAGATATCGCTGCTTGCAATAATGGATTTTCTAATAATACACTGACAGCCATGTCAGTTTTAACTGGATGTATAGAAGAGTCGATAGTATACTCATGAAATTGCTAAAGATGTACCCCAGAAACAAGTATAGCATGGAGAGCAATAGTTTAGCTGTGATTTATCACGATTACAAGTTTAAATCTATGCTGATGTCTACTTAAAGTTTCAGTTAGCATTAAAAAGTAGCTGCCCAATTCCCTATTAGCGATATCAGTAGGTTTAGATGATGTTTTTACCACGTATCGATAGCAGTGTAAGCTGAGAGTCCTAACTAATGACCTTTATTAGAGAGGCACTATTGCCATTGCCTAGATATTGGATTGTAATAATGTGTCTATCGAAACGCAACGACTTCCACAACTTGAAGGAAAATCACTTTATTACAATAATTACGTCTTCTACCAAGGACTAGATTATCTATGGCTACTCTGTCTTCGGAGATAAAATCTCCTGCTTATATACAATTGTGTACAGAGTATCTTCGTGACACATAAATCATTATCTACCTTAATAAGGCTAACATCACACCTCTAGCGTACCTGGAGGTGCCAAACAGTATGACTAATAACTTTTACAATCCGTATTGCAATTACTGATACAAATCCTCACATATTTAATCTCACTCTACGATCTAGCACCTATACAAGCGTATCTATCTTAATTAGCCTAGTAATTACGTCATGCACGATATTCACACATACTGTATATAATCTTAAGCTATATTTGGGCTGCACTACATGGATAAAATCAAAAATACTTGCTGACTTTTAGAAAGATATTCTGCTCTAATCAGAAGATAAGCCATGTTTGATGAATGCTACGTTGTAATACACAAATACAGCGACTATAGTTAATTCGATATATTTCGACGGACCACTTACAATTTAATTAATAGAGTAATATATCTTTAATCGTTGAGGTTTAGCAGTCTATAAGAATACTTAGCTATGCTACATCTTGATAAGCTATAGGTATTAGTATAATTATAAAACTAGTTGATCATCGTTGGTGATAATTGTGTCCAGAGTATACAAAATAGAATTGATTTCAAATAATAAATAAACTATCTACTCCTTCGGGTACAACCTAGTTGATTTAAAATAACATTAGTACTATATTAAATATGGTTAGTCATCCACAATCTGATACTCAGCTACGCTTTATATTGATAAGCTAATCTTAAATAAGATGCTGATCATATCTAATTGTTTGCAATCTAATACTCAGCTATGCTATATATTGGTCAACCCTATACATTAGTATGATCATAAAGCTAGTTGATCATAATCGGTGACGATAATTGTCTATAATATGCAAAGCAAAAATTAATTTCAAATGATAAATATATTATTTACTCCTTACATCTCGAAACCTTAATATAATAAATTTAAACTTAAAGCAGCATAAAATGTATATAAAATACGGCTAATCATCTACAATCTAACGCTTAGTTATACTTCATATTGAGAAATTATGCATAGTAATAACTAATTTATCATCATTGGCGACAATAGTATCTATAACATACTTGTATAAAGCAGAACTTTCCTTAAACTAATCTTATACGTAAATTTTTTCTCCCCATATCTACAGCCAAACGTAACAAATCATGAAAGCGGCACAAAGAGTAGCAAAATCGAAAGCTGCCGTCAAGAAATGGCGTCAAAAAATTATCGTCAAAAAAGACAACCAAGGCAATGATCAGCAGGATGAAGTTGATTCTAAACAAGCTGATGAAGAAGCCAAGAAAAGTGAAAATTCTGATGGCGAAAACCAAGATAGCAGCATACAGTTTGATTTTGGCGAACAATCCAAATCCTATTATAAACAGGTTCTCTATCAGGCTCTTGACAGAGATGTCGACGCTCAGTTAACTATGGGTAAATTCTACCTATCAGGAAAGTATGTCAAGAAAAATCTAGTTACCGGCGTAGAGTGGCTTATTAAAGCATCAGAAGAATGCAATAAAGATGCAACATTCATCTTATCAGAATGTTTGCGAAGAAATAAAGGTCATTTACCTTAATGAATCTATTTTGAGCTAGTCGGACTCAGCATAGCCTCTTCAATAAGTAGATAGATTCTTCAATGGCTCATTTAATTCTATTTTTATTGTAGGTATAACTTCAGAAAATCGAGCTAAAGTTATTTGGTGTGTTAATACTAGCGATCGTATAAAGAAGCAAAAAAGCCAAGAAAGGAAACTATTACATCGATTAAAGCATGCCAAGAAAATTGCAGATGATGATGATATTGCTTTAGCATCGACTACCACCATCAATCAGAAAGAGATAACTAGAGGTGCCCCATCGGGTGAAGTATTATCATTGAAAGAAATTGCTGATGCTTATAAATTAGCACGAAATAATAGTCCAAGTCCAAATGGAATGCAATTCACGATCGATAATAGTCAGAGCAATATCCCTGCTGATGATGGAAAAGATTCTCAGCCAACGGTCGATAGTCAGCAATCGCAGAATCCGTTTGAAAATAATCATGTAGAAAATAACTCCATTAGTCCAAATCGTGGTAATCCATTTCTTAGTCCTGGACAACAGAATGGCCAAAGGCATGATAGCGATGATCTGAATAGTGCACAAAATGAACCATCGGAAAATCCATTTGCAGATCTACCACCGAGAAATCCATTTGAAGGGCTCGATGACGATGACGATGACGATGATGACAGTATTAGTATCCCGGGTAATCCATTTCTTATAGAAGAGGATGAAGAAGATACCCAAGCCAACTCTGCAGATGATCAAGATGAAAAAAGCATCCAAAATTTCAATCAAGGTGCAACTAGTTTGCTAGAAACCGACGATTTAGACGATTTCTTATATGTAGCATTTGGTAGCGACGATAATGATGAAGCAAGCTTAGCTGATAATAGCGAATATCAATCCTCTCCTAATAAAATGCAGTCTCGTGTAGCATATAAAGTTTCATCGGTAGTGAGTAAATGGCGACAAAGCAAGAAACAATTAAGTCGTAGCTCAATGAATGTGGATACAACACCTCGCTCGTCTCGAAATTCTTCACGAAATCCATCTACTAACAGCCTAGAATGGAATAGTACATTGCATCAGCACTCTTACCATGGCCAATCAGGAAGTGCTGCTGGCTCTACATCAAGCTTGTCGGAACAATCGCTCGATATCCAAGCTGAAAAACTTTCCAATAGCGCCAATGATTTAAGCCATATTGAACGCCCAACTATTCCACACCGAGGTCGATCTTTTACCAATTTAGATAAGCTAAAATTTCGCCGAAGTCTAGCATCAAGTTCTCTTCATAATCAAATTATCCTTGGCTCTAATATTTCAATCACGCATTCTTACCATTCCGACAGTAATGATAGTAATCCAAACGAAGTTCAAGATCATAAACCTGGAAATCCTTTCGAATTGGAAGATGAAACATCTGCTTCACCAGTAACTGCTCCAAGTCTAATTCATCCTAGCCAAGATGATGGTATTCCTCAACCGAATAAAGAGATTGAAAATGAGAGCCAGAAAGGATTTAATCAGTTGGCAGTCAATCAACAGGAAGAATATAAGAAAGAAACCAGCCTGTCTAGCCAGCAAATTAGACATGAAGACGGTATTCATCAAGGATATAACTCGGAGAAATTGAACTCCTATCATGAAAGTCAGTATGATATCAATCCAACCTCCAATTTGGTACAATCCAAGCAATCAGACGAGAATCATGACGAGAATCACGACGAGAATCATGGCAAAAGTCAGAACGTGAGCCATGAAGAAAATCATGACGAGAACCAAGAACAGGAAGCCTCGATAGGTCATTCTCATACCATTGGAGATCATGACAACATGACCGATATTCAAAAGGCTAAAAGTTCACAACTATCTGATAATAGCAGTAACTGTGAAAATGTAGAATCTCAAGATGAGAATGATCCATATTCCAATAGTGAGAAAGATAGACAGGAAACTGATAATACATTAACAACAGAGAGCCAACAGATGCCATTAAACGGCCAAGATGTTAATACACCCGATGGAAATTTGTTAAGATCATTCTATCAAGGAAGAGTTAAATCAAGTATTAAAAGTAAAGTAGCCGGATCGCGTGGAAAATCCATGAAGAAAAATTTAGATTCTATCAAGAAACTATCCAATAAACGTCAAGATACGGTGGAATTTGAATCAGAAGATTTTATATGCGTTGATTTAATCTCTGGTCGAGCTGGTAATCAAGAAATAAAGGAAGAAAATAAGGATAAAGATGCCGATACTAAAACTACATCAGCACGCCAAAGTCAAACTTCAATTACAGAAAGTTTAGCGGAGTGTACAAGCGTTGATAGTGGCATGGAAACACATCAAACAGGAGATGATCAAGATGCCGATCACCAGGAACGAAGGCTTTCTGCAGAAACCAAGCAGTCCAATAGCTACCATGGTGTTGAAGAGGAAAAGGACGAGCCCAATCATACGCCCATCTTGACCTTGTATGATTTAGAAAAATTACGTCCATTCCATAGCGTAGAAACCAATCCAAGCTCCATTTGGAGCTTTAATACATTTTTAACGCCATCGAACGATCAGGAAAATGGGCAAGATGTCAATAATTCCAAGCAATTACCTGCAACAGTTGAAAAGGAATCTGCTAATCGTTTATCCGCTCAAGAAGAGAATATCCAATCCTCTTCAGTATCTTCTTCCGTTGCAAATAATAGTAAAAAATCAGAAGATGGAGAAGACGATACAAATTCAAAGTCGAATATTCATCAGCTTGCTGCAGAAAACAACTTGATAACCAATATTCATCAATCGGTTACAGAAAATGATGCCAATTCAATGTCTGCTGTTCAACAACCAGCTGCAAAAGAAGACGAAAACTCAACATCTGATAGTCATCAACCAGGTACAGAAGAGGATGAAAACTCCGTAGCCAATATTCAACAACCCGATGAAGTCTTTATGGATAATCGTTCTCAGCTTATCCATACTGACGATAAAGATAAAGAATCACAGACTACCAATGATGAAAAACAAGAAGATGAAGCAGATAGCCAAGCTGTAGGCCAAGATGAACATAAAGCCATCAGACGTAAACCAACAGAAAGTGGCTTCCAAATTATCGATGATAATGAACTCTTTGCTGAGGTTGCTACCGTAAACCACCGTCGAGGTAGTTTTGTATTAGATAAATTAAAGATGAAAAAAAGGCTTCATTATTCCAAGGAGAAGAAAGATTCAATATCACGCGATAATAGCATAGCATCCAGCGCAAATTCATCCTCTCTCGCCATGAAACGAAGGCGTAATAGTAGTGCAAGCACAACGGGTAATAGCTATGCAAGAAATGAAGAAGTCCATGCCAATAATAAGGATCCTCATCAACCACAAATCGACTCCATCAAGAGATCGAACTCGACTTCATTTCCAATTGAGACAACAGCTACTGAAGAGAAAGGTAGCCCTACGACAGAAAATATCAAGCCAAATCAAACCTCTGAGGAAATGCAAACACCACTTACTGTACATCAAGATACCTTTGCAAATCAGAATATTGATTCCAGCTCGGCAGCTGTAGAACCTACCATGGAGAGCTCGAGCAAGGTATTTCTTCGTAAACGTTTTCCTGATTTAAAAACTCGCCTTCGAGGTGTCATCAGTAAAGGCAATCATGACGAGAGCAATAAACTCAACACTAATTTAATTAAGCGAGGAAGGAAAAAATCAGTTCATCGGCGCATTATTAAGCTTCCAGTAGAATCGATTGCTGAAAATACTACAGAAAATGAATTAAATCTTAATCAAAGTATACCCACCAGTGATCATCCTGATGACATAGACCATCCTTCATCTCAACATGAACAAGAAATCAAGCGTAAAATATATCGTGAGACAAGTTCATTTTTAACATTTGCTTCTTTCGATGTTGCTAATGATGGAAATAATGAAGAAATCGGTCATCAATCCATCAACAATTCTGTTCTTGATCGTTCAAGTCGATATCTTGTTTTTACTGAAGAGGTAACCGATGAGGAAGATGATGAAGATTATAACTCGGATGAAGATTATATCGATGAAGAATATGAAGAAGAAATCCAAGATGATTCCCAACGTTATTTAACCGTTGTTTCACAAGGTAACGATGGAAATAGTACATCAGAGGATAGAAGTAGTTATACAAGTGATGCAAGCTCAGAAAATGATCCTGCAATCCAGCAACCAACAACAGATATCCAAAGCATCGATGGCTCCATGCTACCATCATCCAATCAAAGTAAAAGTGAAACCGACTCTATCGCCACTAGGACAATACCACTAGATCATCCAGCAATAGATTTAACCGCTACTAATTCTAAACTTGATGAACGAGTTGATCAAGAGAATCACGATAATAATGATGATGGTGATGATGGTGAAACATCCAACCCAATCGATGATCATCGAGACGATGCTAATAGGGCCAGTAATAGCAATGCCAACACTAATGTAATTAAGAATCCTTTATCAAGGGAAGCAGCAAGGCGCCGCTTAACTGTATTAAAGGGTAAACTTAAACATATTATTAATCTAAATGAGAATAATAAATTAAATTGGAATCCTATTCATGCAAGTAGCGAATCCTTAAGTACAGGCGTAACTCCCCAAGCTACGTCACCAGAAATTTCTCCTAAATTAAGGCGCAAGCAATATGCTTCCAGCCGTCGTCAATCGAAAGAATCCAATACATCAGTAGAGAAAAACGAGGAAAATAGTGATATCAATTACCGTTCTAAACGGATGACAAGAGAGATTTTGGATAGCTTTGATTGTATTTCTGACCTCGATGATCATGACGATGATGATGATGATCAAACAGAATTAAAATTGGATCAAAGTAAAACTATAACTGCCATTGAAGAAGTTACGGAGAACGAACTCTTACCCAATCAAGGTGGAAAGGATAATGTTACAGATCATGGTGATAACCTAGACGAAGAAAAGAACAAGGAAGAAGACAACGATCCAATGACGCTTATAGAGGGGAAAAGTAATCCAAGTAAAACACCATCGACCAAGAAAAAACGCAGTCATGAAAAGAAACATTACCATATTCATGATGAATCCTTTTCTTACGATGAATGTTTCCATCATGCTCAAGATGGCCAACAACATGCACAATTAGCTGTAGGTAAATGCTATTTGCAAGGTATTCATGTTGAGAAAGATCCTATCCAAGGTGTCCATTGGTTGATTAAATCATCAGAGCAAAGCAATAACGAAGCAACATCATTATTAGCGCAATGCCAACGCGATAGGATTGGTATTACAAGGCAAAATAAAGCCGATGTCATTTGGTGTGTTATATCTACCAATCGTGAGAAAAAATCACGCATGGCTATTGCTAAAATGTATCTGAAAATTAAAAATGCTAGTCAGCCGGCAGAATGGACAGATCATCAAGAAGAAGCTCAAGATACACCAATCCAAGTATTAGAAAATCATGAAATACCAACTGATTCAAGCCCAGTTCATCCACAAGATGATAGCCAGAAATCGACTCAATATGCTTCTCTATTAGGCCAATTTATTCAAGCTAATACAACTTCTAAAATCCAACAACAAACTAGTCATGACAGCGGTAAGGAAGAACATCACCAAGCTACGACCAAGAATAAAGCAGAGGATAAAGCAGACTCATCCACAACGGATAATCATGTATTCAACGATGAAAATATAAATCAGCATGACGAAGATTTGTCTGCTGCTACAGACAAGCAACTAGCATCACCTAAAATGGCTTCCATAGTATTGCAAGCCTTTGGTAAAAAACTTGAAGAAAATCAATCACAAGGTCAAGCTGTCAACAAGAGTGGTATTTTAAGTCAATTTGTCCGACAAGCTAAAGATAGTCAACAAGATCAAAATCATCCATCCAATGCAACGTCGGGCGAGATGTTAAAGAATATCTTCCAGCCTAAAGTTCCTGCTACGCCAGGAGATAATCCTATTGATGGTAAACAGGATAGGAAAACAAGCAAACAGCTATTTAAAGAGGAATTACAGAAAGCAAGAGATGGCGATGCTGATGCACAATTGCAAATATCCAATTTTTACTTTGAAGGATTTGGTGTTAAAAGGAATCGTAAAGAAGCTTTACAATGGTTAAAGCTAAGCTCTGATTCTGGTAATCAACAAGCAGCTGAAATGTTACAAGATTATGAAGATGAAAATCATAAAATACACGTACGACGAAAAGCTTCTATACGCTGGCAAAGTGCTATGGGAAAAGCCTTGGAACGTTATGTCCAATCCAAAGAAGATGAAAATGATTCCTTCTTAGTTGGCAATAAAAAACTTCAATCTAATTCGACACCGAAACCGGTCCAAGGAGCCACAACGTTGCACAAATTAATACAAGATGTTCAACAGAATAAGAAAATGGTCTCGTCAGTAAGTACTGTATCGACACCATCTACTCCAGAAGAAGCAAAAGATGAAGAAGTCTTTCTTGATCAAGCTACAAACAACCACAATAAAGAAAAATTACCGATTGAGGAAGAAGTTCAGCGAAAAGCTATGACCAAGGAAAGTGAATCGGAAAAAATGGAAGAAATCATGTCCGATAACAAAGATGAAGGTATGTTTGATGAAGATTGGGAAGAAATTGCCAAGTTACCACCATTAGAAAGGATCAAAATGACATCCAAAAAGGTATATTCTTTCTCTGTCAGGCAATTTTTCCATTGACAGTCTACTTGATAGCAGAAATCTCCATCAGTAGACGATAAACACTTCAAAGTTGCAGCTATGCTAACTTTGAGCTCTATACTTGCAGTCCTAAAAATGAAGGATACTTTACTTTGAGAGCTATTGCTAGGCTATTAAAAGCAATTTTCTGATGAATAGTTCTCTTAAAGGATACTTTACTTTGAAATCGCTATTGCTAGGCTTTAAAGAATAGATTTCTCATGGATAATCCATTTAGTAACAGAGATCTCCATCAACAGATGATATCTACCCCATACTTCAGTTAACGTAGGAAAGAAATCAGTTATTGTACAAAATGCAGCTTTATGCAGTAATAGAGCTTCGATTTAGTATAAATGCTAATATTTTACATATGCACTTTGGGTTGCAAGTTGTGAACAAATTGGCAAATGCAGATATGCTGCAGCAATAGCTAACCTTACAAGTAGTCAATAATGCTCCACTAGATATTTATACGTGTATCGTAAAGCATAATCAAGATTCAAAATAAACAGCATAGATCATTAAAAAGTAGAAATTATATCAATTGTAATTCCATCAAGCAGATATACCTCGTTATTGACAGTGCTGTACTCTGAATTAGAATATTGCTTGATATGCCAATTCAGCTAGATTAAGTATCATAAAGTGAAAGCAATTATAAGCTGGGATAGTAGCACATTACAATGCATAACATTAAGGTTAGACTATTCTACATCGCTTTAAACGCATAGAGCTAAGAAAATACCAGGTAAAAACGACGACGACTATTAGATTTGTTAGTTCTCAATGACGACGACAGATAAACAGTTACTAAACAGGGCAATTAAAGACCATCCACATTTAAACTACTATATAGCAGTATATTAAAGTAAATGTTATAATTATTTAGATACTGGTTGATTATCCTAAACGAACTCTTCTTGCTGCAGAAGACTTCATTGTTGGCAAAGCCTCGCAACATAGTGAAGAATTTTTCCAATCGCTTTTACCCACCGAACAATTACAAACTTTAGTATTACTCTTCATTTATACCAATTGTACATCAGCTTTATTATTTACAGTATTACCACCTTTATTTTTCCTCATTGGCTTTATGGTCTTGGTAATTTGTACTTTAATGATATTTAAACAACGTAAGATGATAGCAAACGGTCAAATTTGGACTAAATTATTTCAACAAAAGCAAATAAAATCCAATACACTAACAAGTGATACTAACCGACAAGATCAAGACCAAGTATTTATCCTTCGTCCTTATTTAATCTTTTTTAACGTTCTTTTCAGTACTTTAATGTTTTTTGCACTGTCTAATAAATCATGGCTACCATGTCCAGAATTAGCACTCATGTCAATGTGTGTCGTTGTGACTGGATTTGCTTTGTTATCATCACAAAATGATATTGCCATCATGGCTGTTATCATGCGTATTTTATCGGCATTTTTAGCTCACAGTGATAGCATACCAACATGGTTGCCTTTTCGTTGGTTATTGACCTTATTTGCAAGTAATTTTCTATCAACTGAAATTATTGGTGGGCTGCATTTAAATTTTAGCTTAGCATCTTGTGTTCACTTAATCTTTCCTGGTCTCATGGTGACTATGGCTAGTCGACATAAATGGCAAGGTACCCACCAAATATTAATACCTCACTTAACATTTATTGCATGGTGGCAATTGATGATTGAGCTATTTCGTTATTCTACTTGGTCGGGATTATTACGTGGTTCTGTCGGTTGGTTGGCTGCATTTACATTACTTGGTATGGTATTTGGTATGATTATCCGATTATTATTTCGTTGTGGTATTGTAGATCGATTATTTCGTGTTGTTGCAACAGCTGCAGTACCTAAGACACTGGTCGATCAAGGTTTAGTTCTTGATGATGATGATAATCAATCGAATCTGTCACAAGGAGATGCAAAAGCTAATTCTAGTCATCATAACAAGTTAACAATGAGCAAGAAAAGTCTCTTTTACTTGATGTTAGGGCTAGTATTGTTATTTTTTATTATTTCTAATATTCCATCATCGAATAAAGATAGTAGAATATCATGGTCGCAATATGTTGCCCATTGCGGTCCACCAGCTTGGCATTCAAGTAATCAAGCTCGTGTTCAAGTACAATGTCGCCAATTAGCTGATCAAATTGTTACCTGGTCGGGTGAAATAGACACAATTGAAGTCGTCGATATTGATAATAAATTTCAAGATATGTTTAGTAGTTTACCCTGGTTAATACATCAATGGTTAACTTGTGTTTTCGGTAAAAAGTATACAGCCTGTGATAATCCTGATGATCCAATATGTCGTTTAAGGCGTCAAGATGGTTGTCATCTACATAATAATGATCATTATAAATTTCAAATTCGTACTAAAATGCCAATACCACAACGCGGTAATGAATTAGATGTCCTTTTAGAAGCTGAGCATGATTTTGCTACACAAATCTATCAATTACGTCAAGGTATGCTAGCCGATTTTAAAGGTATCTTAAAGAGCAATTTAGGCGGCGATACACCAGTCCTTGAATTAATATCTATTAATTCTGAAGGATTAAAGAAGCAAAGTATATATCAGGATAATACAACGTTAATGGTATTCCATTTTCTATTGCAATTTATCTTTTATCCTATGTTGACTATGAGTGAATAATGGACTTGATCTATCGATTATGCAGCAATCACAATCCTCAAATTTCATCGCCTTAAATCTGCTATTTAAAGATGTTTCTATATAACAATTATGTTTATAAATCCTAATAGCACCATTGAATGTCTATGTTAAATATTTATACAAGAACGCATGGAGACTTCTGTAATATTATAGAATGAAAAATCTAAATAGTATACAGAACCAAATATATTACTGTCATACAGTAGTTCACTTTCAGTAATGAAAACTATTAGCAACAGATGATACAGTACTGCTAAAGTCCTTATTTAGCATTGTAGATAGACTATAACGAGCAAAATTATCATCGACTGACTCATAATTTCATAACATTTTTAGCCGCGTATTTATCCTACGAGATGACATCTTTGCCATTTCTCTGCAATTCATGTATTCTAATTGATATGATTGTATATAATTCCGTTAATGGAGTACGTTAGAAGTAATGAGCGGCATTTGAAATATAATTTGTACTTCGATTATTGGAAATGACTATAATCAGCGGATTAGAGAGTATAAATATCACAGCTCGATATCATTCTCATTTTTGTAATATATACCGGTACTTAAAGTAAACCTATTTCCGTTCCTAGTTAGCAACTAGTCAGGCATTTAGAATTATTAACACGTAATTTATTTATTCATTCTATCTGTATTTTTCACCATATTTATTTCATAAAATGCGAGTATTTATTGATATAAACTAATAAAACGAAAGCCGTTAAATCTACTTTGGGACTAATCTCTATTTACGAATTCATTCTATTGTTGCCGATAAAAGAAATCTAGCCCGATCCGGTCAACTATAATTCCAGTATAAGAAACTTGTAGATTTTACAAAGTTTAAATTATATTGACTATTATTGTAATCCCAATATCTATTATATTCTTTGCAATACAGTCTAAGTCCTTAATGCCCTATAGCAATTTATTGGCATAAGAGTTATTGTAGTAAAATTTCTCATACAAATCTCTTCTTACTATTGACGAAAACAAAAGTTATACCGTATTTGAAACAGTAAGATAATTAATTATTGGATTTCGTAAAGCCTCAGTGAAGACACGCGTATGAATAATATCTTCTTTTTAAAATCTCTCTATACTTCAACTACCCCTTAAAAGGATATGATCATCGCAAATATCATTAAAAATTACGAGTATTTGAATGATTTTATGATTTACAATATGAGTTCTAAGGTTAGGCAGCCAACCTTCGCGTGTTCTATTTGATTACACTTTTAGTGTCTGGCCACTTTTTCATACGTGATACATAGAGAGTTCAACTTTGTTTTATTTACATTTCGCATTCAATAAATGTTGTAAAGTCTTTAAATTGACGATTCATCATTTAAAATGCATTACAAACCTCATTTTAAGATTATATCTCGATTCATGATTTTCATTTCATTTTATCTACAATATTAAAATAACGTTATAGATCCCAAGAATTACTTTTTCCAAATTATAAATAGAATAGTATTGATTAGATAAGATTAGCTGTAATTTAGATACTTCCATCGTGTTTGGTGTTGATCTTATCAAAGATTGAGAGAGTAAGGTTTTCGATCGAGCAAAGAAATTTCTCGATATATCGTATCTAGAGAATTATCCGACGTTAGGGTTAGTCATCTTGAAGTACCTTTGCGACGAATAGATTGGAATGATATTGTTTCGATTATTAATTCCACTAAAAAATTAAAGATATTTTTACGTTATGACCTCTATTATAATAAGTATTTATAGATTGAAAGACTTGGTTAAAAATTATTAATCCTTTTATAACGAAAAAACATTCATATTTACAATTGTAACCAATATTTCGCATTATTTAACAATTACTTGGGATCAATTTAGCTGCGTTCATTTATACATGAAGTAAAATCATCCAAACAATTTGCACATTTTCGCATTCTACAGTCTGCATTAAGGCCGCTAACGGCAATTAAGTAATTTTCTGTTACTTTATGTATTAATTATCGACTGTAATGTGCAGTTGAACAAGACTATGTAAGATTAGAGATGAAAGTGAATTACACTCAATTTGTTTAATTTAATTGGGAATATATTCAAATCAATTTATGTCTTACTGTATCCCCTCTTTTTTTATATATATACGCACTCAAACTTTGTTGTTTCGGTTTTAATAGACCTTATAATTAATAACTTCACTTACCGCATCTTTCCAAATAGCATATATTGTTGTCATCTTATAGTAAGAGATCCTGCAATTAATATTGCGAATACAAACAGTGCACATATATTCATTTTCATAGTAGTGAGACTGATAGCTTTTACCAGCGCGTATTTTCAATCGATCACTTGAACCAAAGTAGTTACAACTAATTGCAGGAGAAAAACCTTTCCACTTCTATATATTTCCGCTCAGACGCTTGCTTAATGAATTCACAATAAAGATGTGAAATATGTTTAATTACTCCCTCACGGCAATTAAAACAGAGAGTATCTATTTGATGCAGGTAAAGTAGCTCTTATCCTGATGGCCAACCATAGAGTAAATGGCTAGCTTAATACTAGTAATCACGTTTAATATTAGATATAAGTACCTAGTAAATTTATATGCTTAAATCGCCAAGTAGTCCGTTTAGTATTCATTTAGCTCAGAAAGTAGCTGTGGTAATTTCTGTAAAATATTTTTATTTTTTCTCTAATTACAGTATCGTAAACGACACCTAGCAGGAGGAGGTATTCCGATGGATAATTTTAGACATGGCTGCAGTCATTTCTATTTCAACAAAAGGACAACTTGGCTAAAACATTTATCGTTGATTTAAGGAACGGTCTTCTCTATTTCCTCAGGCTACTGTCTGTACTCATATGTATTCAACATACAATAAAGATGCAAAGAATGTCTAATTGCGACATGACAACAATTGAAACAGGAAGTACTAAGACTTGCTGACAAGCCAAGGTACAATCAAGCTAGAGATTGATTTCATTGACGTTTATAAGCTACTAATATTCAGCAATAAGTAGCATACCAACCCCTTGTCTTGACAATAACTATAAAATGTTTCGACAAAAATCATCACGTTATCCAACTAAGACACAGACCAATTCCATATACGTATATTGACTACTCTATGTACAGCAACGATTATGGCATACGTACAAATTAAAGTAAAGCTACATATACTCGTATTCCTAACTGTGTGAGTAAGTTTAGTGGGTAGTTGTCATTTGACATGAAATTCTAGCACTGCATATAAATTCGAGAATGCTGAAGTTACTTCATTAAAATCTCTTTATACGTATATGTGCCCGTATATGGATTTGATCATAGCGGGAAATTTCGCAAAGTAATCAATAGTACTATCTTAACAGCCTATATTATATGTTAATGTTACGAGTTAAACCACAAAAATATCCCAATGGTAAAACTGTAGTTATTTAATTATATACATTTTCTTAGTGTTCCGTAAGAATGTATGAGTGCTAGTATTGCTTTATTGCCACCTCTTCCTCCTGATAAATACACATAAACTGCCCAACATAACATGATATAGATTCAATGACGCAATTTCTATCGCTATACAGTCAAATATAGAATCGAAGTTTATCATCCATTACTGTAACAGATTGTTAAAGCATTCTGAATCAATCTATCATTATAATCCAAAATTGTAATATCCCCCACATTATGTAATAATTCCAGGTGAGAGGCAAATTTGGAAAGAAAACTTATAAAAGATGTCTGAAATAAAAAGAAAAAGGGTCATCCATTGATTTATTAAACTCTCTCAGTCATGCTCCAATTCAAATATCCAGTTTTTAGTAACTTTCTTCAAGATCTCATCTAAATAGAGCAATATGGATATCATGCCAATAGAAATGACTTAATTCAATTATGATTACAAGATGTTTTCATGCCAATCATTAAGGAACACGACAGCAACATATGAATTCATATTCAGCTCTGTTGCGACATTGACTAATTGCAACACTCTTCTATTTATGGAAGAGCAATAATACCTGAACTAATCAGCACATTTTTTTTCATCTCGATCTTGATATTATTGATAGTAAGACTTGCAATTAAAATTCGATTTACCTCAACTCATTCACTTAACCACACTATCTATAACGATGAAAATAATCTTAGCAGGTCTTATTTTAGCTTACATTGGTTCATTATTAACAACAACGATGAAGACATCCAATGAACCAACCCTAGAAGAAATGGAAGAATTCATGATGGATCCTGAACACTTAAAGGAAGATATAAAAAATTTAGACGATATGGATGATGAGGAAATAGAAAAACTTGCAGATAAGGAAAAGCTATACTATTTTAAATTACATGATACCAATAAAGATAATAAATTAGATGGATTGGAAATCTTACATGGCATGCAGCATTCCTTCAAATTTTCTAGAAATCTAACAACGGATGAGTTAAATCGAATGATTGAAGAGAATATTCTTCGATACGATGATGATAAGGATGGAACTATATCTCATGCAGAATTTTTTCGTCGAAATTAAAAAGCAACCTATCAAGTCGTAGCCTTTACCAAGTCTAGCAATTTGCGCCATCCATAATCCTATCTTATAAATCCCACACATAGCTCGAACCATTTAACAAGATTTAACAAATTACACAAGCACTAGTCCTGATTTATCTACGATAAAAACTCCCGATTGTAGAATGAACACCCTTATAAGGATTAGATATTCTCCTGGCCAGCATTGAATCTTGTTCGCTGGTAATATGGAATCGTAATAACCTATAAGCTTAGAAATTACCGCTGGCTGTAATCCTATCTTTTATATCAGCAAGATAGACCACGGTATAGGATCTAAAGCTTGCAATCTTGGCGATTCTCGTTATTTAGATCATGCACTGTATTTTCTTAATCTTAGCGCAGTCTACTTCAACATTAGTTTATGATTGATAATAGCAAGTTTGTTAAATGGATGACAATTCGAAGGAACTTGTCTATGAATATTTTAATGCGAGTAAGTGTAGTACAATATAGGATTAAATTCATCTTCTAGCTAGTTGGTAAGGCATTGAGTCTAATTTTTCGATGTATCCATTTGAAATTGATATTTGATCAACTGCTATTGCGAAGACAGTAGATTAAACCGATAAAATAATAAAAAAACAAATATTACATACTAGAATGGTCAAAATTGTTAATATCTATTACCAAAAAAGACAGGTTAAAATGAACTCTAAAGTAAAATTACTCATTTACTAATACTTTTGATTGATTGATCGTATCATAGCTCTAGATATTATGGCAGATACCATGCATGCTACACTTTTTCAAGGTGTTTCCATAATATCACTATGAAATGTATCTCATAAAATTTTACGATAGCTAGTAAATTTCTCATTCAAATGAACGAGAATAAATCCTACACAAAGTAAAACTTTAAATGAAAATTCGTAGCTAGATTATCTTACTAGATATGATTTCTAGACAGATCATTACTAGAAGTGATAAAGAAAAAGTGACATAGAAGACGTCAAGAATTTAGGCAACAGTGAAAGTTGTTCAAATTTTTCACGGTTGAATTAACATAAAGTGTGAATTAGAAATAGAATCTGCTGTAACGTTAACGACAGATGAATCATTCCTGAGTATTTGCAATTCTAGCACTGCTCGGCTATTTGCTGGTACTGATTTACCGAGAGCTTCAAAACCATCAAATCAGCCTTCTGTTACCCTAAAGCTATTTAATTTACCGTATTTATTATTTTCATCCAGCATGTAACGGGAATACTAAGCGAGAGAAGATTTAATTCAATTGCTACAAAGCATATGTCAGTACTAAGCCTATTATAGGCGCGATATCCATTGCTGATATAGTCTTGAAAATTTTACATTACTGATGTAAAACTGCTGATTTATTTTGCAAGCTAAGCTATCGCCGAGAAGATTAAAGCTACTAAATACTGACCTCCAATTTCGCTACTCCTCGATTATGATTAATAAACACTTTCAAACTTATCAACGAATCTCTGCAATTCGAGTACTTTCAATAAAATGCAAATGTTCTACAGTTAATGAATGAGATACCTATTTTCTGTTGCCCACCTACCAGTAGGCAGCTTTCTACTTATTTACGTATGATATTATATAGTTCGATTGCTTCCAGAAGATTGTATCAGTCTAACTCATCAAGCACTTAAGCACATATTCGGCTGCATGGTGAGTGTTAATAGAAATATTCATATTTATATATAGCGACATACAATCAGGCTACTTCTACAAATGCATAGTAATAATTAAGTAGGCTATCATATACATGCCTACGCATATAGAGCTACCTAGTCCTACTCGTTTCAATAGGATATACTTGACGAAGTAGATATTCATTTTTTACGGCAGTATTAATTTATTAGATACTCTTATTTTACCTGTCAAGTTATGCAATCAAATTCATAGAGAAGCATGCATATTAACTATATATGACAAGACAAATATTTCTGATACATAGTAATAGTTCAACAGGCACCTGATATTCATCTTTGATACTATGCAATCTGCCGGACGAAAAATATATACGCTATCTTACTTTGATTCAATAAGCAACACCTCTTTCTATTACATGATTATGACTAAAGACGCACTCTTCTATTTACCTATAGTGTTATGCAATCTACGTATTTTAATATTATGGATATCTGTCATGATTGATAGATAGACTAGCAACATGGATAGCCAATAAAATTTAAAAGACTCTGTTTATTTATATATTATTCGACGTCAGAGATTTACTAATGCCATGGAGGTTCCACAAGCTATAAAAAAATCAGCTAATAAGAACAACATGTAAATAAATGGAGTAGATTATATATTGATCCACATCCAAAGTTTAAATGAAACAGTTGTTTTTCCATGCAAAATACCAGATAGGTATAACATACAACAGAAGGTATTCTTTCATCCTAAGTAGTTTATTCGAATTGAATAGACCACCATGTCAAGCAATGAAAATGATCGCTACTTATTGCGAAAATATTGGAAAGAAATTAAAACGGATATGAATGCGGATAGAGTGGGTGATATTTTATATTCACGAGGGGTCTTGACTTCAGAGAAATATCAAAAGATGCGAGGGCAAACGACTAATTGGGATAAGAACAATTTAATATTAAATAACATCAGTAATAGCGATAGTTATGCATTTGAACAATTTCGCCATGCCCTCAATCAAACAACTCCTCATCTTGCTGGAATATTTTCCCAATCTCATGCCGATTCTGGGCTATCAACAGCAATCACTCAATCTATGCCGAGAAATGATAAAGGTAAACGTATAGAGAAGATTCTTTTCTACTCTGCAAATTAAATGTCACTGTCTACTGGAAGGTAGACAGGATAAACACGATTAATCCTTCGATATTCTATATTGAATAGAAGAGCTGGTAGTTCATGGAGGTGTACCTGATTTACCGTCTCACTTTGTTCAACGAATTGCTATGCAAGATCAAATTAGAGCTCAATTAAACCAATTAAGAGATCAATGTGGTTGGGTTATTCTTGTTGGCATGGCAGGGTGTGGGAAAACTGTTTTGGCTAGCCGAATTGTAAGAGAAGGCCAGCTAATAGAGCAAGTCTTTCCTGGTGGTATAACCTGGCTAACATTAGGTAAAATTGTTTATAGAATTATTTTAAGCCAATCCTAAGCTATGTCATGATGAATTTAAAATTTCAATCATTGCACAGAAATAGTATTAATTTTCAAAGATTTTGCAGTATCAAAAATGATAAGCAATAACTATGCCGTAATAGTAAATATGATTGACTCTGACGGCTCTAATAAATATAAAATGATTAGTTTGATCAACCTTGAATCGTATTACTTAATAGTAGGCTAAAATTATTCCAAACGTATTTCTCTATATTTATTTACTGTCATGTCAGATTGAAGTTTCAAATAGAGATATAATAAGTAAAATGGATAAGTGCTATGGCTTATACTAATAAATTAGACAAATAGGTTAGCTAAAAGGCAGTATAACACTTCCATAGCCGTACTAAATTTTAAGTTTCAATTAGCTCAATATCCATAAAAACACAGGCTAGATCCTGATGGCTTAATCTTTACAGATTAACTAAGATTCCTGCACTTTTGTTAAACTACTAAAATAGATGAATAGGCTAACTTCGGGCAGTATAGTACTTCCATAGTCATATTGCACTTTATATTTCAGTTAGTATCGTATAATATATACTTAAGCTAGATCCTGATGGTTAAAGTTTAAAGATTAGCTAAGATTTCTACGTGTTTATTACGCTACCAAATTGGATAAGTAGGGCAACTACCAGGCAGCAGAATACTTCTATAGACATTTTAGATTTTAGATTTCAAGTAGGTCAATATCTGCTAAAAAAAGTAGACTAAATTCTGATAGCTCTAGCTTTATTAATTAACTAAGATTTCTACATTTTTATTATCACGCTGGATTTTTAATCTTAAGTAGCCGTGATAGCTAGTAAAGAATTTTCAGTAGCTCTAAAACCTACAATAGAACAATCTAGTTCACGCTTATTTATCTTAATCCATTACTGGTAATAAATAGATCAAAATTCTTCACAGATATAATTTTGTATTTCCAATGCCTTATTTAATTTTCATATTTCATATACCCTTGCTGCTAGTAATGAGGTAAGATTAGATTCTATTACCATTTTGCGACTCAAAATTGATTAAAAATTGCATTGCTTAAACTCTCACATATTACTGTTATTACGCAAAGATTACAAATACCAACAGTATAATATCAAAAACAAATAATAAATAAGTAAGAGATTGGAATTAAGAAAGCTTAATCTATTTTAATAGCTATAAGGATACCACAAAATTATTGAAATAGTTTAAAGAAAAACTTACAATTACATCTAGATTTAAATTCGCTCATAATTATTAAGCAACAATTATAGAAGAACGATAGCGTGATACTCGAAAATTAATTATAAGCATGAGATCAGATCTATGCCACATTAATCTAATTGCTATATATCGTAAGATTATTAGGACAATTTAAGGATTAAAGTATGCTGTTATTTTCATGAATGTTGATATATTGACGGAGATATAGAGATATACCTTGATGTCTATGTTCACAGCATATAGCCAAATCTAATGATCAATTTAACACCTAGGTCGGCTATCATCGAACGAACTACTAGCACGATTGCAAGATTTATGCATGCTGCTAGATTGCAAACAATCACGGCTGCCAAATACCTTAGATGGAGTTCGAGATCACCTTCGTCGTCTAATATGTAGGCTAAATCAACCCATAGATATAAATTATTTATATTATGGGTCGTTTCTATAGCATTGTATAGTATTTACTCATAGATTAAAATATTATCATTAGTGTCTTAATTATTTAGCTGGTAATAATTTTCAAGCAATTATAGTGGACGCTACAAATTTCTTTAAACTGTTTTATAAGGATAGATACTACTTTAATTTTATACCAAATTGAAATTGAAATGGCACATCACCTTGCATAGCCTTATGATACATAATTAATTAACATATACTTGGCATAAGCAGAATGATCCTCGTTTTCATTTTAATTGATAGATGAACAGCATCCAAGAATGATCTTAATCTTGGATAATATTTGGGACAGTAAATTAATCAGTTACCTAGATCTCAAATGCCGTACCTTAGCAACAACACGAGATAGTACTACTGCAAAGAGAATTAATTCTCCCTGCAACATACTACAGATTGAGGTAAGAATTCAATTTAATTGATAGCTTGAATAGTATTATCAATAAATATAAAGTTGATACTGGTTGTTTGTTTACTATCATATATGACATTCTGCGATTAGCAACCACCTTTGCAAGTCAATACGCCAAGATTAATCGAACAATTCTACCTATACTTACTACAATGTAGTAGATGCCATATATATCGTTATTTCTCATTTATTATTATAAGTCCTTATACGCGTATAGTAGTTAGAATCTTCCTGCTTATTGCCAAGTGCATATAGTATTGTAATACATACCTACAAAAATGTAGTAAACATTGCATGAGACATCTCTCTTATTCATTGCTGAATGACTTTATTGCAATTTGAGTTTTCAGCTATTACGCAATTATACTGTAGGTAACTAGCGACTGTACTTATACTTATAAAAACATACTAGGTATGATTGAGCTATTGTTATCACCTTATCAAATAATTTTTAACATGTACATGTAAAATTTTGGAAAATGTTCACGCATTTAGATATCTCGATCGCAGTTAGAGAGCTTTCGAGCTAACTTATAAATGCACACACCCAGTAGTACCACTTGCACTTCTAAAAACTCACCAGGATTGGTTGGAGTTCTTGCTCACTGCTATAAGGTTACCTCTATCAGAGTTTCGGTTCCTGTTTAAATTTTTTAATGAACATACAGACTTTTGTTCATACGAATAAGCTATACTTTGACCATACTTTGGCATGCAATCATAGTCTACGTCAACAGTATTTCATGCTGGACACGATTTATATTAAAAATTCATTTCTAAACTAGAAACGTCGTTATACTGCGTGTCCTGTTTGGAATAAATATCGGCGCTCAGCATCTAACAGGATGATAACTATAAGCTAATTTATATAAAGCAAGAGCTTTTCTGGATTTCTATCAAATTATTCCAAACTATAATTTCGATTTCGCCATCTGATCATTAAAAAAACATACGTTGTTAATAGTCATGAAAAATGTTGATATGTAGTTATGAAAAGTGCACATAATTGATAATTAATGGTAGCTTATTCTCATGTTTATATTGCTGGCGGCATATTTTAAACAACAACGGATAGCCAGGCTTTCATATCGCAGAAGCCAAAGCCGTTCTTTCTTCTTGGATTGGAATTCCTTCTATAGAACTGCCATCTCAGGCTAATAGTTTAATTTCTAAATGCAAAGGCTTACCCTTGGCTATATCTATTTTCGCATCGTTGCTTTCAAAGAACCCTCATCGCTGGGACTACTATATTTCACTATTAACAAATTCAACTCCAAATCATCTCCGTCTAATCTATCAATCTATTCATCATAGCCATCAATTAGAAGAGGCTATTCGAATCAGTATCGATAGCTTGGATGCTGATCTACAATCATATTACTATGATTTGGCTGTGTTTGAAAACGATATTCATATTCCAAGTCGTGTCTTAAATCTATTATGGAATCAAGATATTGAGTTAGTGGAAGATAAAATGGAAGAATTTGTAGCAAAATCGTTGGCTTTAACATTTAAACGCGATGATAATCATAAAAGGTTTATATTACTCAAACAAGAATTGATTTAAATCTTATCATCATTCTAACCGTCATGATTATAATTTAAAACGATATGCTCCGTGCAGTTATTGCATAGTTGCTCGTATATATGATAATACGGCACAATACTATAAGATATCTAAACTTCACTTTATTCTTCATTTATTCTCTACTCTAGCTATATTATTCACAATTTGTTAATGTTCTACTTGAAAGAAACCCACCCTAACTTATCCGCTATACATAATCGATTAATTGACCGATACAGTGCGTTATGCAACAACCAGTGGCATCTACTTGATGATGATGGCTATATTTATGCACATCTTGTTCATCATTTAATCCATGCCAAGAGATTGGACATCGTTTGTCAGCTACTAACTGATCCATTATGGCTCCAATCAAAACTTGATCACAATAAATTATCTAATTTATTAAACGATTACATGCTAGTGCAAAAGACATTCAAAGATAAGGTGAGACAAACTGAATTATTTTATAAAATAATCGATTGATTCCTGTTCCTATTTTATTGGATTGGTTTTAATAATTTACACTAAATTGATTATCGTACCTCGCAAAATTAATCAAATTTACGAATTTATCTGTTGATATTTATTCCTATCATTGGATAATACCATATTAAAGGTTTACTATTGAATGGAGATTCTGACTTCAGAATATAATAATATTCTTTCAAAATATCTACTTGATATCTATTTTTATCAATAGAAATAGTCTATTAGTAAAGATTGTGTTAGATGCAATATCTACTTAGCGCAATGAGTTTTATTCCTTGGAAATAACTAGTTTAGCAAGATGCATTACCTTCTTGTATAAAATAATCTATGAGATATCTGGTCTCTTTCTTAGATAATCTTTACCATCTTATGAAATGATCTCTTCGGTATCCATATCTACCCATAGATAATAATGACTAGTATAGATACTGAATAGAGTATCCTTTACAAGATGAATTACTTTTATTCGTCAAAACGATGTATGAAAATATCTAACTTCTTCTTTAAATAATCTTTATTATTCTATAGAATGATCTCTTTGGTATTCTTTTCTATCTATGTTACTAATAAAGTCTATAGAAATTAAATAGTGTATCATATGTAGATAAATGAACTACCTTTTTCGAGAAAATGATCTATGAGATACTTAGCTTTTCTAACTGTAATAAATGTATTATTAATCACGATCTACTTAGAGCATTTTCCTTAGGAATAATTATTTATGATTCGTAGGAGTGGTATCAAATCCAGCAATATTATGACTTAATAAAAGAGAATACCGATATTATTACCGGTAATAAGCACTTAGATATAATCCAATTAATACTAAATCGATGTCAGCAACCATCAATAGTCGATGAAGCTCTTCAGATCGCTCAACGGCAAAATGAACATCCAGTACAGTTCCAATGGTGGTAAGTTATTTAAAATAGTAAGATTTTTTTGGAAAAATTCATCAATTAAAAGTTATAATAGATAGATAATTTAGAAATATAGACTTAGAATAATAAGCTAAATCCAGTGGAAAGATTTACGTAAATCTGTTCAATCGTATAATATCCAATTTACAAATATGGGTATAAAACAATTTGATAACGTTCACACTTGATAATTTTATGGCCAATTCAGAAAAGAGAATGAAACTGCTTCGGTTAGAGAAATTTTTACTGATACCTCATGTTTCTAGCTCGCTATTACTTAGAAATTAAAATCTAGAGGTAGAAAAATTCATCTTAAATTTAGTCAGTATATACCAAGACCAATGAAGTAATTGAGGATCAAAGTTAAAGAATAGTTTATTCCCAGGAAATGATCATTTAGTAGTAGGAAATATAGTAAGTAGTATTTGTTTTATTTAACAATTGAGCCAGAATGAGCCAAATAATTAGGCGTTAGGGATCGGTTAGTATTTATTATGTCAAGCCTGGATCGATAATATAATTTGAGTATAGGATCATAATCAGTTCATAAAAGTAAGTACAAAGACTTTGCATTCTTTCAATAGAATTAAAGGAGGGGGAAATTGATCGGCCTTGACATTAAACACAACCATTGCAATCAGTTTAGATAAGTCTAGCTCTTAAACTATTTATTTAACGTATATTGTACCATACTCATTAGATAATCTTAGCTAAGAAAGCTGCCTGGTATATGATCATTTACTATATTCTCGTAGGGATGTGATTCTTGTAAAATTTGTAGTTTTAGAAATGCATTTATAGCTAGTAGCTATAGATACTTTAATGTACGAGCACAACTTTATTAAACTAGTTTCGCATCAAAAGTATTACTCGATTCATCGCCGTATAAAGAATACATATCATATATATACTGTCTCTAAATATATATTAATCTATTAAATAATATGACATTAAAATTTGGAGGTTAACTAAGATATCTCTATCAGCGAAGCGGAAGGACATTAACTAGTTATTATTTGCATCGCATTTACAGTATATTGGATGAACATTTGTTCATAGTCGGTAATTATGATTTGGTGTTAAGAACGTTCTGTAGTTATCTCATAGATGAAATTTGTATACTAATTATTGGCAGTAATCAGCATCACTATCGACTTAATGCGTGGCAATTATCCGTCAAGACTCATAACCAAAGTATAACAGCTTGCCACTTTTCCAACCACGATCAGTATGCTCTAGCTGGTCTGGACAATGGTGATATAAAGGTTACATATATGATTAGTCCAATATCTAGTACAAGTTTGAATCCTGATAACTTTTTAAATGCCGAACATAATTCAACTTGAATTAATAGATTTGGAATTGCGACAATGCAACTTTGGAAGCCTCTTTAAATGGTCATGTTGATAGCATAACTGCTATGCTGATATCGCCCGATGAAAATAGCCTTATAACAAGTTCACTAGATGAAACTGTCAAGGTTACAATATAGCTGCTATTAGCAATTAGTTTAATCTAATTCAATACATTCATTATTTCTAAAAAAATCAAGTTGGAAGACCTTCTCAAATACCGTACAGTATTTATCGGTATATCATAGTTTATATCTAGAAATTTTTACGAGATATACTATAGATAAAACTTATGTACAGGAGTTGAAAATATAGATATACCGCAATAGTTAACCTATATGCTAGCTCGTTCCTAGCATCATAAACAAAATCATTCCATTCCTATAATACAGCTTTGATAGCAAGATTAAATAACATCCACCGCAATTATTAGGACTAAATAAGTCATGTATTCTCGATATGCTACAAAAGTCATAATAAGAATCTTAGATAAAAGCAATCCGCTCTTATTGCATTCTAATAGCTTAAATTTATTCACACAATACAATGAATGCAACAGATACTGATTAGCAACATAAAATTTGTAACAATATCCCGATATTTAACCTTGAAGGTGATAATATCAATCATTGGATTAATACATTTCCATAACGTTGATTACCAATATAACATAAAAGGTTATCAGGGTATACATAACATATTTTAGATATTCTGATGTACAAGTGCTAGTAAGAACGGTATGTCTATCTGTTTTATTCCTTTTAGTGCTACTTAAGTAGTTTAGATTACTCATACCATGTAATAATTAAAGTATATAAACTAATAATATAAAACTTGCCATAAATTCCCAGTATTGAAGCTTTAAAAATGACGATATCAATCATCGCATTAATACATTTCCCCTCCATGTCTACTAGTATTACATAAAAGTCTGTCATGGCAAATAGAACATGTTCTAGATATTCTAATGCAATAATGCCAGTAAAGATTTAAGTCTATCTACTTCGTTCCTGGTTAATACAGCTAGAGTAGCTTAGATTATTTATTCTATGCAGTGAACTGCGACGAATACTTGCTAGCGCATAAAATTTTGTAACTTGTGAATTCAAAAACTTTATCGAGGCACACTGCCATGATTAACTTACCTTTTGATGCCATTGGTCGCTTTATTAAACGGCTAATTTCATGTCTTCTTTTATAAGATTTGGGATATTCATTCTCAATCAGTAAGTATAAATTATATAGACCATCATGAACCGGTTTATTGGTGTCATATAGACTGTATTGGCCAAAAGATAGCTTCATGCTCAACGTTTATCATGGTAATCCATTGTATTTATTTTCATTACATTAGAAATATTTCTTATAATACTACTTAAAGGGATAAAGCGGCAAAGGTCGACATTAATTACAGTAATAACCCTAACTTTCTTTCTGACTCTTTTAATAATCCTTTACAGATTTGGTTAGCTAAAACTGGCCACCATCTAGCCACCATGCACGGGCATAATGGAAAAATTAAACACTGTCGTTTCTCATCTTCAGGAAGCCTTTTGGTCTCATGTGGCGAAGATGGATATGTAAAGGTAGTTTTCTAATACCAAAATAATTTTTTAGCATCATTGCGCCTTCACTAATTACGTACTTTAGCCTTCGATAAAAGTATCACCAATTCAGTTTTCGCAGAAATATACTAACAGGAGTACTTTCAAACACGACATTTTCCGTCAGGTATGGGATCTAATAACCTACTCTGTAAATCAATCAATCATTTATCAATCCGAAATGCCATTGTGGGGTCCACTTTCATGTCATTTCCTACGTGATGATAGTCAGATATTATGTTCCTGTTTGAGTTATCTTTATATCATAAAAGTTGAAGACGGAACGGTGCATAAAAAGATCCCAATGTCAGAGTTGGCCAATTCGTTAGAAATATCACAAGATCGATATTGTGCCGTTTGCATAGCAAATGATGTGCAGGTAAGGCAACATTGATAGGCTATTTTAGCTGGAGAAAGATTTTTGTCACGTAAGGTTGTATATATATTTGTATGTTTTATTTAAAATGAGTAGCAAGAGCCATATTAGACGGTAGCTGAGTTAAAGGGTTATTAGATAGATCCACAAAGATGCCCAAGCGATCCGCTTGAGTTAGAGTTACATTATCACTCTTAATGATAAAGCCTATTTTAGGCTTGCCTATCTAATACAAACCCAGAAGGCTAGTATAATTTAGCAAAATGTCGACATAACAGACCAAAGGAAGAAGTCTTTCTGCATATACAATACACTCATAATTTGATTCATCATAGATAACGATAAAAATTTTAGTAGTTCATGGATTAATTCATCTTACTCTGTAGATCCTAGAAAAACTAAGAGATGCTTATTGAGATATTCATGAATTAGAAACAAACCAAAGATTGAAAATCTAATAGAGAAACATTTGGTTCTGTAGCTATAAAATACAATTAGCACGCAGAGAATTTTCTTATCTATTCAATTAACTTTAATTCGTCTTATCTACTTCCTTATCTATCTTATCTTAAGCAGCAGAGCACTGCATAATACCGCTTAAGCAATCTCTGTAATAAGTAGTTTACAAATCAAGATCAAGCACAATATAGTTTATATAATTATTTAAACCCTTCTCGAAAATGTCGCGCATTAGCTATTACTAGATGCATGTATGTCTACGCTAACATTTCTCACCTCATTCATATTCTAGATATGGGATTTGCAGCAATCCAAACTCGTTACAACTTGCTTTGGACATTGTGATCACGTCAATTCTGTAGCTTTCTCTCGCGATGGTAGTAAAGTTGTCACAGGTTCAGATGATGAAACTCTCAAAGTTTGGGATTTCTTCAACATCCCATCCGTGGTTAATCCCTCATTAAAACCAATTTACGATTGCCAATTCGAGGATAATAATAATCCTCTCCTCTATGTTATGGATAAAGAAAACAATTTACTGGTATACTCATTTTCTTTTCGACAAAATATCATTACTAATTAATTATAGTCGTATTTGAGAGCTCTTAATTATCCATATGGACAACCGACAACATAAAATATCACCTTTTGTGTTTTTCATATCTTAGGTTTACTATGGTTTAAAAGCTACTCTAAAAAAACGAATTAAAATTGAAACTGGCTCTGTAACGTGTTGTAAATTGTCTAGGGATTGCCGATGGATTGCTATTGGATGCAGTAATGGCCAAATTATAGTAAAGCAGCTTGATTAGCATATTAACATTTCTATTGTTATATTACTTCAGCAGAAGACGGCTTGAAATTATTTTAAAATTAACTAATCTATACAGAGCTATTAAAGCTACGTAATTTAGAATCTAGCTACCTTTAAAACATAGACTTAGCTTTTTATAACGTATTACTTAAGTTATTTGCAACCGCTACAGTAGTATACACTAACGATGATTTGGCGTCGAATACTGTTCTAAATCTTTCTTCCAATGATCATAATCAGTATCTACCAACGAGCAACCTGAATGTCATCATCTGGTCAGTGCAACACTATGAAGATGAAATTCGACAATTTTTATTCAGCAAAGAGGATACCATGATGATTGCTCTATACGGAATAATAACGCAATGCCCAATCTATGTTAGTTCTATCCAAATTATGTTACTTGCATAGGTTGCACCATGATAGGATTAAGTTAAAAACAAAGACTATCTGCTCAGATCACAATATATGAAATATAAATTGAATGCAAGTTAGGAAAGTTCCAAATCGTATCAATTCGTATTGCATACTTCCATTCAATCATAGTCTGATAGTGTTAGCTCTCTTGAATATGCACTTATCGAAAATATGATTCACTACTAGATGTAGTGAAATTAATGTGTTGTTCATTCTAGGATTATTAGGCTGATCATTATTTCAGTGTGCATTAGGATTACTTTATAAAAATGTTAGGTTTTATTGTATTACCGATATTATATATATTATTAAGATTTAATATCAGTCAACATTTAAATCAACATATTTCTTATTTCAAAGCTTCGATGAATCGCAGGCGTGATAGAAATTTGAGGCGATATACTTTATTCATACCTCTTTTATGGATTTAGAGACAGTTCTATTTATAATTCTTTACTGAATCAACAGTATGACAGGCTTCAATTCACATCTTCGATTTGTCTAATATCTGTCTCCAAATTAGATTCTAGATACGAAGAATGGTCAGTTACTTGCACAACTGTATGGCCATATGGATAAAATTTCGTTTTGTAATTTCATAAATCACGATGAAAGAATTCTATCAGCCAGTTACGATGGTTATATTAAGGTAAATCAACATGTTACTTAGCTTTTTATGCAAAAGCTGCTATCAGTAATATTATGCCATATTATGGATTGTATTTCTTTGATACAAAACTGATATCTGCATACTGCTCTTATAAACACTTTACTTCCTTGTTGGATTTTTACTTCAAGACTTGGCATCCGCGAACTGGAGAAATGATACTTGAGATTCAAGGTCATCAAGGCATTATTTGGTCTTGCTGTGTTGCTAAAGATGAATCATTCATTGCTACAGCATCCCATGATTGCCTTGTTAAGGTATACGGTTGAATAAAGTACTATTAAATTAAATATACAGCTTAGGTCGGCATTTATATTCGTCAATTTCCTTCAGTTGGTCACCGAGAACTCCTTGTCTTTATTATTAGATGAGCAGAAGCTATTACTGCATATGCATTAGTAATGCTATTGCATAGAAGGATTCCTCCTGATATTATTAAAAAATCAATAAAGTGTGCTATTGCTATTTAAACATCACCTACATTGAGAATACTAAAACTTACGATTATGCATGGGATAAGATCAGGGAACACAATCAAACGTAAATTTTAAGCCAATTTTGAATAATTAACTTAAAATTTATCTCTCGTATCTCTTTATATACTAGTTAATATTTATTAAATTAGTTACAGATTCATTACTAAAGTTTAAATTTAGTAAATGCAGTATAAATCTACATGCTATTAACTGATTATGTAGCTCAATATAACATCTTTAGACATATATTCATATTATATACATTTTTCTACCCTGCCCACTTCAGTTTGAAGTACTGCATAGATAAATTAGCACACTACGTTATTATTAGATCGCTCATAGCGACAGATATCCTACATTAAATTAATAACTGTATAACATTAGATATAGATCAATTATCGTTACTTTGCAATCCTTGTTGCTTCATTAGATCATTTCGAGCCTATTTTAACTAGTGCTTAACTTGACTATAATTTTCAGATATGGTATAACCCAAGTTTACGGTTGTACCAATGTTTACAACATGGCTATAGCGTCATGAGTTGTGACTTCTCATCGGATGCCAAATTATTACTAACTGGAAGTGATACTGGAATTATTAAGGTAGGTTATCTTATTCTATTATTATGACTATTCTAGTTTGCGATATTTTACTACAACTGCTATCTGCAAAAATGCCATTTTAACCCATTTGACATTTCCTAATAGCTATTTTCACTTGAAATATAGATATGTAGAAATCGAATCATGTATTGAGTTATAAACATGTATTTTAATGGCTAGAGATTATGTTCAATTTACGTTGTACATAGTGCAATATTGATTGTCATTCATTGACTTAATTTCATTAGGTTTGGAATATCTCTTTGGCTGTGATAATAAAACAATTTGATAGCCTTGATAATAGAGAGATATTAGCAAGTTATTTTCTATCAGGTTATTGGCTAGACGAAAATGGTAATCAGCCATATTTTGTAACAGTTAATGATAAGATAAACTGGTATAGCCTGGAAGAAAATACGATGGTCCAACAATTTTATTTATATAGTGACTGTGAAAGGCTATTATGGACTCATGATTTTCGAATTTTGGTTACAATAGATTGGAAAGGAGTATTATACATTATAAAAAAGGTTGATTCAAGCTAGATTGAACATAAAATATAACGGGAAAGGTAGCTTGATTAGATAATTACTACAAACATAACGATATACCTAGAATAAAAAATTAAATTTTATAAATGTAGACACATCACTAATCATAGATAACCCTGTAGTCAATAGTACAAAAAAAGTACTCGTACATTACATAATGTCTCATTGATTCCAGAACATTTAGGTTACATACGCATTAACTGTCTGTAAATCAAATGTCTTGCAATAAATTTTGTTTTTCACTGTCAGAGGTAAAATTGAGTACCTTAATATTGAATAGTAATAACCGATGATTCATTATTTCGTGACTAAACTAGCATCATAAGAGGAAAAATATGAAAGCAGGGGATCAACATGAGTGCTACTCAAATAATTCAGAGTAGTACTCGATAAGATTTTGTAAGCCAAACTTTGAATAGCTGATTAAACTCACCGTCAATTATAATTATCAGTAAAATATTACAAAATAGTTATATTACGCTACCTAATTTTGACTTTCAAGTAGTAGAATACTCTTGATATAAGAATCATAATAAGTGTCTTACATAATTTGATGCTTTAGGTTTTGTTGAACACTATCTAATTGAAAATAAATGATTAGGTATTAAAATCTAGATCACATCCTACTATTAGTAGAAGAAGATAAACGTTTACAGCTTTATGACACCATATGATGTAGACTCCAAAAATATCCACATAACCACTAGCATTATATGTAGGGTCGCGAAGCAGTAAAAAGATTTACAGCTATCTTATACCATAGGACGTAAAAAGGCTCATAAAGAATCCATATAACTATTAGTACTACAAGGTGGCCATAGCGAGATACTATAAAATCAAAATTTACGATAGGGCTGCTTGATACTTAAACTATTGTGATTTTAACTTTTTTTATTTGATCACGGATAGCGTTTATTTCAGCCATTGAATCCAGAGCTCGGATATGATCCTGACCAAGCTGTTTTACTTTAGTATCATGAGCTCTTTGCAAGTATCGTATTGCTTCATCAGAATCACCAAATTTTTTATACAACAACCCAATTTCATGTAGAGTATAAGATGTTTGGACATGATCGTCACCGAAGCTGTCTCTTTTAATTTTTAATGCACACTGCAGATACTTTAACGAATTGATATAATCGTCCTTTTCTTTATAGATGATTCCAATTTGATGATATGTATATGCAGCACTAGCATGATTTTCACCAAGTTGTTTCTTTTTAATTTCCAACGATTGATTAAAAGATTCCATGGCTTGGGAATAATTTTCATTGGCTTTATATAATAAACCAATTTTATCTAGTGTATAAGCTACATTCATATGTTGTTCACCAAGTTGTTTTATTTTGATTTGCAATGATTTCATTAGGTTATCTTTAGCGTTATCGTAATCATTTTTCGCCATATAGACTAAGCCAAGTTCATCATAGGTATAAGCTAAGCTAACATGCTCGTGACCTAATTGTTTTTGTTTAATGTTTAAAGCATTAACATCACATGACATGGCTTGATCAAGATCTTTAACTTGGCGATAAATACGGCCCAGTGAATGCAATCCATCAGCTACTTTAAGGGCATTCTCACCCAAGTGCAATTTATAAAATTCAATAGCGTTCTGAAAGTAGCGTAAAGCATCATCATATTTATAATTTTCACGACAAATATTACTTATCGTCTCGTAGATCATAGCTACATCGAGGTTACTTTCACCAAGTAGTTGTTTTTTAATTTTTAATGCCTTGTTAGCATGCGTCAAAGCTTCAGTAAGATTACCAGTTTTACTAGCTACACGTCCAAGCCATAAATATGTTTTAGCTACATCTAGATGATTTTCACCTAGATGTTGCCTTTGCAATTCAATTGCTTGCTGTAAGTATTGACGACTAATATCAAATTTCCCAATTCGACAATTGGCTTGACCGATAAGCTGTAATGTCTTACCAATATCTTCTTGTAAAGTGTTTTGATGTTGTCGTTCTAATTCCAGTGCTTGATGAAAATTATTAAGAGCGCTATCATAATCATTCATTTCCATAATGATTTTGCCTTTTAATTTAATGGCTCGACTAAATTGATGCCGCTGGTTTTCATGGATACCTTCATTGATAAATTTTTCTGTCGTTGATGATGGTATCGAGGTTAAGACTTCATCGACGTAGTCTTTAGCTCTAACCATATTAGCTAAATTATAATAAATGTGACTTACATTTAAAATGACAGAATTAACTAATTGTCGATGGCGATAATTGTCTTCTTTTCCATCATGGAGTGTATATACATTGAGGTAGTTTCGAGCCATTTCAAAATGTTCAATTAAAGCAATATTAGCAAGAGTTTGTTGAATATTACGACGATCATAGTAAAGCCTTTCGCTATAATACTGGAATAATTTCTCGACCACCACTTGATCAACACCTGAATCTTGATACTTATGGCGTATAACTAATTGTAACAAACGATGGATATTATAACAGTTCCCATTCCAACTCATCAAGCAGTAATCATGTAATAAATCGAGAGCAATTTCAACGTCGTTCTCAGTTACATGGAGTATTCGAACACCTAATTGAACTAATAATTCACGGCTAATATTATTAGGTGATAAGTAAGCAGCAATCGTGCTTAAATCACAAGCAGTAGGATTGATACAACTAACTTGTGAGATGGCAATTTGCCATGTTGTCTCCACAGTGTGCTCTACAACAACACATTGATCATCATTTTCACTCAAGTATTGCTTATAGGATGACGATGGCGCTTCCTGTTGCCATAAATTTTGATATAAACTTTTAAATTGATCCACATAAGTTGTAATGCTAATTTTTTTCCTTCTAATATATTGAGCAGCTTGTGCAAGTGCTAATGGTAAATCACCCAAGATATCGGCAATATTATCCCAAGCGTCATCATTCTCTATCGGTTGATGGGAATGACCATGTGGTTCTACCACTCGATGTAAAAATTCAATCGATGTTTTCCGATTGAATATATCTATTTCAATCATATCATCCCAGCTACGATGACGAGATGTTAAGATGATATGGCCAGTGCGCATCGTTGGAATATACTTGTTAACCATTTTAACACGATGAACATTATCATAAATTAACAGCCATGGACCTATTAATTGTTGATCTAAAGCATCTTTGCTAACTTCAATAATACGCTCTAATAATTGTGTATCTCTAGATTGGCGTTTAAGGGAATCTGATGTTAAATCATGGCGAATTGCTGGTGTCTTTTGATATTGTTCCATTAACGTTTGCAATGTATGCAGTGTTGGTGGAATACGATGTGAACCATCAGACATAGAATCAACAATTCGTTGGCCTAACTTGACCATGTCATTTTGTAATGAGATTTCATTTTCAGCATTAAGCCATGCGACAATATTATACTGCTGAATATTGCTATGGGCATAATGTAAAGCTAAGCAAGATTTGCCAACACCTCCAATACCAACAAGGGCTGCCATCCCTTGATTTATAACATCGGGAGAATGCAATTGTTCGTCAATACGTTGTATTAAATCACGTCGGCCGGTGAAAAATGATACCTTAGGAGGCAAAGAAATAATCCATGGCAGATCCTTCTGCCGTTCCTGATGCATTTGGCTCATATTGATGACGAGTCGAGTCGTTTAGAGTATTCAAGAATAACAAATGACCACCACAAGTTCTATTTAAATGGAAAAATATATGCCAATTAGCAATTACATATGGATAGAAAGGTAACGAAATGAATCAAATACTTTTAATCAAGTCTATAGTCGATAGACAACTCTTTGGCTAAGTAAAAAGATGATGGATAATATTGCTTGATCTGGTACTGCTTCCGTAATTAAATGATATATGCGTACAAGGTACAAATGTAAATAATCGTAGTAACTGTGAAATACGAATGAAAATACCATTAGATTAATCGAATTTGTGGATAAACTGCATAGGGCATTGAAAACATTATCCAATCTATCTAGTCTACTTTAACAATATACAATTAGAGGTACTAGCGTGAAATATGCTTGGATAGTTTATTCAATGAAGAAAAATAATTGGAGGTACAGCACAGGTATAAAAAAGTTCATACAGTTTATTAAAAGGAAAAAGTAATTGCAGTAGTAAAGTTCAGAGCACCTCCATTAATAGAAGTGTTACGGGAATCAATCATTTTTGATAAATGGATACATAAAATGGCCAGAAGTACAGATGGATAACTTGTTCAGACTTATGCTGTTTCTTGGATTGAACTTCACGACATAAAATTGAGGTTCTTATACTGTTTAGGTGGATCTGATACAAAGTAAGGGACAGTAAAGAGTTTACAATTTTCAGGGAAATAAAGAATAGAGTATCTGTGCCTTTATTTCAATCTGTTTTCATACAGTATCTATTTGGCGAGAAAGTTAGAAAGATCCTACTGTTCATTATATTTACATGAATAAATTTACGTAAGAGCTCGAATGCTGATAAAAAGTAACGGCAATTGATTGATTAATTAATTATTTACTATACGTTACAGTATACTCACATGAAGAAAGTTGGCGTAATAGCTCGAAATGCTGATGAAAAGTAACGACAATTAATTGATTAATTATCGATCGTACATTATACACACATGAAGAAAATTGGCGTAGTAGCTCGAAAGACGATGAAAAGTAACGATAATCAATTGATTAATTATAATTATCTACTGTACATTATATTTACGTGAAGAAAGTCGGCGTAAGAGCTCGAATGCTGATGAAAAGTAACGACAATTTATTGATGATCTATACCCGTATATTAGCATCGATCACAAAGTTAAACGCTGAAGAAAGTCGTCTTCCCTAGTTTTGCATGTTCGCCAGTGGAAAATGCAGACTATCAGTTATTCTACGCAGATGAATGATGATCAAAATTAACAATTTGATGTACCGTATGCAAGTGTTTATAAAGTAACAACAACTTGTTTACATAGAAGCAAAATCAAACGACATGATCCGATCTTATGTGGATGAACTCATCCAACATGATGATAAAGAAGGCACAAGTGTAAAATAAAGAGTACCAATCCAACTTCAAGGATGATCTGAGAGTAAAAACTATCCTGATGGAATAAAACAACAACTTGTTTACTTAGAAGGTCAAATCAAACGAAACGGTCCGAGCTTGTGCTGCTGAACTGATCCAACATAATGATGAAAAAGACCTAAGTGTAAAGTACAGAGTGTAGAGTAGATTGAAATAAAGACCTAAGCCTATCCAATATCCAATTCTGGTAGAAAGTAACCCAATCAACAGCTTGATTGAAATAAAAATCGAAGGCTTCCCAATATCTAATTCTGGTAGAAAGTAACCCAATCAACAACTTGATTGAAATGAAGATCTAAGCCTACCCAATATCTAATTCTGATAGCAAGTAACCCAATCAACAACTTGATTGAAATGAAGATGTAAGCCTGCCCAATATTTAATTCTGACGGAAAGTAAAGCAATCAACAACATGATTTAGATGAAGATCGAAGCCTACCCAATATCTAATTCTGATAGCAAGTAACCCAATCAACAACTTGATTTAGGTGAAGATCGAAGCCTTCCCAATATCTAATTCTGATAGCAAGTAACCCAATCAACAACTTGATTTAGATGAAGATCTAATTCTGATGGAAAGTAACCCAATCAACAACTTGATTTAAATCAAGATCTAAGCCTAGCCAGTATCTAATTCTGATGAAAAGTAACCCCCCAATCAACAATTTGATTAAAATGAAGATCTAAGCCTACCCAATATCCAAATCTGATGAAAAGTAACGCAATCAACAATTTGTTTACATAAATAGCCAAGTCCAATGATGACAACATCATTGGATCTTGAAGTTATCCAACTTAATGATCGACAAGATACAATCGTAAACAACACACTCTGTATTCTACACCAATGAGCCATAGGATATGTAGGTAAAGTCAGCCAATAAATATTTTGTTCCTATGCAGTAGATGGCTAATTTAAAATGATAGCTTTGCCTCATCGATGTTGTTCAATATTGAACAGTAGACAAGGTGCAAGCTTAAACTACGATATATGCACATCTAGAAATCAGTTGCTTGCGTCATAGTGATGAAAATGCAACAATATCAACAGCGATTTATTTAGGTAGATGACTAAGTAAAATGATTAGCAAGGTTCTAAGGTCTTGTCTACTTTACCTTATTCGATATAGAGGCTTAATCGTAAGTGCCAGCTCTCAGACAGCAATGCTAATGGGAAAAGAAGAAGGCTTTAGCAGCTCCAGCTTTGCAAATGGATGGTCGTAGTCGAAAAGGATGTCGTAATATTGTATACTGGACTATGAGTAACAAGTAGAGGGCATGGACTAGGTCTATCGCCACTGCTAGCACTGTGTATGCCGTTGATCATATTTAAGTATCTGTACTATCAGCAGTATAACAAATCTATTTGTTATTGCATTGATGCTTTTGCTAGCCAGGGATCGTTAAAAATGGTTAGCTGGCCTATTTTTTTTTTACAAATGCTGCTGTATTTTAGTAGCCCCTACTTTAATGCTAACAACTACCAACATGCATCATTTACAGCTAGCAAAAATACTGGAAATAGTCTGCAATAGCCCGGAACTTTAGCCATATTGAAGCTTTGCCGTAGATCATGTTCAATTCAAATATTATTGGTAGTAACATAAAAAAATAAGATATGGCACATCGTCCCTATAAATGCTATAATTTTTTTAGTAGTATCTGCTCTAGCTCCAAGGATTAGCAAGATGCAGTCTTTAGAGCTAATAGGACTACAGTAACTATTAAGAGAGTAAGGCTACACGCCATGGCCAGGAACCTTAACTATTCATAGGTTCTCCAGGTAAAGTATGTTAGACAATTGAAAAAATATCAACGATACGTATAAGAGTCTACAAGAATACCATACAAGCCTACCTGTCCACCATTATAGGCTTTTTTTTATTACTGATATACTTTATGAATCTAGATAGACATTATAGAAGTGTTTTTATGCATTGCAATGAGCATCAAAAATCCCTCTATAGTAGCAATGTCTCTTTACGCTTTACATTATCAAAAGTAAAGATGATTATACAGTATACTGTAATAATGATTGTGCAGTATTCAACTATAATCGGTCTACACAGGAAGATAGATTACCATTGCTAATTAATTATCAGAAACCAATAGGCTACATGGATTCGCAAATGTACTCAAAGACAATGCACTGATGATTAAAACATCAATGATAGCTCCAATCTCATAGACTTCCCTCGTGAATGCTAGTACACACAAAAACCAATAACCCCCCAAAATTGATACAGTATGCAAATTAGAAGAATGCAATGTATAAAATAATTGTAATCCAGCTATGCTGTAAACACTTTATTTATGTAATACAAAAATATTCTATTTGGATATTGAGATTTCGTTGAAATAGTCTGGAACTATTACGGAAACCGATAAAAACAGTTACGGTAAAACAGAACAGATCCTAAACTAAAATCTACAATAAATTGATCGTACTTTGTACGCTCTCTTAAAGAATAACTATTTTACGCTATATAATCTTTTCCTATAAACACTATTCTCAGCCTGATAGAAAGATAAAGTATTAAAAAATATGTGGATATTCAATTAAAGAATAAAAAATACTATAATATCACACCAGAATTCTAGATTAACTATTCTACATAAATTCTCAAGGAAAATTAGGAATAATGAGAGCATAAAAATAATAAACGTCTTGAATTAACATAGCATATCAAAATTTTGAATAATAACTAAAAAAATCGATAGTCTACTATATATACGTGTATAACGTTATATCGTGTTGAATCCTAGAGGGCAAAAACTGACATTTAATCTTATTTGTTTAAATCTTCAAATAGTATACTTGAGGTATTTAATTAGCACTGTAGACATTCAGTTTTGTAAAAAGAGTACATTTAATAATTAATTTTTAAATACCCTAGTCGTGGTATTTATTCTTTAAATACTATAGCATTAATGTCTACAATTAATGTTTCATTAAATTCAGAAGGCGCAATCGATTTAGTTTGATCGATTCAACCCTTGAGATCGCATAATTACAGCATTTAATGAGCAACATAATCATTTCTAAAATATAGTATCACTTTTATACCGTAAACAAGGATTACTAATATGAGAAGGTCACGAATAAATTGTATCCAAATCTTTCGTTTTAGGAACTGGCATTGTAGGAGTACATTTTCCATACTTTTTCTATATTCTATTTCTTTATGACGATTACTACCAAGAAAGGTATGCACTTTATCTAATTGCCTTTCGCATAACTCAATCTTTGTAGTGACAAGGTAATACTGACGATGGAATAATGCTTTCTTTGCCATATTTAAGTACACTTGACCAATTAATTTTGCCGTTAATATATAATTAGACGTATAATCGTCAATCGCATCATCTTGCCAAATGTTTATAGCTAATTCTAAGTACTCTAAAGCCATTTTATTATAACCTTGTTCGAGCCAAGTCGCACCAATTTCGCGATAACACATTGCAACCTGTGATCTATCACCATCTATACAATTTATTGATATATCCAAAGCATCCGTAAAATATCGTAGTGCTTGTTTGTAACGTTTTAAATCTCTCATAGTCAACCCAATATCATGATATGTCAAAGCCAATAATGTATGACCTGGATCTAATACTTTCGAACGACATCTAAGACAGCTTTCAATATAATGTACGGCTTGATCGTGTTTAAACTGTTTACGTGAGACTACCCAACAATTATAATAGCTTTGCGCAACTTGAAGGAGATCATCTTCCTGACAATCTAGTTTGATTTGGAGTGAAATTTCATAATTTTCCATAGCATTACAAAAATTATTTAGACATACATAATTATGGCCTATATTATCATAAATTGGGCACAAATTGAGACTATCGTCACCATATCTCTTAATAGAAATTTGTAAGCTTTTTTGGTGATAACTTATTGAGTCATTATATTGATGTCGTAGAGAATTAATTGAGGCAATAGCTTCATAAGTTTTCACTATATCGAAATAATCATGGCTTGATATATCCATATCACAAGATTTTTTTAAATAATCCATAGCATCTTCATATTGATGTTGTTCCTTCAATGCTATGCCTATTTCATAACATATTGCAGCAGTGTGTGATTTATCAGAATCTTTAGTATGATTTTGTCGAATACTCAACGCTCGCTCCAGAATATCAATTGCTTCTTTATATTCTCCCCTTAAAATGATTAATTGACCAATTTTTAAACAATAATCCGATATTAACAAATTATCATCGCTTAGTGCATTCTCTGCTATACCAAGTGATTTTTGATGATAATTCAAAGCCTGTTCGTTCATACCAAGATCGAAAGTTGTTAAACCAAGTTGATAATAAGTTTCGGCCATTGTAACATTATAGTAATCCAATTCTTGGCTTCGTATTTCAAGAGCTAGCTCTAAAGCATGTAATGATTGTTGTAAATCTTTCATTTGTCTATATACTTTACCAAGATGATAATAAATAGAAGCTATAAATAAATTTCGTTGACCAAAGTGATCAATACTTAGCTTCAATGCTTCTTTAAGATGTATCAATGATTTAGAATAATGATGTAACATACTATTAACTCGACTGCTTTCAACATGTGCTGCAATTAAAGTTAAAATGCAGTTACTAGTAGCTTTCCATTCTTGGGTAATTATTAGCAACACTTGTTTATGATGATCTAAGGCTTGCTGTAGTTTTCCTTGTAAAGTCATACTTCGACCGAGCTCTAAATGATCCATAGCAACATGACAATGCATTGGTCCAAATTCTTCTTCATCAAGATTGAGACTATACCGTAGGTAAGAAACACTCTTCTTAAATTTATTATTCAATCCATATACAATTCCCAATTGGTAAGAAATATCTGCAGCTCGTAGCGGTGTCGTTGAAAACAAATCGTCAGTTTCCATAGCTTGATGGAAATTCTTTTCTGCAATGTCGTAATTTTCAAGTAAAGTGTTAATAACGCCCATGTCGTAAAATAAGTAAACCTGAAGGTTTTGAACATCGATATCATGGTTATCATTACTATCTTTGCTAATCATTCCTAATGCTGCGGCTAAGATATTAATAGCATCCTTCATGTTACCTAGCATAAATTCAACCTTGCTAGCAATTCTACATAGTTTGCAATAACCTATTAAGCACCTATTTGAAATATTACGATGGGATGCATTATTGAGTTGTTTCAATTCTAGCAATTTAGCTGTATTAGCTAAATGGATGAACATTTTTGTATTTTTGTACTCTTTAAATTCATAAAATAGACGACATATTTTAACAACTACTTCAATCCTTATATCTATTAAAGCATCATATTGGCAACTATACTTTAAACAATTCATGGCATACTTGGCGAACGATTTAATTTCTTTACTCTTTTCATAGTTATCGCTATAAAAATTTAATTTTTGATTAAATAATTGCAATAATCGTAGTAAAATTGTTTCACTTTTGCTTTCTTGATGCGCTTTTTCTCTTACAAACAATTGAAACCACGGATGGATTGACCAACAATTATTTTTAATTCTGGTCACTAACTTGTATTGTTGCATTATAATCATAACAACATCCCAATGGGTATTTTGATCAAGTAGATAGGACTCATAATAATCTTGCACAAGTTGGATTGGAACATTTTCCAATGATAGATATCCAACTACTGCAATAATTTCACTTGCTTGTGGCACTTCTTGGATAAACTCATCTAAATTTAAATTCCAAGCTGTCAAGACGATATATTTCACGGTCTCGTATCGTTTATTAGCTTTAGTTAATAATAATTTTTTAATACTTGTTACTGGATTCCATGATTTAGTTAAGGATGTACAAATAGAGTTGGTATAATCCATCATTGTTGTCTTCTTGGCTTGTACATAACCCGTTGTAAGTGTTAACGCAATAGGTACATTAAGTAAATTTTCAGCAATTTTATTGCAGCTATACGTAGCAACTTGTTGCATTGATGATTGCAGAAAATCGACAGCTTGTTCAGTTGAGAAGATACCAACTTGTACGTTAGATTTCCAATTTCGTCGGCATGAAACCATTATGGCATGGCCATGAGAAGTCGTTTTAGGAATGTAATTTTCTATCATATCAGTATCGTTCACTCGATTGTAAATCAATAACCATGAGCCACAAATATCCTTTTCTAAAACATCTTGAATTAAACATTTGATAATAGAGGCATAACCTTCATCGGCTTTGACCTTGGACACGCAACAATTTCTAAAATCTTCGATAAACTCGATACAATTACAATCAGATTTTAATAAATTTCGAAGTTTAGTGATAGCTTTGTCATTGAAAGCATGTGAATAAACAATCCTTTTAGCTAATGCAATCATATCATGTTGTAATGTTAATTCATTGTCTGCTTGTAGCCAGTAAATGACGTTATAGTCATGCTTATACTTCATAGCATATTGAATTGCTAGTGTTGACTTACCAATGCCGTAAGGTATCGCCACATCTTGAGGGATAATTGCACATCGACCAGTATTATGCAACGCTTTCGATATTGCTGTAATTAATTGTGGACGATCAATGAGTAAAGGTGGAGGCGATGGAAATAGTTGAATTGTATGACTACTTTCGTTTAATAAGCGTAGCGGCGACGAAGCACAAGACCGATCTATATTATTCAAATCGGTCATACTGGTAGAATTTAGTGAACGATTAACAATAAATGACCTATCTAATATTGCCTTAACCATATCATTAATGGATTTTGTACCAGCTAATGCTTGAAGTTTAGTAACATAGTCAATCAATTCCTTTTCATAAGGTTTAATATGTGCCATAAGTGTTAATAATTCATAGATCAATTTACATAATGGTAGTAATAAATTTTGTTCATCGCTGTGTTGTTTGACGATAAGATCAGCATAGCATTTCAGGCCAAATGTATGATGATTGAAATTGCTACACTTACCAGCATAGACTAACGATTTAAAATCTTCATTATCGATCGATTTAATGATATGAGCGAAATTATCAATAATGACATAAAACATGAGATTATCTAATTTCATTGGATTATTCCATAATGATTGACATATCTTATCGAAAAAATGAGCATCTCTATTGGTAAGGATCATTCGGCAATCATTATTAAGATGATGAACATCTTTTGCTAATGTATTGCTTGATTTTTGATCGTGGCCTCCATATTGGTTAATCTCTAATTGAAGCAATTGCAATTCAGCATATAATAATAAAGGGGGTAGATCCGATTGATTATCATCCAGGTCTAGTAATAGTTTGCCAATTTTATCACTAGTATCTTTAACATGTTGGTAGACTACATTTCGGCTGTCATCTTTTGCTGTTAACTTCATCAAGTGTGCATTATTCGCTATCAATTGTCGGACAATTTTGATTAACTTAGCCAAGTAAATATCAGGTAATTGATGATAGAATTTGGAGAGCGTAGCTTGTACTAAAGTTTCGATGACTTGCCACGAGATATGATGAAGAGAGCTCAAACAAGCAAGAATTTTATCAGCAAGTGTGTCATTTCCTACTGCGGCAGCTTGTTGTAAATTTGAAATATAAAGATTAATCACACGATTGTTGGCCATATCACACGTCTCAATTACTTTTTCGATCCTTGCTGTACTATAATGGAAGGAGAGAAAGGTTAAGTTTAATTATCGCTTGACTATTTAGCGTGAAAGTTGTCTAGCGTTGTACCAGTATTAATCTATACATGATTATAGTTAAGAGAGCGTTCGCAAAAGATAGGTTGTCAACGATCATCAATTCACATTGGTTGGCTTTCAATTTATGAACGAATTTAGGCCAATACTGTATTACGGAATAGTAAAGTAGTTGTACGATGCAACAATTACAATTTAATGATCGATTGAGTCAAGAAAATATCCTGTATTAACAAGGCAGCAGTACAGTTCGGTATGCTGAGATATAGTGTTACTATCGATTTAGTTTTATTTCTGGAAATTTTGTCGATCAACAAAGTGGCAGTACACTATAGTAGGGTCTATTACTCTTGATCCAGTACTGTTATTCATGAAAATATCCTAGATCAATAACATAATCCATTACAGAATATCATTATATAGTAGTAGTATGGAAGGACTGTGAAGTGAAAATGTCAATTGTAGTAGCAGATACTGTATGATATATGGCATCAATCGATCACATTTAATCATTGATGGTTGTACGATTTCAAAGTTATTTAGGAAATATCATTGATTATAATTAACAACGCAGTAGCTCAGTACGTGCGATATTACTACATTGCTATAGTGATTTTGGGGGGTTATAAGTGTATTACTACTACTGATCCAGTATTAGTGTCGAAAATTATCCTTGATCAGCAGACATGTACATTATAATAGATTAATTACTAAATTGATGACACGATTTAGTATTACATGATAAACTTGATAGTAAACTACAGTATAATACAATTTTCATTCAAAATAAACTATTGATGCCGCATTTCCACGCTTCGAGAAATTGTAATAAAATTTAAATGGATTCAACAAAGCATTTTGCACCAAGAAGGTGATCGTATCCCCATTAATCAAGGACGATGTGTACATCCTGCATGGATCACGTTACCATCTTGATCGTTCAGGGAAATACCCTGGATCAATGGCTGATAACAAAATCCAAAGCTAGGCTAACAGTCCACTGAGTACAGTTTTCTACTCGCTATCATCCATCATAACAGCAACAACAGCGAACAGCATAGTACAATGTTGAAACTAAACTATCGCAATTACTAATGCAGTATTACCACACCTGCAAATGGTGACCAAATTTTCAAAATGTTATTGTGGGAAAATAACCTAATGACTCATAACATCATCATGTTGATCGTTCAGGAAGATACCCTCGATCAACGACCATCAATAATAACTACGACACTAGACTATCAGTACTGATAATCCCTCATCACTAACTATCGATCTCATTGATCCATTACGATTATTTGACCTATCGGGTAATGTAAAAATTGGATAATGATCGCAGCTTGTGTACAATTAATCTCTAATTTAGCTGATATTTACAATCATCAATCCTATACTGTGATGTAGCAGGATCATGCTGTTTCCTCCATTTCATGCACACAAATAACAAACAACGTTAGCTCCATGGCCACTGGCATGGCAGTTTACCTCATCCATTCGTCAGTTGATGTTTACAGTACGTCAAAATTTCAGCAATTTGTTGTGGTTACACGCACACCAACTCCATCTTAACACATCTCGATATCAATCCACATGGTTATCTGTTTCAACCCTCGATATTTCAAGGTTAAAGCACAGCAATCTAGGATGAGAAAGTTGCTCCAATAAGCCGATCAAATTCAATACTGTCCTAACCAAACTATTCGCCAATAAGTTTAAAAAATAAATAGATGGCCGATGATGATTCCAACCATACGTCATCCAAATCAAGGTGTGTGAAAAGGTTACTGCGGTATCAATCTTATATTCGAGACAAGATTGATATAGAAAGAAGGCGTGTAAAGTAGCGTTTGCGTAGCTGTAGTATGTATTGCCGTGCTGAAGGTGAAGGTTAGTTTTTGCCTGCCTAGCGTCCAGTTGATGAAATCATTTCTGGACTGGATTAGACTGCATTACTAGGCAGTGTTACAGCACTCCCCTTCTCCAATCGGCTGAGCAAGAAAATGACGTCATCTTAGTCTGCATGCACAAATTGTCCATTGATCTCATCGTGGACAGCAACACCATTGTAATGCTATACAAATACCTTCTGGCAGGCCTTAGCGCAGAGCAGTATACTGACTACAAAGTCGAAGTGAACTAAAAGGTAAATCCTCCAAGGTTGGTTAGGCTGTAAAATAATTCTTTTTACTGATGATTTGGCGTTGATTTACTTTGGAAATGACAGCAGATCAACTCGATTTGCTGCCATCAAGTTCATTGACTTGCCAAATCCATTCTTAAGCCTGCGCAGATTGGCCTAAAAACTTTGCTAGAGCGCAGCCGCTGAGGTTCAGACAACCAGACGTTCAGACGTAAACCTTGACGCATATTTAATAATATTGATTTGATATTCATTTACTGTAGGCCTAGGTACAGAGCAGTATACTGACTACCAAGTCGAAGAAAGCTAAAAGGCAAATCCTCCAAGGTTGGTTAGGCTGTAAAATAATTCTTTTTACTCATGATTTGGCGTTGATTTACTTTGGAAATGACAGCAGATCCACTCGATTTGCTGCCATCAAGTTCATTGACTTACCAAATCCATTCTTAAGCCTGCGCAGATTGGCCTAAAAACTTTGCTAGAACGCAGCCGCTGAGGTTCAGACAACCAGACGTTCAGACGTAAACCTTGACGAATATTTAATAATATTGATTTGAAATTCATCTACTTTGGATAGAAATTATCAAGGATCAACTTGCAATTGCTGTGGTTAAGTTAATTGAGTTGCTAAATCAATCATTCAAATTTACTTTCTTCTGCACAAGGATTAATGTAGTGTATAGTAGACCGGAACAGACACTTACAGTTGCTGATGTACAGACCTTGCTGCAAGCCAAATCCAGGAGTATTGACTTGGTATTCGCTTTGGACGGACATCACAAACGATCAACTTAAAAATTGCTGCGATTAAGTTTTTAGTTGAGTAAAATTTACTTTATACTGCATCAGTACTAGTGTACAGTATACGGACTAGGATACAGCACTTGGCCAATATTCAGATTTCTGGTAGAAGCCTACACAAGTACAGTACTATTAACTGATTTTCACACCTCCGCTGCAAGACAAATCCGGGAGCGCTGATTGTGCATGAACTTCGGATAGAAGTGAATAGACACCAAGGATCAACTTGAACTGCTGCGATTAAGTGAGTGGAGTTGCCAACAAAGTTATCAAGAGGATGACACATACAAATTGATGCCTTTTCATGCCATTATAAGAACGTACTTTGATGATGGAACCGACTACTAGTCAGAATGATGACGATCAATTAGCTAATAGTAAGAGAACCCTTTCTCGCATAAATGGACTTGTCAACGAAATGACTATGCAACAAATCATTGATAAATTAAAACAACTTGACGTTAGTACCAAGTAAGTAATGCACTAGTTACATATCAACACTAGAGATTATCGTAGGCAATGGATAGCCAGTTGTAACTTTCGGATACTCTAATAAATGAAAAAATAATCTGGTTAAAAGCTCTAAATCTGCGTTATCACTTTCTGTATGAAGATTTGCTATGTTGCAAATACTTATAATCGCATCAATACATAGAAATACTGTACGTAAACTTATATATTACACTGTAAATGTTCTATCCCTATCAGTAGCTGCCACAGTAGCTGCAATCTGTATTTTGAATTTGTAGAATGCTTGTATCTGATCTAAGATATAAGGTATTGAAACCGTTTTTGCAAAAATTATTAAAAAAGCTTTATTCTATTTCGAACTATGCCTAACCAACATCAGCGGCGAAGATAATGTATTGAAGCAAAGGCTAAAGGGCGTCATGAGAGAAAAAGTTTACAAAAACAGCAATATCAAATCCAGCAAATTTAGCACTGATTATTATTGTGTCATTGATTTCGAAGCAACTTGCGAGGAAGTTAATCCACGAAAGTATAAGCATGAAATAATTGAATTTCCCGCCTTGATGGTGAATGCTCGAACTCTAGCCGTGGAAAGCCAATTTCATTTCTATTGTAGACCTGTCATGAATCCAAAGTTAAGCAGCTTTTGTACAAAACTGACTGGAATTGACCAGGTTAGATGACGTGATCCTGCTCTAGAGTCTCATATACTTTGTACTCGTGGGAGAATAACTCAGTTCATATAATCCTGTGATAGTTTTCCGCCTATGCTGATTGCTGATTGCATCATCAGGCCTAGTGCAACCCTGCATTGCTACTTATTAATTGTCAATTGAAGAAAAATTGCTACTATATATTTAAATATACCGACATTAGTTCTCATATACTGTGCTTGTAAATCCTGTAAACATTTAGAACAGGTGTTACGAAGCCAGTACGCCATATGAAAAAATGGTCGTTTTAGGTGCTACTTACAGTAAATGACAGCACAACATACAAAAGAGTGAACCATTTATACTGTGCGTGAAGAGAGTTAGCCTTCATAATAAATAGTTAATATAGTGATAACAAAATTAAGCTGGCTATTGCTCTACAATACCCTCTTGACCGTACAGTACTACCGCAATTTCAGCCATAATCATGCCAAGACTTCACATTCAATATTGTATATTTTATCCATCAGGCAATTTTCTGCTATTGCTTTGTTGATCACAGATGATATAGTGTACGTAATAATACAACTAAATTTTTATCCATGGCCTGTATTGCTTGAATATTAGAAAACAATCGACTCTGCAGATGCCTTTAAAGTTGTCTTCCAAAATTTTCAAAAATGGTTGGAAGATGTCTTAGGAGAAAGTACCTTCGTGGTTGTAACCGACGGGTAGGACTTTATTTATTAATAATTTTTTACAATGACGATTTTCAGCATTATTTCAACATTTTCTTGCTGCTGGAAATAAATGCGTAAGCGTTTTCAATTGAAAGTACTGGTATTTATAATTATTTTCTAGCCCCTTTGATATAACTCGATTCTTGACGATACAATGTAAAGTTGATAAAATTCCTATGCCTTATTGGGCTTCAAATTGGACAAATTTAAAGCGAACCTTCAAGGCTTTCTATAAATTATCAGGGCAGCGGTTTCCAACTTTGCAAGATATGTTAGGAGCATTAAAAATCCCGCATGATGGACGTTTGCATAGTGGAATAGACGACGCAAAAAATATTGCCAAAATATTATGCCAGTTAATACGAGACGGATGTCAAGTTAAACCAAATGAAATCTTAGCTAACTATAGCTAATAGGAGACTATGAAATTAGTGTAACACTTGGCATTAATATTTTGTAGTATTTTGTATTTTTCATGTAACCATGCAGTGAATCTGGCTACGTGTTTTTAACACAATATTGATTGATGTACTCATAGAGAGCAGCTGCTGTGAAATTTATTCTTAAATTAAGCAAAAATATTATAATCTTGAGAACTTCCAGCTACGATGAAGTTTTGATGGCTATCAAAGTGCCTTGTACATACAGTAAAGCTATCCCGCATTTGGACACTTTTGCTACTTGATTGCCGTAACGTTAATTTTATTGTATCTATAATTTAAAATTGAAATTATCAGTAGTTAACTTTAACTTATGTGCAGATAGTATTGAACCTCAATTGATCGTAAGCAGTTTGCTAAATATAGCTAGTTAGCCATTTAAGATCAGCGCTGATGGTAATGTGTTCTTATTGGTAGTGAATCACTATTAAGATAATCTCTACTAAATACGGAAAGTTCAATGGTAAAGTATTTATTTCATCATTCGTTCAATAAAATTTATTGTCGATATTGGTCGGTAAAGATAACTGCGTACTATTTAAATTATGTATTTTATTTTGTACTATTATTTTTGGCTATCTGACAAATATATTTGAATGATTTAACTACACGTATAATAAACAATTCGTGTTATTTAAGTGCTGTATCTAACATGAAAACCAGAGAGGCATATTTATTTTGTATTATTATTTTGGCTATCTGACAAACATTTTTGAATGATTTAACTACACGTACTAATAAACAATTCCTGTTATGCAAGTGCTGTATCTAAAATGAAAACCGGAGAGGCAGAGGTTTACGGCATTTTGTAGTAAAAATTGGAATAACTTATAGCGATGGATAGTTTTATATAATATTCATTTAATATCTAAAATGAAAACCGGAGAGGCAGGGGCTTACGGCATTTTGTAGTAAAAATTGGAATAGCTTATAGCGATGGATGGTTTATATAATTTTCATTTAATATGCACTGGAGTGATTCAGTAGAACATTTATAGTGTATATTGTGCTGTATGTGATTCATTGTCATTAGGAAAGTAGAAATACATCACAGTGGCCATGCCAGTGATTATTATCAAAGATTACAACTATAATTAATTAATTTACGTACTTATACAGTGATGGTGCTGAGAGAATGAATTTATCAACTGCCTGCATATACGCGAGCTAGAAAACTGATTGCATAATTAGAAAGTTAAAATTTCCGGTAAAGATATATATTTTATGTAATTAAATTTTAATGAGGCCAGTTTCTTAGTCATTCCAACAGACAAGAATAAAACTAGTTACTGATGACGAATCATAGTTAATTGGATATCCAAAATGCAGTTCTCAATCTATGGTAAAATTGTACCAGAACGAAACACCAAGAAGGTGCTACTGTAAAGTAACAGTGCAAGACTGTAAGTTCTGTAACAGCCTCCTCCCCTCTGATCCACGTTACTACAGAACTCTTCTTAATTAAATCCTACGGCTCTTTCTTGTATCACTTTGTAGTAGAAAGGCTGAAAGCAGTTCTTAATGAAATAAATTGGGATTTACTGTCGACAATAACCTTGATTCGTGGTTTCGAGGCTAGACAACATACATACAGTTTCCATGTGCGCGTACAAATAAAAAAGAAACTCCAGTACATATACTGTATATCACCGTTAGTACAAACATGGCTGAAACATTAGAATAATTCACTTTATTGCACAACAGCGATCGATAATTAATAGTTGAAGTTTCACCATAATGAGAAAGAGCAAAAGTATAAGGTGCATCAAATGTATGTAATAATATGTCTTTCTACTTATAGACTGAGACGCGAGAGAGAGCTGTTTCAGAGAAGAGAACTGTACTACTCTAAGTCCGTCAGATACGGTTCTAGTTGCATTGCGTTATTCTTACCGTTGTGTAGCATTATCATCATGATTGATATTAGTGTACCTGATTAAGTAGATCAGTAGGCAATAATATTGCAATGTACACTATACAGTAGAGTGCACAGTACAATAAAATATTAGTGTAAATTATAAATTTATTTTGATGCCACTTGTAGTATTTCTTCTTCTTCTACCGACATCTTATAAGCAATACTGTTTTATATCTTCCCACAGATGAGGAAATTGACTTTGAATGACATCGGCTGTTCCAGAATCCATATCCCTCATATCAAAGCCAGGCGCGACCGTTTCACTAATGAAACTATAATCGTAGTCCCCTTCTTCTAAATACATGGCCTTCCAGTATCCAGCTTTCACCAATACTTGCGGCCTCTGGCCACGAGCGATATCATTTCCAAGTACGTGTTTTTCCATTTTGCCATTTTCATCGATGCAAAGAATACAAAGTGGTGATCCGCAGTGAAAGAAATGGATTGCATTAGTATGTAATCTTAAAAATCGAGTCATAGGCCGTTCCTTGGTGTGCAAAATGTAAACGCATGAGGAAATACTCCTCTGACATCCTTCTTTTTGAGTATCAATGACGCCGTCGTCTCGAAAAGTTTCCTTGAAGAACGACCCTTGTTGATGAGGTATTAGCTGTAGCGTTTGTATGATTTCATCAGCAGTTAAAGGCATGATTGGAATCGTTGAGCAAGTCAATTCTATTTCACCCTTCACAAATTCAAATAATAATTTGTAGTAGCAGTAGCAGTGAAATAGAGAAGCAAGTGGGCAGCCAGCAAGGTTAAGCGATACATCCTATAGGTTGATTTCCTACAGTGCTGAGTACTGTACTCAAAAATCGAGAATTTCACCGGTCACACTGATCATGATCTATTTGTATTTTACTCCTTTGGAGATAAAAATGAACTCAAAGTATAAAATATCTATTGCCAAATTGCATCTCAGATGGTAGATAAAGGTCTCAAATTCTCAATTCTAAGCTAAAATTGGCTGTGAAATAAGTTCTAGCTGGTCAAAGTAGGACCGTTATTACCCCAGAAAGGCGCCATTTACAGTATTTTCTTGATGCGTCTTTTACAGTCGATTCCAAGTACTGTACTGTACTGTACTATAGTACTGTATGTAAGAAGCGAGCCAGTTAGGGTTACAGTGCAGTGCAGTAAGTGCTCGAGTAAAATTAAAAGCACCTTGCATTGCAGATACATGAACTCATATACGAAGCTAAAATTAGCTGTGAAATAAGTTCTAGCTGGTCAAAGTAGGACCGTTATTACCCCAGAAAGGCGCCATTTACAGTATTTTCTTGATGCGTCTTTTACAGTCGATTCCAAGTACTGTACTGTACTGTACTATAGTACTGTATGTAAGAAGCGAGCCAGTTAGGGTTACAGTGCAGTGCAGTAAGTGCTCGAGTAAAATTAAAAGCACCTTGCATTGCAGATACATGAACTCATATACGAAGCTAAAATTAGCTGTGAAATAAGTTCTAGCTGGTCAAAGTAGGACCGTTATTACCCCAGAAAGGCGCCATTTACAGTATTTTCTTGATGCGTCTTTTGCAGTCGATTCACAGTCCAGCACAGTACTGTACTGTACTTTACTGTACCTAAGAAGCGAGCCCATACAGTACAGTAAGTGCTCGAGTAAAATGAAAAGCACCTTGCAATGCAGATACTTGAACTTATTGACTATCTTCTGCTATATTGATTGTGTCGATGAAGTAACGAATTCCTATTATTTGTTGGAAAAGGAAGAGTAAATTACAAATGTACAGTACAGTACTGGACGCTGTATTGTACACTTGTTTAGCATATTGCATGTTCTTGGAGTTCAAAATTAATAATAATAATTACTAGATTGCACCTGCACTTTGTGCTGGGGTTTACCCATATCATTTATCATTGATTGATTAAATCCAGTACTGCATAATATACTGTACTGTACAGTATAAGTGCCTGTACTGTACTGTACACTGCACAGTATCATCAAAATCGATCTTTTGCCAATGCGCATCAGGTGCAAAATCCGAACAAATTATTTGAATAGATGGTAAGGATTGGAGTTCAGCTCAATAATAAAGAACTACAGTACAGTAAAATCATCCGTGTGCAGAATTTCAGCTCATCTTATCAATTTATGTACATTTAAATTAGATATTTACATAAAGCGTCTTCTTTGCAATAGACTGATACCAAATTTGTCTAATTTGGTGTTGAAATTGTGTTTTCATATCACTTCAATCGTCGTCGATTTTTTATGAGACACCCTCAGTGATACTCTAATAAAGTACAAGTTGTCCCAGAACTTTTTCCCGATAAATTTTAAAAACCCAAAATTGAAATTTTTGTCGATTTTCAATGAAATGTATATCACTCGATATCCTCGATAGGCCCTCTGATAGCAGGTCTTTACACTGGGGATGAATCTGGAGGGGCAAAAGCGTGTTCTACTGTCTGTACTCAATTGACTTGGTAAAGAAAGAAGTTCCGAGATGCTTTCTACAGTGCACAGTACTATGTACTGTACTGCACTAGACGTGCGCCGTCATCTTCCGGTTGATTCCAGAACCATCTGACCAGAGGATTCCTGATGCGCTTGACGTCACCGATAGAGTGTAACAGTACGTTCCGTTACGATCCGGACTGTACCAGATCCGTTATAAGTACTGAAAGGGGAAAATCAAGTACAAGAAGAGAACCAGGTTGGTCCATTGTGGACTTGTGGTGCATTGATTTGGCTTGAAATTGCTCAACACAGCGTATGCAAAATTAGTTGAAAGTGCAATCATCTAGGCCAATTTGGATGAGGTTAGCATCAGTGGTAAGCTAATTGCCTTTGGCATCAATTGACTAACGCTGTTCTGTATGTGTTTTTCCTATCTTGTGTCGGTGACTTGGTGTACAAGGTGAACTGGCCGATGTTGTAATCGTCTCCATACATGCAATCACCCAACGATAGAAATAACCCTCGGACACCGACTGGTGGTTACAATTTTAATCTATCGCCTGATGGAAGCTCACATAAACAACTCAAGGCAACATTTATTACTCCCATCTATTTGCGCGATTTCTGGGATCAATTACGCCAAAATTGTGTTAAGCTAGAAAATGTGGTTATTGATCGCTTGAAATGCTTCGCTACGGTCAAAGTGAAAAATCTTGCTTATGAAAAAGTAGTTTTGATTCGGTATACATTGAACGATTGGCGTACCTATCAAGATTTACCTGCTTATCACTTAAAGGATTCAAATCGGGGCTATGCGGATACTTTTGCTTTTGAATTCAATGTTCCTGATGAAGAAGAAATTCGTCAAGTACAATTTGCTATTGCCTTCCGTTGTGCTGGACAAGAATTTTGGGACAACAATCACAACCGCAATTATTGCCTGCAGTGTATTCCTATTCAAGACGGCCATTTATTCAACAATTTAGTGCACAATGCGTAAAACTTTAAATGACATGAACTGTACTAAAATTGTCTGGTATATTGCTTTCTGCAATGGCTTATCCTATATGCAATCAACCAAATAAACAATTGGCACTTTAATGATCTATAATTGAGTGACAAATCCAAGCATCACACGATACCGTCTTTTACAAAGCGATGTAGCACAGATATTGTCAATACTACTGTATACATCAGTTGGCAAACTAAACTAACTACTGTATTCATCGAATTCATAATGAATTGCATACAGTACTATTAAAGTAAAGGTAAGCAGCAGCTGTAATGATGGAATTCAATTGCAATGTCAATACGATATGAGTATGATCAGCGTAAGACGGTCAAAGACCCAATCAATGCATTAGAAGAATACTCTACCAATAGCAACCAAGGCACATAGTACCCTAAGTTGCCCTCCAAATACCATTCCTTTTGGAAGATTAACTTGACTATTTTCAGTCGATAACCTAGAGTATGGTAGGTCCTGAAGGTTTTTTTTATCAAAATATTTAATCAATAATAAGGCACCATGCATAATAATAATGAAATTAATGTGAAAGCATAGCTCTCTATCCCTAATGTTTGAGATTGCAGTGATAATATACTATAATAGGCATTCTAAGATGCTCATGAATGAAAATTGATGCGGAATATAAGTTAGAAGGGCTATTTGTTATGTTGTCAAATCTTAAAACTTCAATTCTCTATCTACCATATGTTAAAGTTGACAATCTTACCTATATATTTAAATAGTTCGGTGTTAAAAATACCTCAGAAGATTGTAAGTACGTCTTATAAACTAAAATAGGCTACTTATTTTGTAGATTGCATTCTCTTTCATAGAGAATATTCTATTATACGAATAGATTCTGCTGTTTTGTCCCATTTATGTACCATTTTTTCACTGCTACGAAAAAAATTGACATGGTATTAAGTAAGTACAATATCGTTATCATATTTATCATCAAAAGATCCAATGAAAGGCATTTTATTTATTCAGTATGTCAAAATTATTCTGTAATGATGTCACTTAAAGTGTGGAAACCTGGTGCAAACGTGATAAAGATTGAATTGATGTGAATAAAATTCGTACATTGTAATTATTTTCAATATTCCTGAATTTTTTTTCTGTAAACGATATAGTAAACGTTCATTGAAAAGGGAGTTGCTACGCTGCGGATATAATTATGCGTAATGCAGAACATTAAAGTAGATAACTAATATTTGTTATTAAAGGTGACTTAACATTTTTATACAATTCACTTCTAATTTCACTATTTATTCGATCATGCATAGATTGATGACTGATCTTTCAAAGCAATTGACGTAAGATCGCTAATATCTGCATTAAAAAATAAAAGCAACTATTTTAATTTGGCCATGATTTCTCGAATAATTTTAGGACGGTTTATTGAGTAAGATTTCACAGATTGTCGTTCAAATCGAACTAAATGATAGCGATAATCAATTGAATTAATTATCTTGATCAATATACTGTAGAAGTGAGTAATATCATCAAGGGCTATTAATTATTAATTAAAATAAGATGGAGTCACGTAAAAAGGATTATTAATTGCTATTAACTTTAATCAAGCCTATTCTGTCAGTGCATTTGTTGACTTTTATCCTCCAATGGATTGTTCGAATGAGCAATTAACGGTACTTGCAGTATTGCAAATATTCGGACATTCAATACAATAGTTATTTCATTGTCGGAGATTTAACAAGTCTTACATGCTATTGGTAATAGTATTGATAGTAAGATAATGCCACAGTTATCCTGACTTCAATAACATCGCAAAGACATTGTTAATCCTATCCTAGCAACATAGCTTGCCTATATTGAATCAATTTCCATAACTTTACATGGCGTGTGTGCAGTACATAAATTGAGGGTAGAGTAGCAATCATATCATAACAATTTACATCTATATACGTATGAATTATAGCCTATGAAATAATGGTACCATAGTCAATTAATCAGCAGCCTTTGATGAAGTAGTACACTACACAACAAGGTGATTTCGATTTTATTAGCATTATTGTGACATTTTAATAATAGTGACTAAACCGCTAAAAAATTTTAACCCGCGTTCGTACTGGCGTAAATCAATGCACTCCTTTTTAACTGTTAGTAGTCTATTGAACAATGCTGTAATAGATCATTGCTGATGGAAAAAAATCTTTAAAAATAATAAACGACAGCTACAAGTATCAAATTTTATTTAGTACGGTTCATATTTGATATAAAGCAAAGTGCACTTTACATACGTATATTCAATTTTCAGGATATATTGTCAATTCGATGCAATAATTGAAATTTTAATTTCTTCAAGATAGCAAGATCATTCATCAATCAAATTTACATTAATAATGAAATGCATCATTCTATTATTTAAATAAAATTATTATCACATAGTGATTGTCGCATATCTTACAATATACTATGCTGTACTATTCTGTAGTAACAAATCAGCGACAAGGCAAGTAAAGTGAGTCAATTTAGAAAGAACGTGGTAAAATTACTTTTAGTTAGGTTTGCAAAACAGAAATTTACTGTAAGTTCCAAACTATGGAAATATATATATATAAAATATATGAGAGCATCACTGACGCCGTATAGAAACTAGCATCATGTAACACATCCAAAAATCATAAGCTGGTGATAATACGAGTATGTATTGACTGCTCCAATTTTAGATACTGTATATCTTATTTCAGAGTTAGGTGCAGATTCGTTTTAATTGATACAGAAAATTTAATATCATCTAAATTACTTACGCAGAATCATCAATTTGATAAAGAGGTGATACAAAAATAGTTGGTATGCTCTTTAGAAATATCCTTTGGTTGGAAATATCTCGCTCCAATAAAATTTCCGAATCTTACTACTTTGTATCGATTTTGATAAATGTTGATATTTTAGCAAAATGTCCAATAAATAACCCAAACACTTTTTGCCTTTCCCTTATGCATCTTATTAGAGTGTACGCGTACTCTATCAGTCAACTGGATAATTTAAAATCTTTCGACAAGCCTGCTGAACATACTGCTGCTGTTTATAATACATTTTGACGGCACCTCGTAAAATGACGTACGTTGCACCACCCTGTAAAAGATAAATCAATCAATCTATCAATTGCTATAGTCAGTTTGAGTGCAAGAATTAAAGGGAATTATTCTATCTACTAAGTGTACGGTATATCAAATCATGACTTGAATATGCTATAATATTGTGGCTGAGTGTATAGTAAAAGAAAATTGAATGATATTACATCGACTGTACTCCATTTACCATTAAGGCTTTTTGCCAATTTGAGAGAGAATAATTTCCGTAGAATAGGTTACCGCAGGTGACGGCAATAGTTGGTAAAGCTAATGCTCCACATATTATCCTTGATAACGATGACAAATCTGTGCTATGAGTAGGTTCCGCTGGAACTCGTTGTGGTCGGTCTTCCGGTGTTGCAACACTATATTTATGCGATGTTTGTCGAATCCAGCGCAAGCATCGGTCTTCCCATGCAACGGTTTTATACAAAACTAAAATTAGTGGTATAGCAGGAAGTCCAATTACCAATGGCAGTCGATCCGATTTTTCTATCAAATTCCAGCCGTCATTATGTCCTAAAACTTGGACCATTGTTACAGCACCGTAAGATACAGCAGACCAATAGAGGCTGCCTAATAATATGGTCACGGTAATGTAAGGTGAAAGAGCATCCGTCACTTTTTCACCAGCATCAAGTAATTTCATTAAAAATCCTCTTTGTGGATAAGCGATGATGTATTCAATACCACATTGTGGGCAAGAAACCGCAAAATCGGCAACTCCATTTTGTTTTTCGTCAATCCAACGTTGCAAACAAGCCTGATGGACCCATGCAGAAGTTCCTTTACAATTGCAAGGATGAGTCCATTCAGCTTCTAAATCATCATCTTCGTCTCCGAAGCATATCCAACACGTTCTTTTTATAATCTCACTAAAGTTGATCAAAAGGAGCCAATATGAGTGAAATTGTTTAAGTCATCCACTATACTGTATTGGCTGCTGCAGTATACGGCCTTCTACCGTACAGCATAGCACTAGTAGTATAACGCAAAAGAGCATGATAGGTATTGATTAAGCAGAATACGATTCTCTCTCTGATATTACATATCTACCCATGACACATGATCATGGATGCTAGATGCTTTTCATCCAATTATTGCTCCATATTGCTCATGGTAAAATGTAGGTGTAGGTTGACGTACGATATAACAAGCAAATTATTCACACGAATACGCCAAATCAGCATTGGTTACTTTTTATTTGTACTATACGTTAGCAAGATACTATTCAAGCAGTGTTCAGCGTTAAGCAAATTCCATCATGACTCGATGTTTGCAAAATTGACCGTAATCCTAAACTACTGTCAGTTGTGTTCATATTCAAAAAATTGCAGTACCTCAATCTTCGGTAGATCATTATCCTAGTGTTGATGCAGCATAACTACTCCGTTGTGCATTAATAATATTCAAGCTGTACTATAGTGTAGATCGGTCATGAATGTACTGTAGATACAAGCACATCAGCATACTGTCGATTTTCGTACACTTGGCTATCATTTGGTAAACAGACGGATCTTTAGTATTGTAGGCCATTTATGTACATTGTACAGCATGATGATTAGTGGTATAGTAAAGGCTATGCTTGCTTTAGCGACGACTACTATCCTATTGATAGGATCGTTTGCTGATCAAGTGTATGTATCTAAAACTTGAAGATTTCAGTTGGTACTGTTTTTTATCATTCCGTTGTGCAACATCGGATTTGATACAGTATGCAAAGGTTGTATGCTGTATAGGTATACTGTACTGTAGTGCAGTAAGTACAGTATCAAATAATTAATTATTAAAAGTAAGCGTATGTTTAATGTGCAACGCTAAAACACAGGTCACGGAATGAGCATTTACTTTCCTCATTGGACATACGAATTACGAGAGAAGATTAATTAGTATGATGCAATCAAGCAGGAGATGAATGATATGACTATAGTAGTGGTAAAACTTGATCTATTCAGAGGCCTTAATAGATGAAAATATCAAGAGATCCCGTAAGGGTACCTACTACTGTCTATCTTGTCAAGTTTGGTTGATGAACAATATACAGTACAGCAATTTCAACTCATGCACTCCATGATGACAAAAGATACGAGTATTTAACTTCAGTATGTTGTATTGTACAGTTTCTAGTTCAACGACAGCGAAAGCAGTGAATCCTGTCCATTTTTCAATTGCTGTTTAGTGTAAAATGAAATCCACAGTACTGTAATCGCCGAACTAATATTACCCAGTCATCATTTTATGATTGGCACCCATTGAAGATTCAATGCTTAGGAAAGTAATGATGATTTGGAGGAGACTATAACATTGGCAGACTAAGCTTCTTCTTCTTCATCATCATGATGCAAGCATATTGACATAGTGTCCACTGTCCAGATGTGAGTTACAATCCTCTTAGTGGAGAGTTTGCTCTTGTTTTCACATTATTGACTTAGCCATATCGATCGATATCCATACTTTGATTCCTAATGATTGTCTTGAATCTATTCCCTCGTACATGATATGTATGCAAGTGGATTAGAACGACTACAACTTGAACTCGATCATGATGCGAGTGTGGAAAACGGCCATGCCCTATTTCCGTCGCTGCACTCGACACTGTACATCACTGCCTATTACAGTACAAATAGCAAACTATACAGTACAGTCCGCTTGGTTTCATGGTACTGTAAACTACTGTAGTGAAATGGAATAACTGAAGAAATCCCATCCAAGTTTTTCAAAATCATACAGTTCAACATGGGCAAATGTTACCTTTTTCTGGGCCTGGAAAGAGACATTTTCTATCGCATAGGTTGTAATTGGCTTGTCCGAAATAAGAAACACCAAGATGATTGCAAGTCACTATATCAATTCTAGAATCCACGTGAAGGTGATTGGGTTAAGACGAGTTGGCAAAGAGGAACAACGACTTGCGACCAAAGTCAATCACCAGTCAGTATACGAGCAGTCTCTTTATTGACTGGACTGGACAGTGTACAGTATAGTCAATTGGACGGTTTTAGGCTATGCAGTGCGCAGTCTCAACCAACACGTGACGTCACTTCACACTACAGTACATACTGTACTGTACTATACTGTACATTACTGTACATACTGTAGACGGTACTGTACTGTACTGTAGAAGATCCGGCCGGAACGTCTCTCACATCCAAATACGATCCTCCCAATCTCCCTCCATCGTTAATGGAGCAGAAAACGTGCTGTGCAATCAGCCTCCCCATTGCACTAAAAGTCTGCTCAATGTCCAAGTTTTTTCTTCATTTTTAGGCTGGGGAAGAAGAGAATTGACTGTAGCCCCGCCAATAGACCCAACCACTGGAATAATAGCGCTGAAAATATTGATTTACCTTCTCTACTTGACTCCTTGAAAGACGGACTACTTATAGCCATCAAAACGAGACTCCTTATATGAAGAATCACTTTCCAAGTTTTGAACCTTGAATTCATGTTGGCGTATTGAAGGCTACAAACTAGGCAGATGATACTTCAAATAAAGTCTCATGTTTTCATTGCTAACGGTAGTATTGTTGAAAAATACAAGTCGACAATCCAGCGGCCTACTGTAGTACATACTGTACCATGCTTGTAGGTCGATGCACTTATTCACAATTACCTTTAGTGGACAACATTAGTAAAGTCGAAAGTTTTTGCAGTGTTCAGTCTTGATACGAGTAAGCTTGTGAACGTAATTTTGGGCCCATGGCTAGAATAGTAAGGAAATGAGACAGCCTTTAATATCAAGTACAAGTTCAAGTAGTGAGAAAAATTGATCCCCCAAAATCGCGCGTTATTGTACTGTTCTACTGCTGGTAACCTTTAAAATACTTTTAAAAACTCATGTGCGCCATGATATTGCATTTTGTCCACTTTTTCGACTGAATATTTTAACACACGCTATATATGCGCTAGATATTTACAAACCAACAAGAATGAGCTTGTAATAACTCTTGTATACGTGTATTCTAGTTAGTTCGATGCTGAAATGTTCATCTTAGAGAAGATTGCCTACACAATTCTCCAAAACTACTTTTCTTACGTCCATACTCGTATGCTGAATTGCTGATATAAAGAGCTTAACAAATTTCAGACGGTATCCAATCATGGAAACAACCGGATTTACCTTTGCAAGACTAACAGAATCAATCAACACGCCGCGAGTATAGTACTGTAAAAGCATACTGTCAATTTTTAGTTTTACATTTCGCAGTCGTGGTAAGTCGATACTGGAATCCGGCTGAATTTAAAGACGACGGTCAGATTTTCACAGTGACTGTACGCATATTTGTAGAGACCTCTTCAGTCGAGCATCAGCAATACTCATTCCGAGTATGCAGTAGTACAATTGGAAATAATGAAGGTGCACTTTAACTCACATCCATTCTGCCTGATAGCCGCTGTCGTGGATTCTTAATAATCAATAAAAGTACAACGTTGAAGACATCTTAACCATATTCCTCGGGTTTGTAAGGAATTTTAGTTTTACTTGCTTCGCTCTGGCGAAATTGCTACCAGCTAAAATGCCTTTACTCTGCGTTTGCGTTAACCTCGATGTTTTGTGGCAGTGCACTCAATTTGTGGTACCTGCACCATAATTGATATCGCGCATCAGGTTGCTTCTATTGATTCATTTTTTGATGACTAGAGAGTAGAGATACATATTTTGGTGGGACGAAATCTAGAACTAACTAACTAACTAACTATAATCACATCGATGCCACTGTAAGAAACTCCAACAAGTAATACTGGTATACTGTATGAGTACTGTTAAGCTTTATGTAGCTTAATTACAATACAAAAACACTGCCATCTAAGAGTACTGAAGAAACGTAGTTTTAGCAAGCAGTCTGATGGTAAATCCATTGGGATAATTTTTCCAATAGCTTAATTACGAATATACCAATCAATCAGTTAGGCACTTGAATAGAGTTTAGTAATGTCGATGGCCTGGCTATGGATATCGATTTACCCATTTCAGAAAGGCTTGAAGGCTGCGCGATTTCGACTCCGAGTCATATCACAGAGAAATAACTTGGCTACTGTAGTAGTGGCTAATCAGACGTTAGCAGCAATTAGTTCTGTGCAGGTATTCTAGTTCACTGTACATTGACTCTTTGAATGATTCACTTTCGTACTCTCAGCTCATCTTGCTCATCCATAAAAACCTGTCTCTTACTAAATGTTTTATACCAACTCTTTATCAGACCATAAGCTACATTACCTCAACTACCTGTGCTATTATTCATGTATACGATTGAATCGATTTTGTAGCAGAATACTGCAGTAAATTTGGACCCTTTAAAGATTCAATCGACATGCAATAAGCACAAGTGTTGTATTGGCGCTTATGATTTAGTTCTAAAATGAGCAGCTTAAGCCATCATCAAGAATAGATATAGCGGTTTCCTAACTTGCTGCATCATGGTTGAAAATTAGACAGTTGAGAGATTACTCTATCTAATATGATGACAACCATTGCATGCTTGTGTAACAATCAATGAAGCAATGAGAGCTACAGTATACAGGTAAGAAGAAACTGCTTCACTTATCAATGAACTATAGTCTAAGAGAAGCTTTACAATCCTACTTTGCTACGCTACAACCTGTTGTGATAGACTTGTAACGTTGTAGGCATTAGGGCAAATAAACTGCATAGCTGCCTAACTGATATGATCATCGTATAATACCAATACCGCAGTTGTATTGCCACATTGGCTAGTAATTTAGTAATACTCATACGTCTATAATATCTAGTGTATATCGATCACTTGTGGGAAGGCTACTCGGAATAAAGAGTGGACTGCACACTTCCGAACCTTTCTCAGATCGACGACACTCAGTTATGTTCAGGTTAAAGATTGGAATAAGATTGTGGCAATGATCTTACAATGTTACAAGTATACGTACGTATACATGTACTTTATTGTCATTATCAATGACTTTAAAATTCATAAAGTCGTGCAATACAAATTTCTAGTCATTGTACTAGGCCTATCATTTGCAAGAGATTGATGATGAGCTTATTTGTAAAAGCTTCAGCTTATCAGTGGTCTCCTGTATGCAGGAGAACATTTCTATTCGAATCCTACGACACAGTCCTAGTCTAGAATAGCTATACGTGAATTGATTGCTATCATGAATAGAATCATTTATTGGCTAATGTTAGTTGATAATTGAAGTAAAAGACCAGATAGTTAGTCGTTCAAGTTCTCGTATACTGTGTATGCTAATACACGTAGTCGGGTACAGTCATTCATGAAACAGTACCTATTACTGCACAACGGTACATCCTTTCCCTTCTTTTAGTAGTCTGTGCTGTACAGTATATAAAAAATTGGATGAATGTCTCGCAGTAAAATACGTATCCGATTATAGGAAAGTAGTGGCAAGAAAGATAATTTACAAGGTGAAGATGGACGACTATTTGCAGCTTCTTGGAGTCAACTGTTAGCAGAACAAAACGCTCCCTTTCTGCTTTCGATATCGGCCTATGACGATGCTTTAATATCACTTTCACTTACGCCTATTGTTGACAATGAAGAACATCACGGGTTGACGAAAACAACAGTACAGTATAAAGGTGCAGTTTGCTAAGCAGCGAGTGCACGTTGTTGTGCGATGTATTACAGTTTACGACGAGAGAAAGGAGTACTGTAGAATAAGCGATGTATGGCTGCTTGCTAAGCAAAGAAAGGAGTACTATAGAATATGCGATGTATGGCTGCTTGCTAAGCAGCGAGTGCACGTTGTTGTGCGATGTATTACAGTTTACGACGAGAGAAAGGAGTACTGTAGAATAAGCGATGTATGGCTGCTTGCTAAGCAAAGAAAGGAGTACTATAGAATATGCGATGTATGGCTGCTTGCTAAGCAGCAAGTGCACGTTGTTATGCGATGTATTACAGTTTACGCTGGATGAATGGAGCTGCATGGACTAAGTGATATCGATCATGGTACATTATTCAAGGCAACATTCAGTTGAAGTGTTGTGATTTGAACAACGAAAGGAGAAGATAGCATTAGATGAGTTATTGTGCTATTGAATGAAGAAGAATAATTG